GACCAGTTTCTTTCCCAATTCATCCCTCCTTAGCTCCTCAGCTCTTTGACCCCCACCTTGCCCTGCATCCCCACTTGGGCATCTCGATCGTATATTAATCGCACATCCATGTCCGTATAGGTCCTCGTTGTCAATGAGCCGTACTCGAAAAGAGTCGTCGTTCACCTCGTACCCATGAAAGTCTCGGAAGTCCCACGGTACCGGTTGAGCGGACCGGGAGTTTGAGATCAGCAAAACAATGATCTTCAGTGAGCCGCAGGGTAGCATGAGACTAGTCAAGGTGGTTTTCTCACGATCAAGAGTTTCCTTGTCGAGGGCGAACAGAGATCGTAGTGGCTTGACATCGAAAAGCGGTCAGGGGTCAAAAGTCACAAGGGTAATCGATCGTGAAGAAGCGGTTCCATTCATCTCCGTGTAGATGTCTTGCCCGTGATCACTGGACTTTTCATTTAGTAGTCTCTATGGAAAGCGAAGCGATAATGGAGAGATTCGCAGAGGCATGCGGCATGGGATCGTATCACATTTTTCCCATCGAAACCCATCGATCCAACCCATTGGCCAATAGGTTCATTGTGATCATTGAGTGACACGTACTTGTGGGTCGCCAGGCTACGCTTCCGGCTGCGCACTCGCCTGGAATGTGACAGACACACGTTCCAGGATCCCGCGATCCGCGGTCAACGATCCAACGTCCCAGATCCAGCAATGCCAGCGACGAATGAGGTAAACTGTATCCCCACAAGCGAGCTTAAGTTACCCTTTTGACTGTCGTCGTTGATAGGAGTCGTACCGCGCGTACCGGTCGGTGTCTCGGTCTATCGGAGTTCCCGGATAGCATGGGGCGAAAGGTCGAAAAGTGAAAAAGTGATCGAGAGAAGGAAAGAAACGTCTTTTTGACCCCGAGATTCCTCTCCTCTCTGTCATCGATCACATTCCTTCCGAAATGGGTATCACATCTGCAAGACAAGTTGAAAGGCCTGGTCAGTCCTCTTCATGAATTGCAAACTCACTCTGACTGTGACATAGGATGAGAAAAGTGTCCAACAGCATGGCAGAATTCGACGGAACGTTATCTTCTGTCATATCCACCCGCGGACCGTTCGGGAATGAAACCCTACCCATTTTCGCCTCTGGGGATTTGGATTCGAAGAAAGCAATCTTGTTTATTGGAGGTTTAGGGAATGGACTTGGAGATGTTCCTTTTACATATGCCCTTTCTGTCGCGTTGGGGAGGATCGGGTGGAAGTTGTGAGTGAATACGATTCATCCTTCATCTCATTCCCAATCAAACATCCCTCCTCATCGTATGAAGGATTATTATACCATAAAGATTGGTGATTCCCAAAGGAGCCTCGAATCCTATAGATTGGGAGATTTCAGGTCTGTCAAGATCACAGCTGATCTCAAGAGTTCAAATGCACTGGTCTTCCGCCCATGAAGGTTTCGGCACTGGATCTATAGATCGTGATAGGGACGAAATGGAATGTGTCGTAAAACATCTCCGTTTTCAAGGTCAATTATCTCCTCTTCTAACTTTATCAAATCGAAATGACTTATGTATAGGTCACGAAAAGATAGTCATCATGGGACATTCTACCGGTTCTCAAGATGTCATCAATTATCTATCTTCACCATCTCTGATCCCATCTGCTACGGCTCATATTCCTTGGACTGACCCTGGATGTTTGGCATCAATGAGGGCCAAAGTAGATGGAGGAATCATGCAAGCTCCAGTTTCAGATAGAGAATATCATGTTTCGGCTGATAATCGAGCATGGTTGGATGCTTTGCCAGTGGCTGAGAAGATGTTAAAGGAAGGGAATGGGGATGAGTTGTTGCCTAAACCTGTTAGGGAAAGAATGGGAGTGATGATGACTGCTTATCGAGCTTGGAGTTTGTTGGCGGTTGGGTGAGTAAAAGTCACTATTTTTTTCTACCATCCTTCTCTGCTGCCTTTGTCGCTCCTGTCACCGGTACCTTGAAATCTTTTCCCAATCGTCTCACTCGTTGCCCATACCCTTGACACACTTGATCTCTTTCCCTCGCTTTCAGTGATGTATAGCAAGGTGTAGATACCTTTCCACGATGTCATCCAACGGAATAGTTTACTTCATCAACTAACTCACAGAGGGTATGACGATTACTTTTCCGCCGATATACCCATTCACGATTCATCTGGAAAGTTCTGTCATCCTCTCTCTCAATCTTTCGGTAAACTTTCCTCTCCCGCACTCGCACTTTATTCCGGAAAAGACGAATTCGGTCAACCGGGAGATCGTACCCCCGTACTTCAACGATGGGCGGAAGTGAGTGGTGGGAAACTGGAATGGAAGATCATACCTGGTGCTGGTCATGCGATACCGGAACCTTCGGCACAAGTGATGATGTGTGGTATAGTGACGGATTGGTTGAAGAGAGTTGTGGAGAATTGAGCAATCATCGTTCGTCTACACTTCAGTTCACAGTGCTTCATCACCTCTGATACCTATTTGGGTAGTTAAAGTCGAAGTCAATTCAACCTCTCATTCTCCGTTAATCGAAAAACATCATAAAAATCATTGATAGAATGATATGATTCATTCCATGCATGTTCATTCCTTCTCCATCTCGCATCTCATCACTGTTTACGCAGCATCCGTCATCTGGATATCACCATCATCATTCACCTCCCCACGAGACTCTTCAGCATCAAATTGTATTTCAGAATCATCTGGTTCAGTAGATAACGGCTCACTGAATCTAACGTACTTTCTACTCAAATCTATCTCCCTTTCTTCTGTGCTTTCAATCCTCGGATAATTGTTATCCCAACTGGAATTAGCTTCCGAAACCGAGGATTTATTCTTCTTTCTCTTCTTCTTCTTCCCTCTCGTTTTCAAAGTACTACCTCCGGTGGATTCTTCCTCACTTCCCTTCAACTTTCTTTCCGATTCTGACAAATCGGTTCCATATTCATATATCTCACCCAATGAGCCAGACTCTGTTTGATCCCCTTCCCACACCTCGTCGTAAAAAGTAGGCTCTCGTTGTGATTTTAGAACCTCTTGATCAGATGCAGAACGGTTCTTCTTCCCTTTTGGTCCGATGAAAGAAGAAAGTGGTAAATCTTTTCCAGTTTGAGTCTCTCTATCACTTTCTTGTTCTTCATCAGGATCACCAGTCACACTGAATGCTCCTGTTTTATGAAAATATGTCACTTCTTCTAGTGTGAAACCATCGAGTTGGGAGGTGTATACTCGGTATGATCCAGATCCAGATCCAAAACCGTACAGACCGAAGTTATCCATTATGCTTTTTGAAGCGGTCAAGGTGGGTTATGTGAAATATGTGATTTCTGTGTGGTTATTTATGGGTGATGGTGAGATTCAAAAGTAATTACTTGAATAGAAAGAAGAGTGATCATCTACTTGTAGATGGAGAGAGAGACAGGCGGGGGTCGTAACATGTGACCAATCTCAGACGAGAGATGAAAGGAACTTGGTTTCATTATCGAAGGGCTTCTTATCACACAATATGCGTGGCGGGCAACATGATTAATCATCAGGTCTGAGTGGGACGATCAGTACGAGTAGGCTACAACTCACTCGAGGGAATCTTCACATACGTAAACATCAGTTTCATCAGTATCATAGTCCCAGGAATGAACCGTCCAATTCATAATCATGATCTGCGATCTTCTATCTCATCTTCCTTCCTCTGTCTTCCTCATCTTCACTATCTTCCTCACCCTCCTCGTCTTCCTCATATTGACCATTTCCCTCTTATTCCTCGTCCTCCTCATCTCTTTCTTTATCCACACCCCGGTACAAAATCAAAGGCTCACCAAACCTTGTGTGTTTACCACTAGATCCTCTTGTCCCTCCCTCCTCTTGTAAACCAGTGGAATATTTGTCAAGCCAAGATGAATTAGCCCCCTTGACTCGCTTACGAATGTTACGATTATATTTCCATCGATTGACGGGTCCGAATTCCAAGAGCCCTGCCTCTGTGGATGTGTAAGGGTAGGCATTATGTATCGTGTTGTACATCTCTTCGGGTATTGCCTGTTTTTCCTCCTCCTCCTCCTCCTCCTCCTCTTCTGATAAATCTACATCTTCGGAACTTGTTTCAGAATCTGATTCTCCCTCATACTTATTGATAGATGTCTGTTCCTCGAACTCGATTCCATCCGTTCCTACGTCAAAATTCTCTGAAGTGAATTGACCTGCTTGGTCAGGTAAAGTAGGATCGTACTCAAATTCTTCAGGTTCCTCATAAATCACTTCCTGTTCAACAGGGTTCAGATCGAGTATACCAGATTGACGGAAAGGTGTTCCGTGACTATACGGATTTTGATGTTCTTCAGAGCGTCCGAGGTCTGTATCAAAATCGTCATATAGAGGGGATTGTAATGGTTGATCGTATGTGACTTGAGATGATGACTGCGGCGGTGAAGAAGGAATCATCGACTTGGTAGAAGTAGAAGAACCTTTCTTCCGAAATTTACCCTTGATTGAGTTCAACATATCGTATTATGTATCGTATTAGCCTAAATGAAAGAACGTACTGGGTGATGTGGTGTCGTGTATTGTATGAAGGAATGGAAGACCTGTGAGTGAGGGAGAGATATTGTGATAGATAGGGAATGAAACGGACGGAGATTTCACATGTAATCCTGGTTGAAAGGAAGTCAGGAGTTTTTGTCTCATCTCATCGGTGACATCAGCCTGAACGAAATGACGAAGATAATCAGGTCATGGGGTATGAAAAAAATAGGAGAGAGATGATAAGGGGAACAAAAGTCAATGAGATTAGCTAAAGACCCAGAGTATACATACAGCAAAGATTGAGCAAGTAACGTATCCAATCTTGTGAGTTATCCCTCATTCACCATCCGTCATGATGGCCATGAACTCGTCCAAACTGATTTCGCCGTCGTTATCCAGGTCAAATTCGTCGATCATGGCTTGTCTGTAGCAAAAACATGTGATGTAATGAATATGACGAAGTGAAAACATAGATGTCGATGACGGATATAAAGGCCATGTGATGTTCGAGGTGTAGGGATGACGTGATATTTGGTATTTTATATGGTAGGAAGAGTTTCGATGAAGACAAGATTGGCGATGATTTCGTACGTTGACATTGAGAGTGGTGCATCGCAGTGGAATCATGTGAAAGTTTGGAGAAGGAGCACAAGTTAGCGATGTGAAGAAAGCTTTCAAAAGGGAAAAACTGACAATTCCTCTTCTCCCAGATTCTCTCCAAGCTCACGAGCCACTCTTTTGAGATTTTTCAATGATATCTTTCCAGTTTTGTCATCGTCGAATAGAGAAAAGGCACGTTTGAGATCGACTTTAGGATCTCGACTGAGGATTTTCTCCGTCACTAATAAATCAGCTTTTCTCATCTCACGCCTCTATCTCTCTTCATGTGCTTCTTTCCTTTCCTTGTCTACCTGATATATCTCATGATCCGTCTAATAGCTTCTACGAACCATCCTACGATTTCCTCACTACGGTCCACCCACTTCCAGACACCTCACAGAAAGGGCGAGCCTCTTTCTTCTGCTTCGATAGGATGTAATCATTGAACATTTCACTCACTAATCTTTAAAAACGCATTCCAACCTAACAACCCATCCTCTCCTCCATACTCCTTCAAAAGAGTAACCACCTCCACTTTCTTCGCATCAAAACCCAAAGCTCGCATGGCGACTTTCAACTCATGATAATCTATCGCCTCATCTTGATCCGTATCGAACAGGTCGAAAGCCTCTCTGATCTCCGCTTGTTGATCAGGACTAAGCTCGGATCTGGCTGGTTGTTGTCGAACGTTGTTTGATGCCGGTGTGGGTCTTCGCGGTTTGAGAGGTTTGCTAGATAGACCACCAGCGGCGAAAGACATGGTACAGATACAGATTACAGAATATTTTGGTGGTAATTGGTAAACTTGGACAAAACGCGTCAAAACGACGTGTCTGATTTTTCTCATGGTGGGGAATGCTTACGTAAGTCACAGCCTCCACTTGTCACCTCGCCAAGTGTCTGGAGAGGAATGTTAACTGAAATGTTATCACATCATGCCACATAGTAAGCTGGTCCACTCAATGGACAGTCTCTCTCTCAGTAGGAGAGCCGATGATGAGAACGCTGGATACGATCCTCCCTTCTTGTTTGAGAATAATTACCCCCGTGTCGATGATTTGAGAGAATCTCAAACCTCCCCTAGCTCTCTCCCTCAGAAACGAAAGAGACACGCCCTCTCTCATGGAACCTTCACAAACGTCCCAACGCAGAATGACTCTCCTCATGTGAATGGTATCAATACAAGGGGTGAGGGTCCATCTTGGGTGAGTACAGTGGCCGGCACCTTTCTGAATGCTAGTTGACAGATAGGAAGAAAGGTGGGCCTCGTTAAACCCGAGCACTAGCATTGTAAGTCTTTCTCACTCTTAACATACGTATACTGACTCTCAAAGTGGGATGACTCCCCTTTGGACAATATATCTTCATTCTACTCCGCTCTCCCTCTTATAGATCGGCCTCCCAACAACGCTCAACACCAATCACATCCTCTCTCTCCAAAACCCCCACGTCCTCTTATTCGTCCAAGGCCCCTCAACCCACTCGCAGCCGAGCTCTCTTCTGAGTCTTCAAATGATCCAGGTACTTCCAGACTCATAAACTCGATCACATCTCTCTCTACTTCTTCCCCAGATCCCATGCCCCGATTCCATATGGTGGAATATGACAGTTCCTTCGTCAGCCGAGTGGGCGATTCTTCTTCCTCTTCTGGAGGAGTTAGAAGTATTCTTCGTCCTTCCCGATCTCGAGTACCACCGAACACACCGGTGTCAAGTAGTCAAGTCCGTTTTACCGATGATGAGATCATCTTTGACCATTCCACCCAAGATATCATACCCGAGCTGGACGACGAGGTCTCATGGACTACCATTCCCCTTGATTCTACTCAAGATAGTGAGGTTATGAGACAAGAAGAGATGGATAGTGTAACTTCCTCACCGCTGGTTCGCACTCCAACCACTCCTCTCTCTCCGGAGTACTCGTACTTATCAAAAAGCTCAGAGTTCAGGGATCTCTCCTTCCCTGGACCCTTCTCGTCGACACCATACGTGATCAGAAAGAAGAGCGGTCATGAATCGTCGATACCAAGCGACTCCATTTGTCTCTCAGACAGTCCATCAACGTCTGAGCGATCAAACTCGACCGATGCGCTCAATCTGAAAGTTAGTCCGACGAGAGAGGCCATTGATGGAGGAATGTGTCGAGGTCTTTTGGCTTTACAAGCATATAACTCGGATCGCTCGCAAGAGGAAAGTGTCAATGACGAAAGTTTCGGTTTTTAAGTGAGTTAGGGGATATATAGAAACATTCGCTGATGTCGTCAGATAGGGGACGATAGAAACAAGCATTCATAAACAGCATCATGTTGTACTATAACTCATGTCACAGTGGTATGTTCATGTATCGGACTTTCTCCTTCGTCACACGAGAAGCTGCAATAACAGGGAGAAGAGCTAAGCGGTACCTGGGAGGACTTCAGCTTGACCTTCAATCACCTCCTGCTCGGTAGCCTCCGGCCCATTGGCTTCAACATCCTCTTTTTCAATGTGATTTCCATTCTCATCAGCTCCGGCGCCTCCTTCTTTGGTACTCTCTCCCTCGAACACCAGGTCCGTCACTGATTCCTTGTCGTCGCCTCCGCCGGGACTGACAGGCGACCTCCACCTCAGTCGTGACTTCTCTCTCCCCTTGTTCATTCCCGGAGGTACCATCTCAAAACACTCCACGACCTGCCCGCTAGCATACATTTTAGTCATGGCGTGCAGCTCAATCCTGAGGGCCCAACCCCACGTCTCATCCGCTTCTCCTACAAAATCGAAAGGCTCGGGTTTAGGTGTCAGGGCTTTCATCGGGTTGTGAAACCAAACTTGTATCGTATAATTGGTGTCGCCGTGTTGTTGAGGAAGAGTTTTTATGGTCGTGACATGTTGACCGAAATGGGCGCAGACTGCGAGAGTCAAGTTGAGAGTGTCGAGGAAACGTTTTGAAGGTGATGTAATCTTCTCCTCATCACGGAATTGAACTTCAGGATGCATACTGCTGACCGTAAGTGCACTCGACACCCCTGGATGGTTCTTGTCCCCTTGAATTTCGTTCTCTTCCACCTCATTCTTGTCACCGAGGCCATCGTCTTCGTCCTTCGGAAGTTTCTCTCCCTGATCGCCCGAAGCGTCTTGAACCACTTCCTCAATTTTTCCTTCCGATGACGAATGTACAAACTTTCCCTCTACTTCTTCGTCTTTCCTATTGTTGCACTTGATGTTATTGGCTTCTTTCTTGTCTTTGGATTTTCCTTTGTTGAAGGGTTGCCAGGTTAGTAAACATTGTTCCCATCGATTGTCATTCGGGGTACCAGGAGGCGCAGGAGCGAGTAACCTTAACTGGTTCAACTGTCCTCCGGCTTCGAATAGTTTCTCTATCAAATGATATTCCAATTCCATAGTCTATTTCCAGTCAGGATCCAAATCTATCGACATGTCTAACGGGTGAGGAGCGGAGGTCTTCTTGGGAAGCGTCTCTTTCTGGAAACCTATAGTCACTGAATGTTGGGGTTTCACCCCGTCCGGCTTGCTCTTCTGAGGGTGAGTGACGATTGAATTCTGCCATTGTTCATACCTCGGACCGGCTCCCAAAATCAGATCAACGATCTGTAACATCCTCTTTGAAGGTTGAAACGATGGCATGTCGTTCCTCTCCTCACGACGGAAATGAAATTTTTCTACCGTCGGGATGTCGAGCTTCGGGACGGAAGGGATGTCGAGATGTTCTACGGGGTCTACCTCTGGTTGTGGTTTATTAGACGGGGACAAGTGAAGGATGGGAGAATCTTCAGATGATTTGGAGAGAGGTACGACTTCAACTTGCAATGTGGCCGGAGTGGCGGTAGTGAGTGGGTTCGTGACGGAGTTGGCTACAGTTGCAGACATGTTGTATTCTGTAGATGACCTTAGAAGAAGTGTGTTATATGTTTGGATGCTTGAATGTGTGAATGTATTGATGCTTGTGCGTGTGGATGCGTGAACGCTTGGGTGTGTGAATGTGTGGATGTTCGTAGGTTGATGGGAAAATAGAGAAGAAGTATTGAGGGACGAATCACTCACTTTGAAGCGGTACTTGTATACAGATTGAAGGCAGTCTTCAAAACAGGTAGAAGGACTTGCGGAAGAAAGGATCATGATAATCCTTTCATCCTGTACACCTGACCCATTGAATAGAGGGTTTTTTCAGACGTGTAAGAATATGCTGTGCACAAGAGTCTTCTGAATTGGAGGCTGTGGCGTCATTGACAAGGTCAGCAAAGATGAAAGGTAGGTGAGAACGTTTCAAGTAGCTACCGATGTTGCTCCCGAATGGGTTTCATCGTTGTATCAAGGGGAATAGAAAACAAATTTTTGATGTCATAGCCGATGTGAATGTTAAATATATAAGTAAGTCATGTATATCTACATAAGTAACATGTATTAAACTCAGAGGGAAACAACACCTCCGAAAGATCCAATCAAAAACTTTCACTCGAGGGCATCCATCATCAAGCTTGAATCATTCTCTGCCGCTTGTTTAAAAGCCATGATGAATCGACTCAAAATATCATCACCATCCGTCGAGATTGTGGGATCAGCTTTCACACTTTCAAGTGTTCGAGCAAGAGTATTATGTACTTCGGTACATACCGCTTGATAAAGTATTCGGAAATGTGGATCTTCTCTAATCTTCTGTTGCGTTTCAGATTTGAGATCCTTGAAGTTGATTGAACGAGATGGAGAATCTTGTATTTCATGATCGTCTCGGTTGAAAGAGCTTGATGAGAAAGTATTGGTTTCCGTTTCGGAATCGGTTTGAGAACGTTCATCAATCTCATTTTGGATTTCTTTCCGAAATAAGGGATTACCAGGTTGGTAGTCGACATCTGTATTGTGAAGGTCACGAAGAGAGTTTTCGCTATCTTCCTGGAATACGGGACTATGAGCTTGGTTGTAGTTATCTTCCTCGTCAAGATCGCTTTCGATGTCTTTCCGGAAGAGGGGACTGCGGGAATGATCAGCATGATCTTCCTCGTCGGAACGATCGATGTCGTCCCCTTTATCGTGTCGAAGTGGGGGATTAAAAGGACCGGAATTGATATCTTCCTCTTCTGAGTCTGTGAAATCGGGTAGACGTGCGAGGTAGTCTTGGAAATCTCCATCTTCTTCACTCGTCGAATCGTCGTATTCCTTCATAACCTCTTGAGTACGTCCCTGAATCTCATCGCCTGAAGCCTGGCTCGTATCGTCCTCCAATTCCTCATACCCTCCCGAAATTGGAGATGGGACTTCGTCATTGTTACTGAGATCTGGGCTCCTTTGATCAGGTGACTCCATACCAATAGATAAATCATTGCGGTCGATCTTAGCAACCCACTCCTCGATCTCATGCTTTGCTACAGTTTCACCCTCGTCATCTGCGTCTTCATCTTCCGAGTCGAGGGAAGATTCTATCTCGGTTGATGAGTTGCTACTTCCAAGAGCTCGACCGAGAGCTTTCTCATATTGAAGATTTCCCTGAATTTCGTCTTCACTACTGTCATCGGAAGGATTTGGAATTAGACCGGTATATGTAGGTTGGGCATGCATATCGACGGTTGACATTGATTACGACTTCGCTTTTGAACAAGAGGATTGCGACGGGGTGGTAAATATGATCAGAGTGATTAGGCGTGAATTAAGCGGAGTTGTTCATGACATTACTAAACACATCTCTAACGTCTGATGAGGTGATCGATCGCCATCGCTCAGTATGGCGCCTTCTCTTCTCATTTTTTTCAAGAGACGATATGTACTTGGCACGAGGAGGAGAAAGGATAGTCTTCCTTCTCATAACCACCTTTCAAACTGTACTCCTTCCGTATTCCGCGACGCGTATCATCGTCTTTCGTCTACCCGATGAAACTCCTTCAAATGTTTCATTGATCATCCCTGTCGTCCGGGCCGAAGATATGAAAGCAGAACAAAGCTTATGTGTGTCTAGCCGACATCTCGATGGGGTCAAACAAGGGAATCGAGAGCAAACGCCGGGCCTACGGACCGGTTTGAACATTGGAGTTCGTTCCGCGACATGTGTAGTCTCCTCTGTCCGGGCGAGATTCCCTTGAGTCGACCGGAGGATACGCTGACGTGCAAGATGTGTAAGCAGTGAAGAGGGTTCGCAGCGAGATTTGGAAGTCATAAAAGGCGACGATGGGCCTGCAAGTATCATCAGCTTTTAATCATTGAAGCAGATCAAGATCACACGGTTTCTCATCGACAACAGACAGTTTCATTTCCCTGATCGAATACATTAAGCCAGATAGAATGTCACTCACTCAGACTCTTCCACCGATAATCATCCCAAGCCCTTCTGTCATTCAACCACGTCCAAAAGTTCACATCACTAAAGCTATCCATCCCAGCTTTCACGCCTATAATGTCAAGCTTCATACAGTGCTTGCACGGAACCCGGAGTTGGTACGTACGGCATGTCTCAAGACACACGCTTTGTTACTCGCTCTCGCACCTAATTCAATGGACGGTATGCCGCTCGGCAAGAAGCTCAAATACGATGTCAGTCCGAATGATGAGAAGAGGTTTAGGGAGTTGAGATGGATTGTCAGTCCTAGATTAGCCATCAAACAGGCTGAGACGGAGAATGATTGGTACAAGAGTGGAATGTGGGAAGTATGGAGTGAGTTGAGGATGTTAGGAAAGGAGTGTACTGTAGAAGAACTGGACCAGTTTGTTAGATGTTTACCCATGTCTATGGCAGTTCAGTAGTAGGCCTAGTAGTTAGGCCTAAGTAGTGGAGTTTTGTACAAAGTGAGGAGGGATATGAATGACGTGGCATTACGTAATATTGAGTAGACGCGACTTTCACGCGCACTAAAACTCACTCACTTTGTCTTGCATTCTAACTTTTTATACAGCTTCAAGAGAGTCTCAGCTATTCAATCATGTCGCATGTGACCTTCGAGAGTAGTGAGTGATGATCTCTGCCACTTTCTACATGAACTGACCGGTAGTTTTCCTGAACGATGGCTATGATCAAGGTCGTGAGTCTTCTTCCTTCCCAGATCGTCGTCCACAAATGAATACGAGGTGTTGTTCGGTGGATGTTGTGGATCCGAGGCTTCTCGTTCACCTCGATATGTGAAGTTTACCAATACTGATCCAAAGGCCTTCGATTCAATGCTGCAGGTTTTGGATGGAAGAGCTACAAAGACGAAGCGAACCAACCCAAGACTTTCAATGGGGGTGATATCAGAGGTGCTCAGTGGTTCAGGTGAGTTGATCATTCTTCTCTGGTCAAATTGTTTTCCCGTCCATCCTTGCAGGACACAATTTTTTCTTTCTCTCCCGCTACGATGGAAATCGATGATGTCGGCTGACTGCTACAGAGTGGCGAGAAATTTCCAGCTCCGGATCAGCCTACGACTGCCTGACACCCCTAGAGTTACATTCGACGGTTTTCCTCGAGATGTTAGTCGCCCCTAGCGGCGCCTTTTTATCTGTCCAGCTGACGAGAAGGACCACGATAAGATAAAGAGAACTTTGGACGACTACTACAACATCAAACTCGAGACGAAAGATCCTGCTTTGAAGGGATATAATTGGGGTAAAGTCAACGTGCTCAGTGAGCTTTACACTTGTTTTTCCACTGTTAAAGCTGACGTATAGATCATGATATCGAATTTTCGGTACAAAACAAAACAGCCTTTGAAATCCCACTTTCCGCCGTGGCCAATTCCAACGTTGCAGGTAAAAATGAAGTCTCTCTCGAATTCGCCCCACCTGCTTTCAAAAAAGATCCAAAGAATCTCTCACTGAAACCGATGGATGAAATGGTGGAAATCCGCTTTTACGTTCCTGGGAAGAGTGTAAAACCAAGAGGGAGCGACGCTGGTAGTGATGATGAGTCAGAAGTGGAGTTGGATGAAGATGGTAATGAGATAACTGCCGCACAAGCTTTACACAGTGCCATCGCTGAGAAAGCGGATATTGGGGAAGTAGTGGGAGACAGTATTGTATCTTTCTCAGATGTTCTCATATTAACACCTAGGTCAGATTTCCCTTCTGGTTCTCGTTGATGGGTGTAGCTGACAAAGAACAGAGGACGTTACACATTAGACTTTTACCCTGATTCAGTCCGATTATTAGGAAAAAGCACAGATTACCGTGTTCCCTTCACCAGCGTCCGCCGATTATTCCTCCTTCCTAAACTGGATGATTTACACGTACAACTTGTCATCGGTCTAGACCCACCTATACGACAAGGCGCTACTAGATATCCTTTCTTAGTTCTTCAATGGCCAAAAGATGAGGAAGTGGATGCTGAATTGGCCATGACGGAGTGGGTTTGCAGCTAGTAAAGGCAGAAGGAGAAAGCTGAATTGATAGTGAAGAACTAGCCAACTATCCCGATTTGAAAAAGAAATACGACGCACCTTCATTCACCGTCATTTCTCAAGTAATCAAATCTTTCACAGGCAAAAGAGTCACTCCTCCCGGTAGTTTCAGAAAGTAAGTCTTCACATTTTCAACCAAAGCTGACGACAGTGCTCAAGGATTGAATGGTATCAAAGCCAATGTCAAGGCTGTTCAAGGAGAATTATACTTTTTGGACAAGGGTCTTATCTTTATTGCGAAACAACCGATTTTAATTGATTTCTCAAAAACTGAGACTATCTCTTTCTCACGGTCAGCTTTTTTAGGATTCATCGTAGTGTGAGCTGATTTGGACAGTGTGGGAGGAGGTATCGCATCAGCCAGAACATTCGACATGAGAGTTGTTTCCCGAGCAGAAGGGACAGATATCATCTTTTCTTCCATCAATAAAGAAGAGAGTGCACATATCACAGCGTTTTTGAAAGAAAAAGGTGTTAGAGTGAAAGATGAGATTGAAGAAGCTATGGATATCGAACCTATCAGTGAAGAAGAAGAAGATGATGATGATCTTAGTATTGCATCAGAGGATGAGGATAGAGGGAAGAAGAAGAATAAACCAGTCAAATCGAGTAAACCGGTAAAGAAGACTGCGGATGATGATGATGAGTCTGGTGAGTTTTGCCGTATACACCGTTTAGAAAACATGATCCGTTCCTCTTTACCTTGTACCCTATCCCATTTTCCAAAGTGTTGCTCATATGTTTCGTTCCTCATCTGCCATCTACCCTCTGCTTCTGCTACTGCTGCCAGTTTTGTGTTCGTAGGAACACGGAGCTATACGCTAACCCGACAGACGATGAAGACTTTGCCGAACAATCTTCAGACGATGGATCACCCTCGGAATCTGATTCAGACGCAGATAGCGAAGGAGTCGCGTCAGACGCTTCGGATCCAATGATGGAAGAATTACGAAACAAACAGACCAAAGGGAAACAGAGCAAGGCACAAGGGTCAGATAGTGAGGTCGAAAAGCCAAAGAAGAAGAAAGCAAAGGTCGAGGAAGATTGATCGTTGTCTCTCTGGGGTAAAAGAACATTAAATGATTGTATTCATCCATCCATACGAAAACTCATCAAAAATGCATCATCTCGCATTTGTACTTGAGCCTGCATTTGCAGAGAAAATACTGCGCTCTACAGTACAGTTCATACATGGAGATAAACGGGAATGGTACAAGTAAGGGATGTATGACTGAAACAGTACGAGTATCGGATGGGTTACACCAGGTATGAATAATAATTTCATGATCGGTCCAACCTCCCTACTTCTTGTCCATCTCCCAAAACCAACACATCTCTAGGTTTATCATGACTACCTAAGAGAGTGACACGTCTGATTCTGTTGGGCACTGTATATTCACCTTCACTGTTGATACTCAATTCACCATTGATGAATTTGAATCGCATAGTTGTCCGTTGTGCTATCCGTCAGTCAAAATCGCCGAATACTAAACGACGACGACCATCCAGGGAAAGACTAGTGCTTGAAGGAACAGCCGTGCACGAAACAATGGGATGGATCAGGGTAATCAAAATGGGGAGGGAAGGACTAAAGAGATGAGGGGGATGAACGTACAGTTCAAAGAGACACCATCATCCAAAATCACCTCTCCACTCGCTTGACCTTGTTTATCAAGATTGATAATTAACCCAAAATCACTTTTCTCTCGAGTGGTCCTGATGGTTTGTCGGGGTTTATCATATACCATGAGGATGGTTCCTGCTCTGATATGAACGTTTATATGACCTAAAGGAGCCGATAGGGTGGTCATATCATGTTCGTCCGTTTTGACTTCCTATTAGTCAGCTTCCTTTCTTGCTCTTTATCTGTCCTCTGCAAACAAATTTTCATCACATGTTCCCCAGACCAATGATCCTAAAGATACTGACGGTCCTCAACCAATGTTCACACGGCGTGTCTTGTTGCTCGCTGGAAATTGGCTGTAAAGAGACATAGAGTCACAAGAGTACTGTATATGGACAGAGAAGTTCCCAAAGCAATGGGGTAAATGGACAGAAAGATGAGAACGTACTTGCTGAGTCCACAAACATCTCCAAGGTGCCCCTTCTTTTGGAAAATACCCACGAACGGTGGTGGCGCCTCTTTCGAACACCGGCGTGACGAGGATCGAAGGACCCAGCATGAACTGCGCGTCCACGTCGAGGAGTTTCGGATTAGGGAAATGGAAGAATAATGGTCGGATGATTGGGCTAGGGAGTGAGCACGATAGAATTATGACGGATAATCAGCAGCCCCTGAGTATCTCTTCATCCGAACAGAAGAGATTAGACTTGAGAGGTGGAATGTGAAGAAAGGGGGAAGAAGAGGGAAATGAATGACTCACCTGCCATGGTCACTCGCGTTAGAGAAGAGTGATTCCCAATAAGGTAAGAGACTGTATCGCGCCAAGATGGCTTTCCGAGAAGCTGCAGCGACGGAAGGCCAGCGATAAGGTTCTTGTCCTTGTGCACTGTCATAAGCGTTGTCTCTACCTTATCTCTGACGAGTGGGGGGAAGCGAGAGGTGAACAGAGAGGGTATGTGTTAGAAGAGTTCAGGTAAGTCAGAAGGGCAAGCAAAGAGAACGGGAAGAAATGACAGAAGAAAGGGAGAAGGGAAGATAAATTTGAAGAGCAAGAAAGACAACAGGCTCTTAGGTCAGAAGAGGGAAAGAAAGTCTCACTCAATATGATTGTGATTCCTAAAGAAAGGGTAAAACGCTCCTAATTGCATCCATCGATCACAAAGCTCTTCAGTGGCATCACCATGAAACCCACAGATGTCAGGTCCTACCATTGGGATCTGAGCATAAGTATATGTGGTGGTCGACTGTCCACTCCAAGCAATCTGATCTAGGGCCCCAGAGCAAATCAGCTAAAGACCACATTGGTGAGAGAAGACAGCTGGAATGAAGAAAATGAATAGGCGCCAATGATGATGAAAAAAGGTTCCTAGAAGAGACACTCACTTGAAAGAGTTGAAATTGAAGTACACCCTGTACCGACTCTCTCATACTTCTCCAAGTACTATCATTGTCTCCTAACCAGTGCGCAGCAACTGTGCATTAGCCCTACAATTGCAACCTGAACATGATTGGTATAAAAAGACACCGACCTCTACCCGATCCTGCAAAGGTGCTGCGAGAAAGGATGAACTGTCTTTTCCCCGGTATCTGCTTCTCCAGTACTTTAGAGGTCAAAACGCTCTCACTAGATACATTCAGTAACTCGATATAGGTAAAATAGAGAGACTTACTGATAGCCGTATAAATTGTGAGTGTTGTAATGTCTTGATCCATCTGCGTTAAGACAGGTAGGTCCAACAGTCATTGAGCCTAAATCTTTTAAAGCTTGGTGGATCTATCAATCAGTCACTTTGACAGTGACCTGCCTGGTCCAACCGACGAATGAAAAGGAGAGAAAGAAGTAGATTGACTCGATGCGATGAGAAGAAAATGACTCACGGCATAAGGTGGTAAATCCAGTAAACTATGTTCTTCTTTAGGTTCTTTCTTCAATCGATCAAGTAAACCATGTTCCCCTTTAGACTCCTTCCCTTCTTTTCGTCGATGGACCAACCGACCCAATCTCTGAGTCATTGACTTCTTATGTTTCTCTGCTGAGGGTGAGGCGGGATTTGAAGATTGTGCACCTTTAGTTGGAGATGGAGATCTTTCTTTGGTTGGCGAGATGGTTCTTATTTTACATGGGGAAGAAGGCCGAGGAATCGAGGATGACACTACTGACTTGTCGGGTGAGACCGAACGAGAAGACGATCTCCCACGAGACTTGAGTTTCTCTCTTGGATCAGCCTTGATAGGAGCGTCGGTGAACGAAGCGGGTTCGTTCATGTCAAGCCAGATACCGTCGTATTCGCATACTTGACGGAAATTGTCGAAAGAGCTTTGCCACCATTGTGTTGTGGAGGGATTGGTCCAGTCGGGAAAGACAGTTTTCCTACTGGATCAGCCACTCTACTCTGTCTCTGATATCATCTTCTCTTCTATCATATTCTATGAATGCTCGTATTTGTATGAGGTAACATTCTGATTTCATATGGGGATTGTCTCGAAACCTCAAAACATTCATGTTCGCCCATAGGGATGCTCAAAGATAGGACAAATTTTGAGAAGGAAAGGGATTGAGCTTACCCAGGCCAGACTTCGCCGATGAACTCCTCTCCCTCAGCGTTCTTGATGAACACACCTTTCCGATGACCATGATCATACGTATCATATCCGTCTCCTTCGCCAGAGATCCCAAAACCTGCATCAACAATTGGAACGTAATATCGTTTTGATTCATGCAGCGCTCTCGTGAATTTCAGCAGGTCTCTGCTACTTCAGCGTTCCTCTTGCTCAATACGTCCAGACACTTTCAGCATCGACTGTGCCGAATGTGCAATATGAAACGTGGAAATGCAGCGTGTAGAACAAGATGTGTGACGTGAGATGTAGAAAATGGAATGAGTAAAATGTGTGGATTGATTTTCAAACATGTAATTTATGTGGGTTATGAGAGATGTGTAAACTGTATGGGATGGGAAGAATGACTTAAACCACTCACTGATACTCTTGTTTCACAGTGAAATTCCTATATCTATCCATATAATCCAAATCACTCCAAACCACATCCAACGGCACTCCCTTCTCTTCCATCTTCTCCATAACGCCCTCTATTTCCTTTACTGACTTCCACCCCCAACGAGATAAATGAAAAGCCAAAGCCCAAAAAGGTATCTTAGATGGTTTTCCAACCACATGAGAATACTGTTCGACCACTTGTATGGGTGTAGGTCCAGCTAAGAAATATAAATCAAAAGTTCCTCCGATCATCCGATATTGCAACACTTCCGGACGTAAGATAACGTCCATCCCATGAGAATTAAGCATGAACACTCCATGTGAACCAGTTGGTCGAACTTCGAGATAAAATGGATGACTTCCGTAAAGATTTTCGTCAATTGGTGTACCGCCTGAATCTCGGTTCCACATTGTCGCTATTGTTCCGTTGGGGTCTCGTCGAAAACCAGAAGAAGAAACAACTTCACCGAGACCGTATATGTTGGCGTTGGTAGGTAATGAAGTGGACATTTGAAGGTATTGATCTTCATAGATTAAGGAATGTGAGGAGATGGTACTGTCTCTTATGACTCGGCCGTCTTTCCCCATTGGACTGAGGTGAAGAGGTAGGTTAGCAGGACGGGTGTCGAATATAGGTTCGGGGTCATCACCACGGGTGATCCAGAAGGCGAAGAGTTCTCCGATGGGTGTATGGTGGAATTTGAGTTTGGATGGGACGTGGTCGTCGGCAAGGTGGGAATCTATCGGAAAGGTAGGGGGACGAGGAAATAGATCGGTAGGGATTTGGTATTGTTGCTCAGCTGCATCATATATATGAACGTGTAAACCTAATCGTCAGTCGAACACATTGCATTCTCGTGTGGATTGCGGAAACAGGAAACAAACAAAAGATAGAGACCAGGGGTCGGAGAGGAAGTGACTCACGGTCAGCGGTTTGATATTCTACGAGTAAGACGAGTTCCTCGATATCATGACCATAAGCTTTTCCTGGAGATCCAGCCAAGGAGAGGTTAGCGTGAAGTCCATGAGGCGCGGGTTTAACATCCAGGAGAATGTAGCCTTTGCCGTCATCATACAGTCAAATTCAAAGGATGAAAGCTCACCAGGACACTTTAAGACATCTTCTGTGAACCGATTTGGCATAGTGACGAGGTGATTGATCAGTGAGAAAAAGATGTCAGTGGCAAAAACTAGCAAGAGACGTCAGTACTTTTTTGAATGAAGCATGAAGTATTGATGGTCAGTCGCCCAAGTGGATAAGCAGGCTCTTTTGTCCTCAAGGTGGGAAAGGGAACTCATCCTCGAGGTGATCGGGAGGACACCACGTTTTCTCAGACGAGTTTACGCACCTTCTAACAAGATGATATGTGTGTCCATGCTCTATAATGCTTGTTTGTCCACATCCAAATTACCCACTACTGATCGCACTTTTGTCAATACTTCTTCCCACTCCATATCGTTATCAGATAACCAAGTGATAGCCCCTCCTGCACCCAAAGACATGTCTTATTTGGTCAGCTGATGGTTATACTGAGAAAGACATAGAAACTGACGGTCACCCTCAATGATCATTGTCCGGATCACAACGCTAAGATCAGTCGACCCATCCACGGAGAGATATCCCAGAGCACCAGAGTAAATACCTCTTCTCCGATGAGACTCAAAGTCGTCCAATAGCTGAACGGACCGAAGTTTGGGCGCTCCCGTCATGGAACCAGGTGGGAAACACCTCTTGACAGCTTCTACTTGCCCAACGTTGTCCGCCAACATACCCTCGACTGTTGTAACAAGATTATGAACTCCATAACTCTCCAATGCGATGAGCTTGGGCACTTTGACCGTGGAAGGTATACAGCAACCGAGCAAGTCGGAGCGGATTAAGTCGACGATCTAGGCGGTCAGCTCAGCATATCACAATCATGTTCGAGGGAAGAGGGGGGAGGGTGTGAATGCTGGGGGAAGCTATATGCAAACGAGGAGAAAGTTCGACCACTCACCATCAGATTCTCAGCTCGTTCTTTCTCATCGGCTTCAAGTTCTTCCCCTCTTCTATGATCCTCTCGCTGAGCCTCCTGTCTACATTTCTCTCCGCCAACGTCCCGACCTTCGCAGCCCCTTCCAGGTCCGCAAACACATTGCCCAATCTTTACTCTGGCTCTCGTACCTTTGATAGGCATCATCTCCACTCTGCCCTGCTCGGTCTTCAAGAACCTTTCCGGTGAAGACGATAGGACGTGCACCCCTCTACCACGCGGGGTGACGAGTGATGGGAAGGACAAAAAGGACGAGTAATAAGCCGGGTTGAAAGTGCGCAATCGGAGGTATAGGGAGAACGGATCATTTGATGTAGGGCAGCAAGCTTCGAATTGGGTGGTCAGAGTGAGTTCATAGGACTCACCTTGCCGGATGGCTTCACGGCAAGATGATATGGTGTTGGTGTATGCAGTCGCATTGTCGATAGGTCTGAAGGAGGGGAATCCTGGAGCGAATTTCAAGGTGAGCTGATCCGGGTCCTGTAGGGCGAGAGAGGCAATATGCTCGAAATCATCGAATTGGGTAGGAGAGATACCGAGGGTGACCCCCAAGCTACCTAGCCAACCAGTCAAATCCTTCGATTGGTCGTCCTGCGCCGCTGTACGTGGCGTTGGTGGTTGATTGATTGGGTCGGCGACCAAACCTCGAGCGATCCAGTCCCCTTCCGATGTACGCTCAAGTATCCGATCACACCAAGCCCAGCACGCATCGATCTCTCCTTCACCCTCGGCAAGTGTATCCTTTCGATATCCTTGCAAACTCTCGACTTTCATCTCGTAGCCAAACCACCCCACCCAGCCACCCTGCCAACCGCGTCGTCGCTGATCAGAGGAGACAAGAGATGAGTAGATCTCTTCGTGGCCCTGACCGAACCACTCCCAGAACGTCGTTTCGGCGGGCAGAACGAGTTTAGAGGGCGGCTGGTCAGGGAGATGGAGGGCTACGCTTCGTGATGATAGGGAATAAGTGATGACGAACGATGGAGATGCTAAAGATGTTGTTGTTGGTCTGGTGGGCTATATTGATTAGCTACCTTCCTTTAGGCATCTTGATTGACCCACAGTCTTTCCATCCAACCAGATGTCTCCAATTCTCTCCTTTCCTTTTCTTGATCTAATCAAACGATGGAATATCAACTCTGTGGGTACATCTCTGCCCAGATCACCGAAAGGTTTCTCAACCAATGATAATTGCGAGATACGAGAAGACTCGGCAAATGAATGTTGTGACGCCGGTCTCGAGATCGGTGGTGTAGGTAAAGGAGGTGTCGCGTGGGTTTTATATGGATTGCTTTGTCTTTTCACAGCCGCGATACGATAGGAACATGAGTTCAGTATATGTTCTGGGAGGAGATTATAGGAAACTGGTCGAGAATTGTTACGATGTACGTTATCCAAGAAAGCGTGCAGAAGAACACTTCCGTGGGTAGAGGAAATGGACTGAATGTTGTCAACGCTGAGAACCTGCTGCTGGGGACTGCTTACTTCTGGATGATATTGGACACCCCATATTGGGTATGACTTGTGTCTTATACCTTGTATAGTTCTACGTTCTTCATCTAATGCGGACCATGCGGTGACTTCGAGGTCCTCAGGGAGAGCTGTTCGTCAGACCATGACATCACACGGTGACTCACTTTCCGGTTCGATAGTCAGACTGTTATAGACAACAACTTTGAACACGTCTTCTATCCCGCTGTTCTTCCATACTGGAGAATCGAACAGCCCAAGGGCTGGTAGCACAGGCTTGACAGGTATCACATGTCCATGCGATATGCGAGGAGTGTTGATAATCTTCATAGGTGAGCTCACCCATATGATCGGGAGGAAGGATGGGAACATACCTTTCCGCCAAAAGCCACTCCGATAGCTTGATGACCCAAGCAAACTCCGAGTATCGGAACGGGATGTAATCGAAGAAGATCCAAAGCGAATCCGATGTCCTACGACGATCAGCCGCAGTCATAAGTAGTGATGAATGGAAAGCTCACTGAAGGTGTGTCAGGCCGTCCAGGTCCTGGAGACAAGATGATACAGTCGATACTTGGGATTACTTGTGTTTGGAATTCATCCCTGCGCAATGGATCAGCCATACAATCTGGAAATCGGGAAGGTGAGGAACTGACCAGGTATAACGATCGGCCTTGACGACGACTACCTTCTTGAGAACCTCTTCGTCCGAGTAGAGCTGTGTGAAAAGGGTGAGAAGGTTGTTGGTATCTATTCTGTCAGCTGAACCACTCGTCACATGCAGGTGCCCGGAGCAACTCACATGAATCATAATAGTCTAAAATGACTGTCCTGGGCAGAGGAGGAATGGGGATGGTAGAGGCGGAAGTCATGTGGAATTTGTTCACGACAAGAAAGTCAGATCGAAGTGATTGGATTACTTGGAGGTTATGAGTCAAATCGAAGGAAGTTCCTATGCTCCTGAGATCCCTGCGAGCCTTGTCATATGTAAGTATATATAAGTGTAGAAGATCGAAAGAGTAGAGAAAAAGTTGCGATATGACGATTTTTGGGGGAGAAAGTCGGATCTTTGTTCGATCTCGATCACGCCGAAGAATTCCGCTCATCTTCATCTACGGTGGCCGGGAAGTCCCAGGTTAAGTCGCGGATCGCGGATCCTGGATCGTGGAAAGAACGAGCCTTCCGATCTTTCAATTCAATTCATGGTCCACATCATGCATACAAATTTCCTTGCATTCTACATGCATGTCTTAATCACTTGACCCCATTCAGTCCCACCTGATAGAAGTGAGAGTATCCTGCTAGTTTGCTTTGAGTATTCAGATCAGTCCAGCAAGTGAAAACAACCTGCCGAGTGTCTTCGGTCCCCCCTTCCTCTGTCTCGTTCCCCCCTTCCTCTGTCTCGTTTCCCCCCTCCTCCTTGTTCCCCCCTTGGTCTGAGTGACTGCTCCCCCTGGTGTACTCTTCGCTACTGTCTCCCCCCGAGTCCACACCATCCCAATTTTCTATCTGCATATCCAAACCATCCACTCCAAGTCCATCCATCTCAACTCCGTCCATTTCAAGTCCGTCCATCTCACTTTCATCCATTTCCTGTCCCGCATCATTACTGCCCCCGTCCCCACAGTCATCCCGGAGTGGTTCTAGCTTGTGGAGGTATCGATGTGCTAGAAAACCAACAACATCGCCAGGCTTCACACGTATAGTACAGCCAAGTTCCGGTAGATGTAGAAGCGCAGGTGAACCAAGGACTGAGATGATTGTATAATGGTTTCCTGCAAATTAGCGACTACATAATATAGCATCTGCGGACTCCCTCAAAAGATGAGAAGTAAAAGCAGACGTACCATAATCTTTGGAATCCACATGCCAGTCTGTTCCTTCTCCCCATGATACTGCGAGCATCATCCCCATTCCTCCCAATCTAAGAGCTGCGGCTGTAGAATGTGTAGTTTCAAGCGACTCTGCTGTCTTGCGGAAGCTAGCAGGAATGAGTTTATTCTTTAGTGACTCTAGATAGTCTCGGACTCGACAGTGGTTGTGTCCCATTGAAATTGCGACCGGAGGGTCAAGTTTATTGAGCATTGTGCGTGGTTTCCCCCCAAATACCTTATCGTACATCTTGAGAAGCTCTAATACTGCTTCTTGAGACCGTTTCTGTCGAGAATCTGCGGATATGACACTGTGTTTTGCATATCGGCACCACACCCCAAACCACCACTGATGGAATTTTGCACCTCGAGACGCAATTGTATGAGACTTGAGACCCTTATCCCACACATGTTTGACCAATTCATAGAGAGTTGATTGTTGAGTTGGTGTGACGACATTGTGCAGCCGGAATGCGGCCCACCTGGGCTTGCCAGGTTGGTATTGAGGGTTGGGGAGGAAGATGTGATCCGTATGAGAGAGGACTTGTTGTTTGGAGAAAAATGTTGCAATGAAGACCTCACGAGAAAGTCCAAGTGGAGAGAGTAGTGAGGGGAATGTGATGACATGTCGGAACCATGTTGACACAGGAAACGGAAGGGTTGTACTTTGTTTCAAACTGTCACGGCTGTCGAACAACTATCTTCTAGTAGACCGACGGTCGACGAACCTCGGCTAACTTGACGCTTCTAAGTCGATGTCTCACCCAACCAGGAGGGCGCAGACGTCGAAAGGAGTGTAACTACGGCGTACTTCGGCGTAGTTACTCTAACTGAGGTTTTGTTCTACTGATGGCGATGTATCTCGATTGTATATAGCTATCTCTATGTCTTTCACTACTGACAACAATCAAGGATCGCTGAAGAACTTCAGCGATCTTCTCAGCTAATATTATCTACTCCTCCTAGACGTTCATCCAACCCTCTCGCGCTTTGACGTACTTCAACGCACTTCGTCCAACTTCCCCGAGCCCTCGGCCATCCTCTTCCTCCTTCGACTAACTCCGCCTAACATCGCCGCACTTCTGCTCCCATTGTCCCTACTTAGCCTAACTCCGTCTAACTTCGCCGTACTTCTGCTCCCATTGTCCCTACTTAGACTAACTCCGTCTAACTTCGCCGTACTTCTGCTCCCATTGTCCCTACTTAGACTAACTCCGCCTAACATCGCCGCACTTCTGCTCCCATTGTCCCTACTTAGCCTAACTCCGTCTAACTTCGCCGTACTTCTGCTCCCATTGTTCCTACTTAGCCTAACTCCGTCTAACTTCGCCGTACTTGGTGTCAGAAGTCCTGAGTTACGTGTAGAGTAAAGAGGTTAAGGCGTGATGGGGTTTTGATGGCCAAAGGAGGGTCATTGTTGGTGGAGTAATCGAGGTGTCGCGACGTAGTTCGTGACACAAACGCTGAGCCTGTCGTCGAGCTTTGTTTCGTCCGGTCGTCATATTGGGGTATACCAGTAAGGAGCACGATCACTCTGTCTTAGGGTTCCCGGCCAAATATGAGGAAGACAGCTGGGACAAGTCCAGCATCAAGAGATGTTAGAAGAGAAATTTTTCAGAGAGGTAGAGAAGGAGATAGTGAGCACGGGGGTTTCTTTGCGCCGACTAAAGGGTCAGACGTGGCAGTATTGACTATAAATCAGACGTGGCAGTACCGACAAGAAGGTCAGATGTGGCAGTACCAGTAACACTATGGTATCGTCAGTAGACTATGATTAGATTTTCCCTCGGCTGGGATCTGACTTTCCAGAGTTGAACCATTCATATTGTTTTATTCACAAGCATGTTGTTAGAGGTGGAGAACAGGTCTCAAGCAAGGAGCGCCAGGGGGTAAGGACGTCACGAGGAAGATGTCTCCGTGTCCTCTATTTCCTTTTCACCATTATTTCCCCCTTGTGTTCCTGCATTTTCTTCGATGGATTCCTGCTTCAATGAGCTCAACGACGGATGGCTTGCAGACACTTACAAATGCACTTGCTCCTCTGTCAGCTTCCTTGTTGCTCTTGGCTTCATGCTCCTTCTGAGCCTCCACAATCCACCAGGGACGATGACGATAGCTGACAAATTTCATGGGACGAGGGAATGACTTTTGGTGACCTTGAGCAGTTGTCAGACCAAGTTCCTTGCACGCATCCCCGCAGATATGCTGGTTCAAGAACTGGTTCAACATGCCAGCACCACCATCACCCATACTTGAGTCTCCCCGTGCCCTGTTGGTGAGACATAGAAGCAAAACAAAGCTTGTTACTCACGTGTGAGTAACCAAATCAAACAAGTGGAACTCTCCATGATCGACGGGCCCCCTTCTGGATACTGATGCCTTTTTACGAAACCCTGTTCATACTTTAGCACTGCAAATGTCTTACAAACAAACTTACCTTGAATGTCGGCAATAACAATCATAGCCTCCTCTCTAGCCTCACTAGTTTTCAACCCTGCCATTGATCGATGGAACACAAAATGAATGAATGCGTGCATGAATCGATAGAGACGTTGATCTTCTATTTCAATTTCTTCCTCATCAGGCATGGCAAACTCGTCTGTGTTGTTGATCTTGATGTACTTGCCCAGAGGTCGCAGATCGGGCTCCACCATGTAGGTTTCCTCCTCAGTAGACGACAAAGTTGCAAGAAAGCAGGGTGTGTAAATGAGGTTGGGAAGATCCAGTTTATCGTAAACTTTTGACAACTCTTCTGAAAACGCCTTTAGATAAGAGGCAACTAAGATGGCCTTCTTGCACTCCATTTCAAGGAGTTGGTGATTGGTAGACTTTGACATAGTTGCCAAAGATAACTCCTTGTGGTCAAAACGGAAGTGTCTCTTGGCCACAAGGTCAACCTCGTTATATCGGAACTATAGCGTAAGCTTTAGCAACCTATGATGAGCAATGATTTGACTTGGCTCACTTCAAATGCCTGTTTGTGGCTACCGGCAGCAAATGGCTTGCTTGCCAATAGACCAGCTAGTAGAGAGCTTTGTATGCCAAAAAATGAGCCATCCTTCTTGTGGTGGAAGTCTGTTTTCACAAATTCGACTTGTTTGAAGACAAAGCGATGTGATTGAGAAACTCCGAGTGCCATGCGGCCTAGATATCAGTCTCCATATAGTAACAAGGAGTATCTCACTCACTCATGGTCTCCTTATTCTGAACAGCAAGACTTGAAGCACGAAAGCTAGCAAACAAAGTTGCTCCTGTGAGAGATGTAGTACTTTTGCTTTGATTGATTGAATCAATTGAGGTGTGGCTACTACTTGTTCTTGGATGAGTAGAAGCCACAATTCGGGAATATGGAGCAACACGTCGTGACATTCGAGAGTTTGTCATATCAGAAGAGTTGGTTGTTTCATCTACAAGCAAGGCCGGCTCTGGCAGCTTGAAGTTGGTCTGTATGGATCAACATTTGTTTACTTATCAATGAAACCTACCAAATCATCAACACTTAGTATCCAAAACACGCGTATGAAGCCAGTCTGCTCTGTATCCTTCCTGGTGAGATAGAGTCGATTTTGTTTACAGTATGTAGTGAAGAACTCGTGTAAACTGATGGGAAGGAACTCCTGGGACAAAGCAATCGGCTCATTCTTCTGGTTGGGCAAGGCAGGTTGCGGAGAGCATCTTAAGTCAGCAGGAGGCAAAGGTGAAGCACAGAGGAAGTACTGACTGGTTGAATGTACGCCCAAACTCTGCCTCTCCCAAGCCTCGGGCCCACATCTCTTGACCTATCACCCGAGCCTCTTCCACGTTAGATGCCAATGATTCTTTCCATTTCCCCAGAAATCCCCGGTCAAAGACAGAATCTTTCCAGTCCTGTAGCTTCCCTGCACACACTAGAATATGGTCAGAATCTCACATTGAGGAGAGTAAAACGCTCACTGAGCATGATCCGCACTTGCATTGCAGGGCCCCTGGAGTTGAGGCCTGCCTTGAGAGCCACCTTTTTCTGTGACCTCTCGTCCAGCAACCATGCACTAGAGGCAATGCCCTGCTGAACCATGGAAGTGGCTTGACGAAATGAGGCTCCTTGAAGCTCTGCTTGAGCAACTTGACGATTGACCGCTAGAGCCTCAGCATCATCTGTAAGATCAGTCAACTGCTTTACAGACTTTGTTATTCAGCCACTTACTATCGCGTCGACATTTGTTACACAGCTTGACATTGGTATTCTCTTCAAGTGGCATGTTTGAGAAGCACTGCACTCCAAAGTGTCCACAAGCAGAGCATTGAGGACGTGACTAGCATCTTTAGAATTTACTCATGTCATTTCAAAGACACTTACTTTGTAATACTCAATTGACTCATCTCTGTCCGTTGGATTGGTGCTCACCTGCTCAATTTTGCGGCAGCGTGGACATGCCTTTAGCTGTAGGCAGTCCTTCAGGAAGGACTTATGACAGTCACGGCAAGTAAAAGGCATCTGATATGTGGTTGGATAGAGAGTGCGTTGATATAGAGAATGAAGCAGTATTGTTTGTTCAAAGAGAGTTTCGAGTGGCTTGTGGAAGATCCAGGCGGAGTTATGGAGTGTGGCAAACAAGTTCTATGCATCAGTGAGCCAAAGCTGCTGAAGCTCATCACGAGCCCTGGGTTCAATATCTTTGAACATTGCCCAGGCAGCCTCCCAGTTTGAGGGTGGGTATGCATGTCCCAAGCAAATGGCAATCTCCAGACAGATTTGGTGGATCTGCTCTGAGACCCATTTCAGCTGTGCGTGGTCTTGAACGTGCCGTTGAAAGTCTTCAATGAGTGATAATTCAGGAAAGTGTTGTAGACAGTCTCTTCCTCCCCAACGTTGAGGATTGAAATAGATATCATTTCTGGAAGCTCCAGAGGGGTTAACCTTCTCTTTCTGATATCTCACGGGATATGAGTTGAAGATGACAAGGAATTGGTCAAGTAGCCGCTGAACAACAGGAGGGACAAGCCAATTCAGTAATGTTCTAGCCGTCAATTAACTGATTTCTTATAAGAAATAATGTGTCACATACTGGTGAACGGGATCCCCATCATGGATCATGTCAGAGTTATATGCGGAATGGAGGGCAATCTTGACCTGGTCCACTACATTCTCTCTTACATTTCTCCAAGATCGTTCAATTGTGATGTTGTGAGTGCTTTTCAGGAGTTTGTATGGGAAGACATCTTCAAGAGCAATGGGAGAATATGTTTTTCTGGTTGATAAGCAACGCTGCCATGTGTATGAGAAGGAGAAACATACCGAAAGGCAATTTGTGAGGCTATTACCTCCCCAATCTCTGAACCACGATCACTTGCAATCTGTAGAGGGAATCCTGTGAGCCATCAGTGACATGCTCATACCTGTTCATGATCACTGACCTCCGAGTTTGACAATGGTATCAAGGAACATGCTGTGCACATCTGTACTCCGACGATTAGAGGGCATTGCTTTCAAGAGTAATAGACGTCCAGAGTAAACATCTCTTATCCCATAGATCCCAATTCCATATGAGGACAATTTGTCATGACCATCAATAGACCATTGTTCATTGGGTCCAACGGAGATGATTGGGAATCGTTGGATTTTCTTGGTACCTGGTCGACGAGATTTCACGCCCTCTGGTGCATACTCTTTCATTGCCTTGTAAACCAGATCTCTGGGGTTGTCAGCATTGTCCTGCACTTCTGTCATCGAAGACTGACCGTGGAATAAGAAATCCACGAAGGGAAAGGCGATGTTTCATGGCCCGTTTTCCAACAACATTATTGATATCCTGATCAAGTTCTTCTTGCATGACCTGTGCCACCTCTTGGGTAGATAGAAGGTTTTTTCGTGAAGTACCAAGCCCAAATGCTTTTGTTGCACGGAAAAAGCTGGAGCGAGAGCTGAAGGCATGAGCAAACATCACATAATGGGGGTGACAGATGACTCACCCAAAACTCATGTCCTTGCCATACTCTTGCTTGAGGCGTTCGTTCACTGACCGCCAGCTTGTCATGCCCTCTTGATAGTACTGCTCCATGGCCTTGCGTAGCTGATCGGAATAAGCTGCTAGAACATCAGCACGCTTTTCTCTGCTGTTCATTGAACGTACGAGAAGCCGGCTTGCCATTCTTGCCCTTGGGATTTGGGGCATAGACACTATGCAAGAGAGGTAGCAGTGTCTCAATATCAATCGGGAATGTGGGGTCATGTTCTGCTTCCAAGTCTTCTGCATGGTTGAAACCTTGCTTTGGTCTCTCCATGGTATGGTGTGGCAGGTGAGTGAAGGAAATTGAGGTAAGTTAAACTGAGTGTGATGCGGCGGATGCAGCGCCACAAATTCAACCTGGGACTTCCCGTCCACGGTATCATCTCATCTTTCCCCCCACTTTATGCAGATGCAGGTGACAAATCTTCTCATTCACATGCATGATGTCTCATCTTCTGCTCACTAGTCTTGTCTGTCTGATCGATCTCCTCCCAGGCAAGCTGAATCGGGAGTCTGGTTGCAGATGGGACAAGAGAGTGACAGCATGTCGGCCTTTGCGCTCAAATCGGGTTTGAGAAAGAGCATGCTTCGGACTTTGCGATCAATGTCAGATGTGCGAGTGGAGGAGCAATGTTTGTATTCGTTATCAGATCTACAACCCCCTCTCTCCCCCTTTCTGAGTCCTTGCCTTCTGCCTCGCTTGCCCTTGCCCTGTGCATACTGACATACAGCCCAGACGGTGTTCCGTATACTCTCACAACAACCTTTCTACCGTGATGCCAAGACCGTGGGATGTTACCTATCCATGGCTCATGCCGAACTTCGTACACCTCTCATTGTAGATGATCTTCTTTCTCACGGTATGTCCTACATTTTCTACTCCGCATCGGCTGATCCATGACCCGATTAGGACAGAGCCTGTTTGTGCCCTATCTCCCCCCCACCCCCGCTGATCCAATCGATCAATCGACATTCCACGCTCCTTCCGCTTCAGTAGAGAACACCATCGATGCTGCCGATATGCATTTCCTCAGACTTTATTCCAAGGAAGACCAAGCTGCATGTCCATTGGACAAATGGGGTATCTTGGATCCTGGAGTGCATAGGGGAGATGATCCGTCACAGCCGAGGAGACAAGATGGTATGTCCCTTTTTTTCACCGTTTTTCAACTAGATTGACCAACAGCTTTGAATCTTGACGCACCTGATTTGGACGTGATACTTTTACCAGGTGTCGCTTTTGACCATTCATGCAATAGAGTAAGATTTTTTCTTAGACTTGACATACGATGACGGATCAGTTGGGAAGAGGGAAAGGATATTATGATCGCTACATTCGTCGATATACCAACACCAGACCATCCCCTCTTCTAGGTTAGCTACACTGTATGATGTGAAAGTTAACAACTGACAAAAAGTCGGCCTTGCTTTAACACCGCAAATCTTACCTCCGGGAGAAGAGGTCCCCACGACAGAAATGGATGCCAGTTTGGACTGTGTCATCTCCCCTTCTGGTCTCACGTGGCGGAAAGGAGCGGAAAGACAGTGAGGGAGACAAAGATGTATTCGCCGTGAAAGTTAATCTAGGAGATGTAGGAGATAGCTGAGAGGAGGGGGGAGATATGAGAGTGAGACGTACACATATTCGGTCCAACGTCATCGACGCACAGACCTCTTCTTCCACTCATTCCTTCTCCACCATTCGTCTCACTTTCTTTCAGTATCCCTCGCTCAATATCTGGCATCTATAGAGGAGCTATCATGATTGACGGGCCAACATCTGTTGATCAGATGCATGGTTTGTTCTCAGAGCTGTGAGTTAGAATCGCTTAGTCAATCGGTCTCATAGTACATCGCTTCGTCCACGATTCATCAGATTTCGTCGTGAGTCAAAGTGAGAGCGCTGAGATAAGTAGGTTCTACTACCCTGGTCACACATTCTCACCTTTACCACATTTTGACATCTCTCAGCAACCTCAGTCACCGTCGAGAATTGTATTCTACGCTCTCCGCCCAACCCCTTCATCTCTCCGTCTGGCCATAGCTTTCATCCAAGATCAAAGTCCGCATGTTCAACGTCTTAGGCGACACTTGTACCCAGGTTAGTAACACCCCTGAAGCTTTCTCGCTGACAAATAGGGGCCGTCATCCGTCTTCCCTCTACAGACTTTCGTTCAGAGAGCATCTGCCCCGCCTTGATGAACGAACCGATTTTTCAGCTTGACTCTCAGCGACCGGGAATGGAGATCATCCGTCTCTTTCCTCACAAAGATGGCGGTACAGAATGGTCACTCTGTTTGTCGGATTCACCACACCATACGAAGCAAGGTTTGTCACCGCTGTCTAGACCTATGGAAGAAGTCGGATTGTTTAGGTCCGTAGTAGAAGCTCGGTCAGTGTTTCTCCACCGCCACAATTACAAACTGATCATCCCTCTAGGCTGAAACGAATGGACGAGGAAGAGGATGAGAAGCAGCAGGACGAAGATTCGTAGTCCACATGGGAACAAATATGGAACTGGTTAGTGAGTGTTTTGGATCGAGGCGCACGTACGCCTAAAGATCCCGACCTTTGCCGTAAAAACTGATGGGCAGTGCAGCATTTAACTCATTCGGCTAGATCGGTCCGTTGTACCGATCTGTTGCTCGCAGGCCGCATGAGCTATGGGATGTCCTGACGGCCTGACAGCTGACGGTGAAGGCTCAGTCAAGTCAAACATGAGGTTTCGATCTCGAAGTACGCCGTCCTCAACATCCCGTTGGCCGTTGTCACTCCGGCTCAAAGGATCAAGCCGACAGCCGGTGCCTTTCTCCCTTCTGCACCGCCTCCGGAGCCCCACAGCTTCAACCACCTGCAGAGGGTGTAGTCGACGAAGGATACATCGACCGAAGTCTCCGTGACAAGGTTTTCATTCTTCTGTTCTGTACCCTGGGCCTTGGAATCGAAGTCGTCAGCTCCACAAGAGGTCCCGATTGACACGGACAACAAGTCTACGTACATCGCCCCTGGACAGGACCGCGCGGGCCCCCACAAATGAACTCCCCACAAAAGGTACACCCCCCCAACGTCATCAATTGAGACAGTACTCAAACGCGCCCCTCTGACCTCCGTGTCCTTCCTTGCATGTTACACCCACGGACAGGTGTAGCGTAACGCATAGCCAGTAGACATGGTGAGACTTTGACCGGGTTCTAAAATGGTGGCTTGGCAAAGGGTGGCTGTGTAAACGTTTGTTTCCCACATACCCGAGTGGTTGTTCCACTCTGTTCTCTCACCTGTCAGAAGGGAATACACCCGCTGGCCGCTGAACCGTTAACGACTGTCCGTCCACTGACATGGGGGTCTCAAGGAGTTCGTTGGAGGATATAAACTGACCCGGACACCCCTTACGTCCATCCCTTCTTCCAACTTCTTCTGACTTTTCATTCAATAAGACCAAAAAGACTCCTCACTCGGACACTTCATCTCTAGTCAATAATCATGCTCGCTCTACTACTTGTTCTCCCACTCTTAGCTTCGGCTAACCCTATCGTCAAACGTGCGACAAACCAACTCGTCTATGCCGGAAGGGACAACCTTTGTATCTCTGTGCAAGGAGGTAGTAAGGCCGTCGCCAAGAATCAGGTCGGCGATGGGACTGCCGTCGTCAGTATACCCTGTAGCCAGGCAAGTACTTGGGATATCAGCCCAGGTTCGGGAAGTCTTGTCCTTAGCGGTACGAACTTTGCCCTCGACGCTGGTTCCAACCCCGGTAACAACGGGGCTCTAAAGGTAAGCAACTTTTTTCCGTCCTCGGTTCCGGCATTCCCTTCCCATTCTGTCTCTCTTTAATCCCATGAAAATTTCTCTGGGACCTGATAGCGATCAAAAAGATCTGCATCGATCGAAAGGAAAGAGTTGCTCGATCATGAAGCAGACAGCTGACAGTGTCAGGTGTGGACTTCGTATCCCGGGTTGTACCAACAGACATGGTTTTACACCGGAGACCAGCGCATTGCCATTACGGTAAGTACGTACTTCTGTTGTCGTAATACTGTTTGACCACTCAGGGTGGTACTCAGTGTCTAGACGAAGGTGATCAAGGAAACAAGATTCAGACGTACGAATGTACCACGGGTAACACCAATCAGAGTGAGTGATTCCTGAAATACAACAACTTCACAGAATGAATAAGGTTTATGCAAAACTTGACGTTGAGCTTACGTACAGTCTTCTATAACAAAAATCCTAGTGGTCCCTCAAGTTCGTCTTCGTCTTCATCTTCATCTTCTACTTCACACTCCTCCTCATCTTCATCTTCATCTTCTACTTCTCACTCCTCCTCATCGTCCGCTTCGCATTCGGCCTCGGCCTCTTCGTCTTCATCTGGACCTCAACCCACTGGTGTGCTTCCCAACATCCCTGCGGGAAAGGTATACAAAGACCCCACCAACAAAGGAAAGAGGATTCACCCTAATGGTCGTTCGGATCTCTGTGTGACTGTACAGAATGGTTACGCTGGTATTGGTAGTGCTGTCGAGCTGTGAGTTTGTTCACTCTTCACTGTTCTTTTCCGTTCTTTGTAACCACGATTACCAACTTCTCTATCACATGAACAATCAACAAAAGGGGTAATAGCTGATGATTAGCTCTTACTGTTTTGCCAACAATGATCAATTCGTAAAGAACCAGCTCTGGGACTACACCGTCGGACAGACTGGTCTCATCAAACTTCACGGTCAGAACCTCTGTCTTGACGCTGGTGACAACCCCGGTAACGCCGCGTCCCTCAAAGTATGGACTTGTTACGACGGTCTCTTGCAACAAACTTGGAACTTCCAGACGGCGAACGTTTTATCTCTTCCTAACAGTGGGTGTGGAGGTGATTGCCTCCTTTTCCCCTTCCCCTCCCTGCTCTGACTATAACCCATGACCTTTCAGTCACTCTGCAGAACACTCGCACCTCCCTCCTCCATCACACCCTTCTCCCGACATCAGGTCATCGAACCGCTTTGTCCTTGCGTGTCTCTTCGGTCCCGTGCAATTAGGCCATGCCCATAATCCTCGGGGATAATGTTTGACAATGTGGAACTTCTGCTAATTTCAGATCAATGCCTCGATGTGGTTTCCGGTTCTCAACCCGGAACTCAGAAACCTTACAACTCCGTCGGTGATCTTCAAACTTGGGAATGTAGCACCAACAACGACCCTCAACAAATCTTCTACCAGCTTAAATAAGCTATTCGTCTCACCGTCCAACGGCCAATGGTTCAGGACAAGGTATGGTGCAAGTGTAAATAGTAAAGGAAAGTGGCACAAAACGGACAATTTCATAATTCATTTGAACAATTAGGGCAATGCTGTTTATCAGACATTAAGGACAATTCAAGTAAGAGAAAGGACATTTTAGTGGTGAAAGAAAAGAAGTATGTTTCGATGCAAGTTTTGACAGTGTTCCGAATCCTCATTCGATGTTCCCACGACCTTTCTTGCCCATGAGGTGTGAGAGTCGTGTGACCATCTTACTCACTCTGCTTCTTATCAACTTCATGAGACACGTCAGTAGCCCTCAAGTACTCAGGATCAAGCTCCTCTATTGAAGCGTAGACGATCAGGAATAAGTAAAGTCGACGTTACACTTGTCTTTTCGTTGATTTGGTTGAGAGACGCAAGATACTGACAAAATCCTTCATAGATCCTACATACCTAAAACGCCTCAAAAACAATCAAAACTCCCTTACTCATTTTTTATTACCCAGCAAACTTGTTTTCCTTACTACGTAAGGTCAAACTTTATCCGACTCGACATTCTCAACATGTTCCGAATGAAACTCTTCTTTACCTTCTATCACACCTTGTTCCAATCGATGGATCCTAGCTCCCACACCGGATGTTGTAGCGTGTCGGAATTGCCATGCCCATAGACGTTGTTCGAATAGATCGTCTACTTCTTCCAGAGATCGACCCTATTATGTCAGACTTGTTTCACTGTTCATACTATATCGTCTTGGAATTTAGGGAGATTCTGTAGGTCTCACTGAATTTTATAAGTAGAGAGATGGGGATGGATGATGAAGGATGTGATGAGAACAAATTGTAGACAGACAAAAGGGGAAATACGAGATGGGAAATCAGGTTGCGGATTGGAAGTTGTGGACTAGTGGACAAGAATATAATGAGGAGATGAGTAGAGTAGAGTAAGACTAATGGGAATTCGAATTCGGAACAAAAGATATGAGAAAATCGAGAGGTAGTAATATTCGACTCACCTTAAGTTCAGGAAGGAAAAAAGGGAAATAACATAAACCTAAAATAGCGAAACCCATCCAAATATAAGCTGTCCTAGCACCTAGATTCGCTCCGGAAGCATTCTGGATATAAGGTGTACAGAAAGTTACCAAGAACGCAGCTATGACATCTACTGCAGTACCGACTGCCATCACTATGAATGTCAGCTTTGACACTGAATTTCATCAAGCTGCACATCTTATAAAACAGACAACGACTAGTAGATTTTGATATTTCATGGGACGAGTCGTCAACTGGCAGGTATGGGCCAGATTGTGGGGTGGAATGAAATTGACAAAACGGTGTGATGTATATTTCAAGAAGAAAACTCACTCTTTTTTCTCATCCTAGTTCCACCTAACTCCGCACCAATAGTATAACATTGACTCGAAACGCCAATTTTGGCTGAGAAATTTATCAAAATAATAGAAGCTATGACCGTATTCTGTTGTGTGGTAGTAGGACTTTTGATAGCTCCTAAAGATCCAACGAGACAGGTGAAGATGATACATAGACCACAAGAAAGGACGACGAGTGGAACACGACCTATACGATCGTTTGAGAAAATAGCAATGACACAAGCTACGAAACCTGCTAATGTGACTAGGATATTGTAAGTGAATGTTTTAGCTCCTAAACCGATGGATTTGTAGAATGTTGGACCGAAAGCGTTCGTGTACTGTTGTCCGGTTACTTCGTTGAGGAAAAATGTTACTGCTGTGATCTGGGTGTCAGGGTTCATTTTTGATATCCCGTAAAATTATTGAATTTCTGACTGTCTGACTTTGCCAAATCTCATGAACGAGACAGTCGTCCGCTGTTTTCTGATCTGCGTGGGGTACCTGACAAGATTGGGATTTCTTTTCTTGTTACGGGATAGATACATGGAGTCATTGGAGAAAGAGGAAAGAGAGATGTTATATGGCAAAAGCGAAAATCAGCTTGTTTGGAGAGAAGCACAAGAAATTGTATTAGGATAGCCCGACGTAATGTGAAGATAACTCACCACGGCACGTCTTCGATAAGTCCCTTGAAAAAGTTCGATCCATCTAGATTCATTCGCCCTCGACTCGAAATTGGCTTGTTCAAGAGCATCAATCTCCAACATTGTCAAACCTGAATCTACATCCTTTTTAGGTCTGATCCTATTCAAATTCTTCAAAGCTCTATCTTCTTTCTTGTGTAATAATAACCAACGAGGTGATTCAACGGTAAGAGGAACGAAGATCATCAAGAGAACTCCTGGAATTAATTGTTGAGCGGTCGGAACCAACCATCCGATATTACCTGGTTCGGTAGCGTAAGCTTTTGTAACTGATGAAGCCCAGATGGCACCGATATGTACGAGAACTTGAATTGATCCTGCGAAGAAACCTCTGATTTCGGCTGGTGCGAGTTCGGCGTGATAAGCTGGTACAATGTTTTCTACTATTCCAACTCCGAGATAAGCGAATACACGACCGACGCAGTATTGTCTCCAATCTTTTGCTGTGAGTTCGACTGAAGGTCAGCTTGATATCAAGGTTGGGAGCCTTGGGCGGTGTAATCAGGGTATGTGCACATGAATGTTTAAGATGTGCGAGAGTGTCAGGTATAGGATAGAGGAAAGAGGATAGACGTACTTATCAAGGCTAGACTTTGTATACAAGCCACGAGAATTGCGGTTCGTTTGTATCCTAGTCGATTGAGTATAGGATCGAATAAGAGAACGCCAGTGATTTTCCCAGGCCAAACAACTGTAGATGAATTACATATCGTGATACTGAGTGAAACCAACTTACCTCCATTCATGATAGATTGACGACGTGTCTGTAGGATGTATGTACCATTCGGTTGAAGTTCACCAAACTGACGAAGCCAAGAAGGTAAGGTCTATTCTGTTCAGTTTTACTATCTCCAATGAAACAGATGTAGACAAACCTGAATAGCACCAAAACTCGAAACGTCCAATCCATACACTTCAAGTCAGTTCTGACCTTGTATAGCAGATAAACCCGAATAGACTCACAGATGTTACCACATGCAAATACACAACAACAGAAGAACATGTATGGCGTTACACCATGCCATTTACCTTTACCTTTCATCTTGTCCTTGGTCGTTCTTCACGTTCTCGTTATTAAATCCGCAAATCAAGAAGAAGAAAGTGGTAAGTATAACACAAAGGGGATGAGAGAATCGATGAATTATCCAACTCATCCCCAAGCTTCTTGTATACACAATGAGATTTCAAGAATTCCGAGGAATCTTTCCAAAGACAAATGTCACCGTTCGTACTTTCCCCCCCTCCCTCCTCAAACCTCCACCTATGGGCGTCAAGTGATCGGTCAAAGGGCGTCGGCGGACCGAGGCACATGCCCAAGGGCGTATAGCTGACATACTACTCGCTTCGGATTTATGAAATTGCCAATAGATGTGTTTACGATTGAAAGTCACACACTTCAAGTCCGATAAAAACTGGTCAAACTTTGAAGGCATGTAAACAGGCACAGATTTATTCCGATAAACCGGGTTTGATGAAACGTCAATCCGAAAAAAGTCTTCGGAAATGACGATTTGTTGGTCTTTAACTTTAAGTGGGGTCCCGATATTCCCTTAGGCCCCATGGGCATCTTCTCTGAACCTCTCTCGGCGCCCCGGTCCGGAAGTCTGGGGAAGAGGGTTAATTACAAGAATGCAATTCGGCTTCCTCTCTCCTTTCCTCAAGACTTTGTCTTCCGGGAGAGGTTAACCGCGTCGGCGTTCCTCCGGTTCTTTCGAATGTTCGACCGCTGTCAAAGGCGCAAAGGCGGGCTTGGCAAACGGACGGAGAGCTACTTTTGGAGCGGAATGACGAAGGGGGCTGGTCAGGACATGAATGGTTGAGGTTGAAGTCTAGGACCTGAGGCCTGAGGGGAAGGACGATTTAGGGACGGATCAACGAAATTACGAAGAACTGGTTGACATCAAAATACTAGTTCCTCAAAATTCGATGTACCGTCCAAAAATTCGATGTACTTTGTGTCTTATTCCGATGGACTCGCCATCCTCATCACCCAGCTGAAGACTTATAAACGCCCACCCATGTCCTTCATACCTCCCACAACGTCTCCTCAACAAACTCTTCGCCAAACCATCCAGAAGTTGAATTCATCATATCATTCCCAACGTTATCAACATGAGCCCTGTCGCTATCCCCGAGCTCAACGCTACCCCTTATAAGACTTCCGATCTGTCTGCCCTCGATTGGAACCTCTTCCCAGATGGTCTCAAGACTTCTGGTCAACATCCAGGGATATACGAACTTATCCCGCCTTACGAAGAATGGCCCAAGTCGGTCTCTGGACCAACTCTCTGGAAAGCGGAAGATTATCAAAACTCGCCTGAGAAATGGACGAAGCCTTTCACTCCTGAGGAGATTAAGGAGTTGGGAGAAGCGGCGGATAAGTTCATGGCGAGTGGTATGCCGTTGACCGGTATGAAACAGGTTGGTTGTCTTCCTAATCCTTAACCTCCCCTCTTCTTTCTTGCATACTTGTCTTATCAACTGTAGAAAATATATCTGTCTTATCAACTGTAGAAAATATATCCAGGTGTGGAGACATAAAACGGTTATCATTCTGATATACAAATGCAAGGATGACGGGATACAAGCTGACCAATAGGAACTTTTCCCTCTTCCCATTCTAGGCCCATACTTCAAAGAACTCCGTAAAGAGATTCTAGACGGTCGCGGTTTTGTGCTTTTCCGTAATGTACCCGTACGAGAATGGGGGAATCATAAATCTGCCGTCGCGTACATGGGTCTCGGTACATACTTTGGATATTTTACCAGTCAAAATTCGCGTGGACATGTCTTGGGACACGTCAAGGATCTTGGAGAAGATCCCACTGCCAAAGATCGAGTTAGGATTTATCGAACCGCGGACAAGTGAGTTTTGTCGTCTTTAACTCTATGTCCTTATTTCATCTTCTCAAATACCTCCCATTTGTAAACCCTTTCTTTACGGTCAATGGATTCATCTATTAACTTTGTGCAAAAGTTGTCGTATCTATTGAGATATAGCTAGCTACTGGGAGGCCCTCTAGTTGGAAGAAAAAAACTCCTGACCATCAGACAATTCTTCCATACGGACGGTACCGACCTAGTAGGACTACTCTGTATGGCTCGAGCTCTCGAAGGAGGTGAATCTCACATCGCTTCAACTCATAACATGTACAACGTCCTACAAGCCGAACGACCAGACATTGTCAAACTTCTCGTCAGTCCTATTTGGTATTTCGATCGTAAAGGCGAAGTATCCGAAGGAGAAGAACCATATTTCCGTTCTTCAGTCTTTTATCTCGAAGCTCCTAATCCAGATGATCCTAAATCCGAACGTAGGGTTTATGCGAGGTACGATCCCAATAATATAACTTCTCTCGCTAGGTTCAATTCAGGTCCCAATGCCGTCATTCCACCTTTATCACCTGAACAACTCGAAGCTCTTAAAGTTCTGGAAGAAACGGCAAATCGTTTATGTCTTCATATGGTACTTCAACCGGGTGATATTCAATTAGTGTCGAATACTCATGTTGTACATGATCGTACCGCTTATAAAGATTGGCCTGTTGGATCTGTCGATGAAGAAGGGAAACCTCGTATTAGGAGACATTTGATGAGACTTTGGTTAGCTACACCGGAACAGGAAGGAGGTTGGAGGTTGGTACATCCTGATAGTAAGGAGAAGAAGAGAGGAGGTGTACAAGTCCATGATGTTCCTCCTATTTGTCCTTTGGACGCGGAATGAAAAAATTCTCGAAGTACATACATATGTAGGTAGGTTGTAGTTTGTTTGTTGATGAATTTTGTTGTGTTTCTGACTTGGACTCTCAAAAGTTTGCCCGATTAGTTGATGACTGATTACCTTTTTATTCAAGTACTGTTATGATACTGCCTAGGTCTGACAAATACATTAGAAGAAAGCATGACGTCTCCTCATCCCCGTTCCAACTAGCTACTACTCGCTCGTATAATTTGAGCCTCAAAATCTCACGGTGCACCTCCATCCGGGGCTCCACCTCCACCTCCACCTCCTCCGATCGAAAGTGTCAAAACCCACTTGGACCCCTTATCCCTCCCTACGAGTAGATTTCTCCTCAGTATATTCATCCAGTAAAGTATCACAGTGCTGTACTCGTACAGTAGTTTTGTGAAGCACTCGGTGTTATACTTCAGTAAAGTACTCCATAGCACAATGCCAGAAAATTCAATCATCCACGGTAGCTGTATCTGCGGGAAAGTTGAACTAACTATACCTAGTAATTGTCAAATGACTATCTGTCGTAAGTTCTCTTTCTCTCCCCCTCTTTCCCTTTCTTCTCTTTCTGCTAGTCCTTCTTTTATGGACGATCGCTCATGTCAGATTGCATGTCATGTAGGAAAGCCTCAGGATCGACGTATGTTTCATTCCCTCTGTCCTTCTACCCATAACATCTATCATCCTCTAAAATCCTTAAGCGATTCCTGACTCGAGATCCCGCACAACATCGGGTCGTCTGTGATGCACACAGCGTCACGGAGTATCAGGTTTACAAAAGTGAGTACAGAAACTGATTAATAGACATAGTGGGAATTTCTCAGTGGATGAGAAAGATCTACAGATAATGGGTCAAACCAAGATATACGTTGATAAAGGTATTTCGGGGAAAGAGGTTTATCGACATTTCTGTGGTGATTGTGGATCGTGAGTTTCCCTCTTCTCATCCACCCACCTCTCCTCATATATTCTGGTGTCTACTCGTCGCATCCTCTCACCTGCGACTTTATGAGGTGCGTATTTTGCTTGGGAAGATCCGAGGGTTATGGAAGGGAACGTGAAGAAAGGACTGATGGAAAGACCAGCGTACACTAAGACAGAGATCCCAGGTCCGGTGTATGTCAAGATTGGTCAGTGCTCTTTATCCTTCCCCCTCCTCCCGACACTCTGCTTATTCTAGGACAGTGTGTAGAATAGAGAATGACGTGGGATGATAACGTGGGGAGAAATCAGGTAATTAAAGTTGACGTACAGGACTATTCCAAGTTGACGACGTTGATCCACCATCGACACATGTATTCGCTAAAAACCTCGCAAAGTGGGAGGAGACTTATCCCAATACAAAGGTCCTCGAAACTCAATGATCCCAGGATAATACCTCGGACGCAGTCATTCTCCCTACTGACACTTTCACCAATCGGATGAAGTTGCAGCGCCTCAAAACCCTTCCAGCAGAGATAGCGGCATGGTATACCATAGATTCATACATGATAGACAGATGCATCATCATCGTAAGCTGGATCTTTCTCCGCCAAGTATAGGATCAAAGTCAAAGATCATCCTCCTCATCCTCCGTGCTAATATCTCGAGCTCTCCGGTCCTGCTCCTCTTCTTCTTCGACAGGCGTATCCCCTCTCCGGTACACCAGACGATCTTCGAGTACATCTTTGAGCTGCTCCATAACGTCTATAGCGTCGTCCTTGATCTTCCACGACAAGAATCGCCTCATGAGATCTTCAGCGTCTTTCAGCTCGTCACGTTGCTCGTCCGTTACGACTTCCTCGTACAGTTTTGACAGTTCGAACCGTGATAGACATTCCCTGAAGAGTCAGCATAGCCCACGATGTAGATCATAAAATCTTTCACCTCAAGCTCACCCGTAGCAGGTCGGAACCGGATCCTGCTAGCTATTTGACTGGACCCAGGGGTGGAAAAACTTACGTCACAAAACGAGCCCGGTCCACGACGGACTGAGGGATCCCATGGATCAATGCGCACTCCGCGGCATTTGATGTATCCGCCAAACTCGGCTCGAGTCTTCCATCAGTCATCTCCTTTCTTTCTCGATAACGACTCACTTATACATATATGCAATCTTCGGGGTTTCATCGAGGAAGACTACCTGCATGTGACAGAACTGAATCGGCAGGTCCACAAGGATTGAGTCCATAGCGAATAGCTCGCTACACTGTCAGCTAGATTGAGAAAAGAACGGGCCAACCGACTGAAAATGTGTCATGACGATAGTCCGAGGACGACATGTCTCAAGCAGGTACCTGATCACTCCAGCAAGTAATCCCGCTCCATCAGTCGGGAGGGTCCCTTTACCAAACTCGTCCAACAACAATAGCGAGCGTGAGGTGCACCCTCGGAGTGCTAGTGATACCTGGGCTAGATCGATCATGAATGCTGATGAAGCCTGGGCTTAGCGTAATTTGCCCAATTCGACGTACCTTCGAGACAGACTCTCGAGTTTGCACACGGGTGTAGACTATATCCTTCAGCCAGGTCCCGAAAGAATGTGCGAAAACTTACTTTTGTCGACGATTCCTATGATAGCACTCTCCGCAGGGACAAAGCTACCTATTTGGGCCATGAAGACGATCAAGGCTACTTGTTTGCCATAGGCCGACTTGCCTGACCCGTTGGCACCGGTGAGGATCATCTGGGGTCATCTTCGTCCTGCATAACAATGCACTCACCATGCTGTGATACGAATCATTCTCACCTCCACATAAAAGGGAATCATTCCTCACATACTGACCCACTACCGTCTCGTGAACAATATGACGACCTTCGTGAATCTCTAATAGAGGGTCCACAGCCAACGCAGGTCGGGTCAGGTCGTACGTCACGGCAGCCGTTGCCAGAGCGATGAGACTATTCTCAGCTCGAGCAGTCACGGACGACATACCAATCTAGCTCCGCCATCACATTCATCACCTCGATTATATGAGCAGTCGACTGGCTGACTTTACTGGCCAGTTCACGGATGATGACCATCTCCATATCTACTAGTCAATTTCTGTCTCATTCTCATTCTGCTCTGCTGCCCAGCTCACCTCCGATTTGGCAATATATGTCCCCATAGTGATCGTCCAGATTCTCCATCTGCGGTGTCTTGAAAAACTCTTCGTTCTCATTCTCAAACTGGCATTACTCTTTGTGATATGAAATGACATGTCGCTTACAATGATGCGCCATCCTGGTGGCTCATCCATATTGAGGTTGCGATTCCGTATAGCAACCAGAAACCCCAATTGAGGGAAGTACCGAACGAAGATATTGTTGTTGCAGAAATTGGGAGGTATCTCAATCAAAGCTGCCACCGAAGCCTGGCGGTTGAGTACCTTCGCATGAGATTCCCACTCACTAGAATGACTTCCATGCCTGATACATGAGCTTAAGACTGAGAGACAAGATGAACATACCGGCCCATTGTTCCTTGCAAATGTCCAGCTCTTCACTGATACCTGGCCTGACGGCGATTTTGTCTTTTTCATAAGACTCGTCAAAGTCAATCCAAATATCAGCTCATCTAGAATGGATTCTTGTGCAGGACCTCACCGTCAAGGCGATCTCGCTCGCCAGCTCACGCAAATCTTCACTTATGGCTGCTTCGATCTGCACGCTCAGCTTTTGTGGATGATAGTTTGATGACACGTATACGTACTTCTTCAAAAATCGAATGCACATGTCCCAGATTACGTTGAAGTATGATGTTGCCTATGTCGATCGCGGATCCCAGTGACTGATGTCAGGGCGGCGTCAGTGGAATTGAACGAGTTCACAAACCTCTGCGATACCTCTCCACACATGGAAATTTGCTCGGCCACTGCTTCTTGCGATGTCGGTGCAGAGTTTGGGGACGTTCTTGATCCGTCGCATGAATTTCTTTATCTCCTTGGATAAATCGTATCCGGCAGGAGTGCGAAAATAGGCGACAGCATCGTGTCGAACAACTATCTCGTCCATATCGACCAGAGGACGGAGAAACCAAGTATGAAGTAATTTTTTTCCAAGAGGGGTAACGCATGTGTTGAACATGTCTGGCAGTCAGCATCGTCCTGCGTGGTAGACCTTGTGAGTCTATACTGATGGAAGGTGAGGACTGACTGAAGAGGGTCAAGGAATCCTTGTCATTTCCCATAATGTTTAGGGATCTGCATCTTAGCCAAGCCGAGAGATTCGACTCACGTGAGTGCATCATGGTTGATAAGCATATACATCTGTCTACTTGTCAATGCCGTATCATATCGGGTCATAAACACTTACGGAGTCAGGGCAGTAATGCCAGACAATTCTATCCCTCCGCCATCACCGAGGATATTGCCTCGTTTCTCCAGATACGTGATGAGGCCAGCCGCGACTCCGATCTGGATCATCAGCCTGTCGACTATATTGAAGGAACAGTCCGTACCGCTCCAGGTGCATCAACATTGACCCAACATCCCAATTTGACTATCGCCAGTCTGACCTGGCCCATTCCCTCCTCCTGATATCGCCCTCCCATGATAATTGGTGATGACTCCTGATTTGTAGGACTGCTGGGCGGGAAATGAGGTTGTGAAGGTTGGCTTCGATCGGGAAGACGAAGCCGAGAGAGGGTGTAAGCGGCCCGACCAGCAGTGTAAGATTTATGAGCATCAATGAAGTAATTTGCGAGTGGATTTTGATCACCTGTGAGCGTGAGACGCTATCAATTCCCGTCCTAACCTACCTTCTCATGCCCCTCCATAGAGTAGCTGAATAAAGCTGAAGGAGGGTTCGAAAATGGTGATGATAAAATGATGCCGTGAGTGAGAGATGGGAAGAGAGAGAGAGAGATCCATGACAAGATATGATCTGAGAGAAAGATAGAGTTACTCACAATACTGCTCCACCTTATCCACCAAACTGTCCGGCGTTCTACTCGTCACTACCACGTTGGTCGGTCGAACCTGTTCCATGACTTCTCTTCAGTCATAGACCCATGGCGTCGTTGAAGACAGGTAACACACCAAGACAAGCAAGATCCCAACTGTCGGTATCCTTCGTATCCTCCATAATATGTAACATACGACTGTCGGGATCGAAATAAGCAGCAGCTAGCGTGGAGCCCATGGCGTGAAATGCGAGCGTCTGTTTATCAGCATCTTCATCTGCTTCTTTGGGGGAGGAAAAGGGACATGACCCACGATTTCCGTCTCCTCTTCCCCTTCTCCTTCCTCTTCCCCTCGATCCAGACTTGACTGAGGTTCTCTGAAGCTCTCTCGGTGCTCTTCGACAGGCACGGGGGGTGTGAGTGAAGGTGGCAAAGAAAGGTCAGGGAATGCACTTGGTCGCTGGAATCTTGACGCATCGAGGACGGTTGAAGCTGTCTCGTCGAGATCATCTAGGTCTTCATCCCTATGTCTTCTCTTGAGGCTCCCGTAGCTCATCGTTGAAGTTGATGTCTGACTGGCTCTGAGTGAGTGGCAAAAGAAGACGATGATGAGCGAAAAGAAAGAGAGATGGTCATGAGAACGAGATCGATCGCGCTCGGACCTATGTGGGTGACGTGTAAAAGAGGTCAGTGCGTCTCGTGGTCAGTAGGGGGAAGAATGCGATGGATGCATATAATGTCTTACTGAGCTTGTACATCATCACAAATGTCGTCTCAGAACCCAGATGAATTCACCGCCGTGCCAGTCATCTCGGAATCACTTACAGGTCGTTCTCCTCATTCTCACCCTCAAACTTGTGGTACGATCTTGTTCACGTCAAGCTTCTTTTCGTCCAAGGCCGGTGGTGGAGGTTCCGTGTCTCCGTTCGGACCAGTCAGAACAACCTTTCCTTCTGTGTTCGCGCCATCGGTGGTCACACCTTTGGCTGCCGATGCGAACGACGCCTTGGCGGTGGCTGACAATGGAGGGAGATCTTCTATACCTGGAGGAGGGGCGATTTCTTCCACTTTATCGCTTGATGGAGGTAAGGGATCCCCTTCGTCAGAAGCAGGAAGAGCTGGTGTATCTTCGTTGAGGGTGATAAGAGGTGTGGGGTCTTGTGTGTGACCATTGCTTGAGTCGCTCGGCGTTGCTCTGTTCAATCAGGACCGTCTGTCCAAACATGTCCATGGACTCACTTGGATCGTTTGCTTGGACCTGGCCCACTTGTATCATCGTCCATGATATCGGACGCATTCTGTCTCATTAGCAGGTAATCCACAGATACGAGAGAGAGAGAGAGAGGCAGAGGAAAACTGACGCTGGGCTGGCCACGTTTACCCTTTGGTTTCGGCTTTGGTAGTCCATCGGGGAAGCAGTAAAACGGGAGATCGTTCCTTTTCGCGGGACGTAATATGACACTCATCTCCTGTTCGTCGTACTTGTCCCATGATTGACATGCCGCGCAAAACCGCTTGCTAGGATACAGTAAGTTCAATACTCTGCTCCCGGATCCGTCCTCTGGATGATAAGCAAAACAATCAATGTCAAATACACTCCAGATGAGTCGCTCACTCGATCGCTTTGCGATATCCAGCCCTATGAAGAAGCTCTTTGTATACACAGTCTTATAGTCCTCCCCGGCCACATCTTCCGGAGTCCGCTTCATAGCCTCCACATTCAACTCTCCCTGAGATGCGGCCGCTTGCTCCTCTTCTGTCAGGCATAGAAATGTGGCGCTGATCCCACCCATTTGTGGATGGGCCGTGATGATATTGTCCGAATTTTCCAAATCTTGCACTAATGTCCGAATTCTAGACTCTACAGTACCACCCCTGATCATCACTCAGCACTCAATTTTGACATGGCTGAGGAGAAACATACCAATCTTTGATACCCTCCGAAGTGCTTGCGGATGCTATCACCTGTACATACGACTTGTACATGCTAAAAAAGTCGATTTGTTCAAACAATTCCATCCATGAACTGCCCGGGTTGCTCATTATCCTGTCGGTCACTTGCATAGCGCGCAGCATCTCGTTTTTGATGACAGACATGGTTGAGGCTGTGATATTGTGAGTGGTGCACATGGAAGGATAAGCGGGAGTGATGATGGGCATACGGTGTGCCATATCTCGGCGGTCGAGCTTTGGGTTCCAAACGGAATGATGCATATTGGGAGGACCTGATTCAATTTTTTTCAGTAAGACTGGATTTGGCCAACCCCTTTTGATCAGCATTCACAAGTGTGAGGTGGCCGCCGACTGACCATTGGTAAAAGATGGGAAAGAATTTAGCGACAATGGTCGCTGGTGCAGCCGTAGGGTAGAGTTGACATATTCGAGCGGTGAGTAAAGCCCATGCAACACCGCCGGGAAAACCGAGGACGTTTGAGTAGATCCCTCTTCCTTGACCCGTCAGCTTCACAGCGAAAATGAGGGTTGTGGATTGACTTACTCTTGGCCCATAATCGGATGGTCCGCAGAGCCGTTCTGAAAGTGGCAACATCGGGTACGAGGTTGAGTATCATGTCAGTCACTCTTGGACCTGTATGTCAGCATTCTCTGAAGAGCTCAAGCATTGCTCTTCAGACTGACCGTTTAGACCTCTTTGTGAAGCGTCGTCAACTCCTCGCAATATTTCATCCTTTTCTAAATCCAGCTTATCTCCAGCTTCGGCCAAATTCACTCTCGCAAATAGTAGATCCACTTCCACGCCTGATATGACCGTCTTCATCACCGGTACGAAAGCACTTTCAACCGCTGAGATCTCCGTGACGGCAGGCCATGCCCTCAGCATTTCCTTGAACTCGCCGAAGAAGTGCTCTTTAAACACATGTCGAGGACAAACGCAGATTGTATCAATATCTGAGCCGGGACCATGAACACCAAGTCTTCATGTCAATCCAATTGAAGGACTAGTGACGATCAGAAGGACCCACCTATAAGAACCAGAAGTGTATATTCTTCCGCCTGCTTCTGACGCCACCTTTTCTGACAAGCCAGATTTGATAGAAACGTCATGAACGAACTTGGTGACCAGCTGAGCGATGTTGGAAAGTAATCTCTCTCTATTCATTAGTAAAGTATTGCTGGGTGATATGAATAACTGACCTGACTTTGCGTTCCTGTTCTGATTCGAACTGATTTAAAGCTATGAGATCTTTCATCAACGCTGCGGAGTAAGCTAAGCTCAAGAGATGAGACGTATTGACTACCTTCTGAAGCCTGAATATCACTAGGTCTCGGAGGATCTGTACTGATAGGTGGAGTGACCCCTAGGTACTTGATTTGACCATTGCTATTGATATTAGCAAACTGCAAGTCGCATGCATGACGTCCCCAGCTCACCCGGACATAGCGCTCGGACTGATCTTTCTATTAGGTCTCCAAGGATAGAAAGGTCCTGAACAGATCACAAGCTGATCAGCCCATCCGAATCATGAACCGATCAAGTTGGAGAGAGTCAGAGTATGTAGTGAAAGTGAATAGAGATCTTGGGAGAACATGACCCGTTGAAAGAGCTGTCATGCATGCGCGACTGAGATGCAAGGTAAAGTGCCACAGTCAGAAACCCCGATAAGCCCTCGAATAACGATCTGTGGCACTTGCAGATTCGTGGCGGCGAGGCGACAATTTGCGTCATGGACGTGGGATAAAGAAGCGCGAGAAGCGTAAGAGCATTGGTTCGGATAGCCGAGTTAAGTGGAGATAAGAATCATACATTGTACTGCAAAGATACTCCATTTGGAAGAAAGGAGAAAGATAAGAGACATTGGGTGAACTGAAAGGATTACGTCGTAGCCGATAACAGTACGACATAAATACAATTTCATTCATCTCGAGCAACATTCTCCTCGTCCCCTTCATCGCTCCTATCATCATAGGCTCACTCACTAGCAAGAAAAAGTAAGGGATATCATCCACCATGTTTATGTATCTCAACGCAGCTATTTTACCCCTCTTCAACGGTATTTTTAAGGTCGGACATGCCGTATTGGCCTTTGCGGACGAAACGACACCGTCATGGGAGAGAAGTGTGAGACCTGGTCCTTCAGTAACGCCCAGGTTTCTATCGCAAGATCTCGGTTCGCTTGGAGCTATTCGACCGATAGAGACAACAGAGGTGAATAGGGCGGGGTCAAAGGCGGAGTGAGAAGGGGATGTTACAGATAATAAACAGCCCCGCTAACTCCGTCGCAGTAGAGAAGATAGGGCGGAGAAGATGGGCGATAAGCGATTTGAAGCGATAAGGGGAGTTGCGGACGAATGGAGATATCCTCGAAACACGAGACAGAGAGAGTGATGATGCATGTGTAGAATCGTATGACGGAGGGAATTGCCGTATGCGAAAAGGAGTTGATAGCGGAGTGTTCACATATGTCATCGAATGAATATTTGTTCGAGTAAGTCAATAGATATATAAGTAGCTCACATCCTCTTGGAGATAAGACACACTCACTAGGCTGTTTGAAAACCTCTCCTAAATCACCAATAATTCACCAACAAACAAAAAGACCTCATCATCAAGATGGACAATCAATCTAATGCTACCCGAACTGCATCACCCACCCAGGCAGGTATAACTAGTGCTTTCCAGTCTGCCCTGTCTGCTATTGGGACCATCGCATCCGTATACGTCGATCATACGGTCCAGCCATGGGAAAGAAGCACTTGGAATCCCACCACCGGGACGACCATGCAAGAAGCGACCAATAATCGTACGAAGATCTCTTTTCCCTCCCACCACAATCCCCAATGAGGATATTTGTTCGCATCGCTGAGTTTCGAAGACTAGTAGAAGCATTCACCGCGACGCGGTGCCATGGGAAAGCGATTAGAAATGAGTCGGATTCAAGATAGATGCATGGATTATTCTCGTATCTTCCACCCTTGTTCGTGTGGATCGCTTAGACATCTTTTACCATTCTCCGACGGCCGGACAGACGGCATACCGGCCATGGTTATCAAGTGGAGGTCCGCTCAGTAGGTCCGCACCCCGTTGGACGGTCTCGACTACTTGGACGTGTCGAGCTAATTTCGCCCGCGAGTAGCTCCTTTCGTCGAAGGTGGAGGTTGTCCACACTCCGCGTCGATGGAGAAAGAGGAAGAGGATATGAACGTGTGTGAATTTGAACTTCTTTTTCTCATCCTTATCTTCAGCAAGTGACAGGAAAAGGTATAAATAGTGGTATGTGAGATAGAGATCCATAAGTTATTCCTCTTGACTAGTCCAAGATCAACCAGTGGATACCAGTGGATCCTCCAAAGTAAGAAAATAGAGAAAATGAGTCCAGCCAATGATACGAGCTCTGTAGCGGCGCCATCTAACTGTGTGTCGCATTCCCAACATGATATTTCACCGTCTAACACGGGTGCGGCTCAAGAAAGTACCGCGTTGGGTTCTGCCGACAGAAACCTGTCCAGTCTCTTGACCAGGGGAATTTGTGCAAACAACTCATCTTATCTGGTCAGACATGGAGACCGTCTGTTATGGGTCATTGAACAAGCGGGCGCTGTTGCGCCATCCTATTATCACAATACGTTGTCAGAACCGCATCAAAACACGGTCTGTGACAGCAGGCGAGTGTCCCTTCCTTCATTGCCCGACCCTTCGTGTATAGCAACACTGGCGACTGGATTCAAAGTGTTAGGAGATGTGCTATGTGCACCCTATGAGAGAAGTGTACCTACTGACACTCCTCGCACAAGGTCAGACCGGGTGGAGGGTGGAGTACAGGGAGGGTCATGAGCCTCTAAAGACCGCGATGCATTGTATTGATCCGCCTCATGGGTTCATCACCATTCCCGAGTCTCTTCTCCTAGACTGATTGTTTGGCCTTTGAGACCACTAGATTAGTTTGCTTTTCACCATTCTCAAGTTCTCCTCACAGCTATAATACATAGCTCCTCATGTGACTTTCCACCACATGTCTCAATTTTGTCGCTGAGGGATTTGACCCGGAGGAATCCCTTTCCCTTCTCTATCTTTCTTCTTCTTGGCATGTGGGACCCGTGTCCAATACTCCGACCATCCCTGATAAGCTAGAGAGTGGTCGTTATCAATGTGATATCTCATGTGGAGGTGTTGAATCTGAACGTGATTTCTCAGCAGTAATGACGAATAAGGAGAAGTGAAGGGAAGGGCATCACGACTTGTGTCATCTTTCACGTTCAGACCAATGCATGTGTCTATAAATATGTGCATCCCCTTCCCCTCCCCTCTCTTCTTTACTCAACAAATCTCGCTATTCACATACACCTTCACCACAGAAATACCTAACATCATCTCATTGTACATCGAGGTCAGCATCAACAACACAACACAACCAAAAGAAACATTAGCACATACAGTAATAAAATGAGTAACAATCAAAGTCAAGCTCCCACTGAAACGAATGCCACGACGGTAGGTCAGACCACCGTGATTTCTCAAGATGGTACGAGGAAAAATAGCATTACTTCCACTGCCTTGAACTGGGTACAGAGTTTGACTTCGCCCCCTTCGTCTGAAGGCAGTAAGACCGGTAGAAGTGCTGAAAATTTGAAGGAGTTCAACCCTGCCTTGCTGCCTCCCTGGAACAACTAGACGATCAACAGCCAGGTTTTGGATATGATTTAGGAATTGATATAAGGAGAGTATATAGAGAGATATGCATGGAATGTGAGAGAAATAGAACATGCGTCATCTTCCCCAATCGACGAAAGAAGTAAGTTTGGAGTATTCGCACGGATCTCTCGATACGGTCAAAAGTTTCACTTTTCCCTGCTTATCTCTTCTCTTCTCACGCTCCTGGAACTCCGAAACTCCGTCAACTTTCTCATGACGCGTTTGTATCCACTCGGGGTCGGAGTGGAGTGGGTGGAGCATCTTCTAGAGGAAAAACCATGGAAAGGATAGAATTAGAAAGATATATAATCTGGACTTATCAGGTCATTTCTGCCAAATTCTGAAAATTTCTTAACAAAAAAGAAAGAATGAGTGAATCATTAACATCTCCTAGTGGGGCTGCAGACCCAAAGAATACAAGACAAGCGAATACGTCTACGGACACCAATGGTATGCGAAGTACTCAGAGTGTGTCCCAAACCAACATGACGGGTGATGGGGGCCCCAGGAGCTCCGCTGATCAAGCAAACAGTGCTCACGGAGACGGCAACTTCAACTTTCCACACGAACGTATTGCTGCTTTAGCGGCACGGGACATGGAGGATATTCGAAACTCAGATGTACCCACGGGCAGTGTTCCACCATCATCTCCATATCCCGTGCACCACGCCGTGGCAAGCGTGACCCAGGCTATGAGAACGCTCACTGCTTCCACATCCCCGGGTACAGTGTGTCCCTCGAGCGAAGGGCACGTTCCCAATTTTGAAGATGCCATAAAGGCTGCTTTCTCAGTCGACAAAGTACCTCACCATGGAGCATGAGACTCGAACTTCCCCTCTCAGCAGAGAGATGACATGCATGATGAGAATGACGCGAAAGCACGCTACCTTCTCATCCGTTGTGAGAACGACTCCCTAAAGATGACATTTCCTGTATGAGATTGTACACACCCTCATCGTCTTGAACTCCGTCATCACGCAATATCGTAGACGAAACATAACCCCTCATTTCTCACCTTTGTCCTTTGAATTACTCCGCTCCCGACCTCATCATTACTCCTGCGTCCACTCCGCCCGGATAAGTAGCATGTGAATCCCCGCTCGTTACTCTCCTTTTGACTTTTCATTCTCCGATATCACATTGGCATCACGCACATGACTCTCAGGAGATGAGATAAAGGTGTTAGGACATGTAGTCCCTCTCTTCTCAAAACCAGATAGATTCTATCAACATGTCTTCAACACAACAGGATAACAATACTACTCACGGTAACACCAATGATCCAACTACAAGAACGGGTACAACTACAAGTCATGTTGGCACTGAGACAAATGCCAGCACCATCGTAAGCCAGACCGAAACCCGGACTGCCGGTTCATCTTCGACTTACCAGGACAAGACAAAAGATGATGGCAGAGACCGGTCCCTATATGGTGCTTTCCTGGGTATTCGACCGTGGTATGAAGGCTAATAGTCTTTTGACTATAAGTAAGGTATACCTCTCAAGTGATCTTGAGGTAGGAAGAATTGATTAGTAGAATCTTATGCATGAGATTGAAGAGGTGCCACTCTGCCACTTTGATGCATCTTGTAAGCCGCGTTAAAATCGATGAGTGAAACGTTCCTAATGTGGAAAGTCATTTGAAGGATAAACAGAACATAGAACGATAAGTAGTAGCATATTCAGTATTTTCCCAGACTCTATGAACTCAGGAGACCTGTAGGAACTAAGCTGGAAGGAAAGTGATAGAAAGAGGTGGAAAGGACCAGAGAAGGGTGAAATGAAACACGGCCGGCGGGCAAGTTCACCCATCATAAATGACTACCTAAGTACTACATCATGATCTAATCACACAATCTCCCAACTACCTTCTCATCAGCCAAACCAATGTTTCCTCAAGAGACAATCACATCCGTGAAAATCAATCTTAGCCTACTTAATAATGTCCATGTCCAAGTCCATCTCGGGAGATGTGATCGTGGAAGTGATCACCACGTCTGAACAAATGAGTCAAGCTATGGAAATTCGATATAAAGGTCTGTCCCACTCTCTTTCTTCCATTTTAGCTCTATGTATAGACTGATGGGAAGTATTCATAGAAGAACAAGGTTATCCCGCTTGTATCGAAATAGGAGATCCGTGAGTCATATCCTCGTCTTTATCATTGACCCTTTTGTCACTCGTCAACTTCATCACGACCAGTCTTCCAGCACTTTTAGCGCAATAAGCGATAGGAGAGTAGATATTGAGTCTTTTAAGATGGTCATCGAAAGAGGGTTCGTATCCAGTCATGTTAAATCTTCGTCATTACGCTTTTTTGACACCAAAGTCCAGAATGGTCATTACCCTTTTTTGATGCGAAAGTCCAGAATGGTCATTGAATAGTTGTTCTCCATAAATATCAAGTAGGCCAAATACAAATATCTTAAAAAAGTATGAAGCGAAGGGATAGGGATGGTAACTGATGTATTAGTGAAGATCCCATCTCCACACATTTTCTCATGTCGAAAGATGGTAAAGAAATAGGAACGGCACGTATTACTCCTCAAGGCAAAGTCAGTCACAGTCCTTCGTACCAAAGAGATTCAACTAATATATTCAGTTAGGTCGAGTAGCTATACTTAAATCATATAGAGGACAAGGTTTAGCTAAACCTTTATTGAATGCTGTACATGAATGGGTTAGATCGAAAGGAGGTAAGATTGTATATTGCGATAGTCAAGTCAGTCAAAATCATATACCACTCACAGTCTTGGTCACTCACTTTTCTCCCTAAAATAATCGTTCAAGTCAAGTTTCCATGTTCATAAACCGAATACTCTCTAACTCTGGATCTCTGATTCGATCGCCGAGTTTGTTGGAATATGGACTTTGTATCTCACCCAATTTTGAACATAAACTGATGTATAGGCTGCGGACCCAGCTACGGGAGGTGTAGACGCTAGAGGTGTATATCTCAAATTAGGTTATCGACCAGTTGGTGATCTATACATTAAAGAAAATAGTGAGTACTTCCATCTCACCAAAGAAGTAGACAATTGATGGATAGCTTTGCATCAGAGGATGCAACTGGATTTAGAGTAGTGATGCCAGGTGCTCGTGCTTGACACATTTGAGCGGATGTGAACTATTCAATAGAGAATCACATAGAGTTCTAGAGTCACCTATGAAACGACAAATCACGATGTGTTCTGTTCGAATGTATTTTATACTGGTCTTTCCACCCAGGTTGCGCGAAGGAAGACGAGTGACTATTTTAGAAATACATTATACCCCAAGATTTATTGATCATACCACACAAACTTACACTATCTAATAGTTTGATACAGCAATCGCTAGAAAGGCCAGGACGTGTTCAAAACTTCCTTGTGAAGAGTAATTCTCCTGTTCAAAGATTCCTGGGTCGCCTTGAAAGACAATCAAACCTGCCCTTCCGGCCCTGGTCGACACTTCGAGGCCTCAAGGCTACCCAGTTGCATCACCGTCGAATATCCGTCTTACTCTGCGCGCTCCCACGTCGACCACGAAGTCGATATTCTACCATCCGCATCCTCTGCCATCTGAACAATTTCCTACCTAATGTTTCGGCACCAGTTCGGAGGTAAGAGAATGAAAATGTGATGAAAAATCCGAGAGTGCACGGTATAGCGACCTTCCAGAAGTAGCTCACGGAGCCGTGTAGTTCGGAGAAGCCGTCAAAGTTCTGGAATATCAGCCATGCATTTGTATGGTCGGTTGTCTGCCAAGGAGAATAGAGGATGGAGGATAGGGATCGGACGTACCATCCCAAAATAACTGGCGATGAAGGTGAGCGCTGATGATCAGCTGTTTTCCTCATTTGACAAGTTTTTGTCCAGCGAATGAGGGCAGAGGTTGGAGAGTGAAGAAAGAGAAAGGCAGAATGTGGATCGATGTGAGAAGAGGGGAAAATGGAAAAAGAGAGAGAGAGAGAGCAGACCAAAGACTGACGAAGGAAAACCACTGTGACGATACTCAGTCTTTCCATCGAAGCATTAGTTTCAAAACTTAATGCGTTCTACATATCAGCCTCCCTTCTCATTCACGACCATCAAATCCGTTATCGCACTCTGTAATTCCACGTGAACATAATTCGAAACTCACAAAAACATAATCTGTCAAATGATCACAAGTCGCCACAAACTGATCCATCGATCCAACTATAAGTTCCAAATGATCCAACACATCCCCGATATAAACCTTTGACATTGGTGAGAAAAACCCTTGTTGACTTTGTCCCACTCCTTGTCCTTGAAAAGGTACTGGGTTTTGAGGAATGAAGGATCTGATGCTACCAGTCTCCATTCCTGGAGATACAGGTCTAGATGGGACTTCGAGGGAAGATAACCATGGCGCTGCTTGAGGTTGAAGGGTGTCCCGAGAAGGATGAGAGTTTTGACCTGTGCCTCGATCTGATGAACGATGTCCTGCCATAGCTGCTGCGGCTGCGGCTCTTTGAACATCTTGATCTCGGATGATGTAACATACGTGTAACAGAGGAGATATGGAACGACGAAGACGGATTAGTTGAGAAGAGAGAATATGTAAATGTCTGACGGTTTCCATCTGATCATCAGACAAAAACTCTAAACGACCATGATTTCGGTACTTACTTGAGGGTCGACTAAGACGGAGGCTTCGAGTTTGAGAATTTCAGATTCGAAAGTTTGAGAAATCTAAGCATAAGCTTTGACAGGTGTGACATGTGATGACTGACTTCAATGGCTAAATCGGCAGCTTAATCATCAGCTTTAGTCTCTACAATGGGACAAAGAAAACTCACAAACATCTAACAAGGCTTGAGCTAACATACTGACATCCCCTGACCGACGCAAAAGACTTTGATCATCCTCTAATCTGCGATAAATAGGTTCTAAAGCCTCATGAATAGGTCGACGACACATGGAGATGAGCGTGTCTCATTCATCAGCTTCTGTTTCAATCATTGGAGATGGGTCACTCACTGTCTCGAGTCATGAACACACTCAATACGCCTCTTCTGACGGGGACCATATACTTGGCACTCAGATGATCCACCGTGAGTCTATGCGCGGCTTTCTGATAGGGCTGATCATCAATACGATGGGGATTTATTGATCGTAATACGAAACTTACCGACTGTTCCTCTTGTAACCTAGTACCCGCTACAACAGGTTCGAAAACACCTTCCACACCTTCTGGCAATTGCAATTGTGATCCTGTGACAGCTCCAAACCATCCCTTTTTCCCCGCGGAAGAATCATGTAACATTTTGGATAAATGTCCGTCTTTCATCGTTTCCGACTCGGCGGCTATAGTATTTTCGTCGGAGAGGTGAGTGTGTTGAATGAGAAGTTGCATGTACATGTGGGATTTGTAGAAATCTAATTTAGATCGAGGGGAGTTGGTAGCTCGTAACGCGTCTTCGACGGCCAGTGGGTGAAGACTGTTGTCAGTGTCATCTCTGTACGATTCCCATCTACTTCGCACTTCTCACCAATGCGAAATGTTTTGAGTCGGGGGATTGGTGAGACGGTGAGAATGTGTGAGGGGATGATATGACCAGAGAGGGAGGGCTTACTTGAAACGAAGTGTAAGTGTTTTGACGACTTCCCAATTTATACCGTCAATATGAACTATTCATCAGTGTCATCATCACCTCACTCTCAACCACTCTCCTGCTCCAAAACCGTACTATCTTCAATCACACTGAAAACTTTCTCCGACGTCCTTTTCACCCCTCCTACATCCACATAAGCACGAAAGAGCACCTCATCTCTCATCTTTCTGATCTATGATCGATCGAAAAGAGACAGAGCAAGCCAAAAAAAAGAATGGCACTCACTCCACCTAACTCCTTTTTGAGTACTTCCTTCACCCATCTTCACACCATTCAAATTCAACCATTCATCCAACTTTCCTCCAGGAAAACCAACCCTCACATCCGTCCCCTCATCCGGATCAGAAGAATAATCAACAACAGTAACCCTAGTAGGTCCTTTTAAATGTCCATAAGCTTCTTCATCCCTTTTACTCCTCACGTCAACACCAGGTTCATCACCAGTCCCACCACCTGCAGAAGTTGAATGATAACGATATCCTCCTTTGTTTGAATTGGTAGGAGATGATTGATGACGTTGACGTAATTGATTGAATAATGTTGGAGATTTAGGTGATGTTGTATTGTTTTCTAAATCCATTTCATCTTGGAATTGAGTTGCTTGTTTGGAGGAGAGGTTTGAACGGGAGTTGTTAGAGAACATTGTGATGATGTTTCTATTAGATCTTTCAGTTGGTATGAAAGGGGTCGTGAGGGTGAAAGAGGGAAATGAGTGAAGTGAGTGTGAGTGTAGAGTCGAGTTGGTGATTCGGGTTATTGGATGACGGAGGGTTGTATTGAAAGAGTAGTGTTTGAGACTTGAGAGGAACATGTAATCTCAAGTGTCTCAGATGACATGGAAGAGGGAGAGAGAGTTTGAAGGAAAGGGGTGGGAGAGGTGGGCGAGGTGGAGCGACATCATGGATCGTCTCAGGCACAAGTTCAGACAATGAACTTGGGCACCTGTCTAGAGTAAGGTAAGTCACCTAATGATCACCCGCTCTATGCCTACTCCCTGTGGGCCTGTACTATACCCTATCACCTAGCTACATGCTGCATGCTGCATGGCTACGTACTTGCATCCTACATCGTGTGTATTCTTTAGGCAGATGCCAATACCGCGTACCCATCCGTCCTGACTAGAGTTGCAACATGTCACCATGCAAACAACCCGGCATCATATTGGTTGGTTCTACTCACAAGCAATCCACCGGCAACCGCACTCCGCAGAGACATGCGAATGAATCAACCTACTCGTACTCATATGTAGGTGGCCAGTAGAAGTACACGGATACAACATTTTTTATGCAGTGATTCTAATGCATTGATCGCAAGCTTCCTCGACAAAACATTTGCATACCATGCACCCCAAATACCAAAGTATCTAAAAACACAAAAAAGGAAACAGACCAACAAAAAAAAATGATACTGTGTAGTAAATCTTTAATAGAATAAAAACGAACAAAATGCGATCGATTGATGTAAGACATGGTATGTATGCGATTGAAGCATGAAGCAATGGTAAGCAAGACAATTTTGTAAACTATGAGGTTTGAATGACGAATCGGATGAATGTTATCGATTATTGAGAAAAGCGAGACGGTTCTGGTTACGTATTCTAGTGTGAGGAATCACATGATGATACCCATCGAAAGGGGTCGAATGATGATTGATGGATGTCACAGGAGACAGGAAACGAATATATTTGGTATCGAAGAAAGATTCAAGTGTATTGGAAGACAGATGAATTGTATGTGAATGAGAGAGACGGAAAGGGGATATATGAATACGGAGTGGAGACGAATAGATTAATGACCACTGGGAGTTTGTGTCCAAGCATTTGCCGCGCCGGTCAAAGATCCAGGTGTAAGGTTATTAAAAGGTCCATCCCCGAATCCATAAGCTCCTCCACCGAGCCAAGAGAAACTGGCAGGAGTACGAATCGGTGAACCAACTGGCACAGGCGCTGTTGTTGTGTTTGAAATATTCGAATTTGTCGTAGAAGGAAAACTTGTATATCCTCCTCCTGTCCCACTTCCACTTCCATGTCCGCTTCCTCCCACAGGTACCCCAGCCGAGAATGAATCTCTACCATTCGAACTGTTCGTATTGTTGGAATTTACATTCGGAGCATTAGGAGAAGAAGAAGGAACGGAAGAACTTGAAAAAACGGAAGAATCAAAATATCTCGACCTGGGTGACATAGCCATGAAAGGGGCTGCGGTAGGTGACAGAGATGTACCCATAAGACTAGGATCGTCTCTATTTTCTGATTGAGGCATCGGGATGGGTGCTGAGCCATATTGATTTGGAGAAGTAGTATTGAGATGTGCCATGGCGACAGCTTGAGCGATACCACCAAATACAGGTGGTGTGATGGTTTGATGGGAAGAACCACGTTGACCCAAAGAGTTTTTAGAATATGATAATCTGATACCACCTTTGACCAACCCGCCCTGAATGTCAGTACTACTCGTCTCGATCAGGTGATTGGGAACTCACCAGTGTGTGCCCGTAGAGCTCTTGGATGGCCTGTGCGGCGTAAGGTATGTCCTCAAATTCTACAAAACACATGGGTCCGTTGATTTTCTGTCGGAAGGACATTCGCTTGAACCCCGCAGACCGACTGAAAAGTCCTCGCAGAGCTTCTTCGAGGAAATTGGGGGGATGAGTAGGGGGCGAGATGGCCGGGAGGTTGCCTACGTAAAGCGTGTTGATCTGTAATCAGTCAGACTTCTTCTTTGGAGAAAGAAATCAGGCACAAGGATTGATATGCTTGGTCGAAGAAGAATGAAGGCCTCTCACGAGCAAGTGCACACACCGAGGAATGATGCGGTGGGTTTGGAGTGAATAGCAGGCCACGTAAATAACAACTCACAGGAGGATTCTGATCCGCAGGATTTGTATTTGATAAAGCTCCCAAACTCCTCGTCTCACTCAAATGGTCACTTCCTCCAGGAGGACTACTCCCAAACCCTTGAAAAGCCGTGTGACTCTGATAACCCATCCCCACTACCGTTGGTTGTCCCGCTGCCCCTGGTCTGTCCAGTATTTCCAGACGTTCCGCCCTGCGAGGCACATACCCACTCACCATGCCTACCGTCCCGACGCCCATTCCCACGCTCCAACCTTCGAGCTCGTCTTCCTCCTCCGCCAACGCCAACAGAGCCTTCGAGTTGCTCGGTCTTGTCGTGGGTGACTTAGCGGACAACGGCGGAGAAGTAGAGGGATTGATCATTGAAGAACCGGGATGATAAGGCGGGAAAGAATTCAGAGGACTGGAAACGGATGAGGGTTGAACGGTGGATCGAGTCGGGTCGGATTGTGATAAGATATTCTGAGATTGTCTTTCACTACCGAACGAATCCCAAGCTTCTTTAGCGGATTGAGAAGCAGACGAGTTGCCTTGACCATTGATGGAAAGTCCAGGATTGGAGCCAGAAATTCCCGGGTGGACCAATCCTGCCAACCGACCGGAACGAAGTAGTAACCCGAGAAACTCTTCGTTAGTCGCATTCCTTTTGGTGTGAAGATTCTTTTTGGCCATTTCCGCTTTCAAAGTGGCACCAGTCAAAACGTCTATCCTGCGACCCTGTAAATGTTCTTTAGCGGACAAAGCGTCGGCACGACTTCTAAACCTGGCAAATCCGATAGTCTGCCTACGAGGAGGAATAGATGGTAACGTTGGACCTCCGCCGCCAAGCATGGGATTGGATGGTGCCGAGGGAGTCAACGAGATGGCCGCTGAAGGTGTGGTCGAAGCGGACGTCGATGCTGTGGCTGAAAGCTGCAGAGCGGCGATGGCGTCTTCCAATCCCGGCTGATTTCCTTCTCCGTGTTCCTGTTGCAAAGCTGCTAGGTGTTGGAGCTCGGCGAGTAAAGCAGCAGTGGGTTCTCGATGTCTCTGGCCAGATGGGAATTTCAAGGTAGCTGCTTCGAAGCCAGGAGCGAAGGTGAATAAGTTCGCGAACTCTCTTTCCTGTCTCTCGTCAGCCGTCTGCATTTGTAATGTCAGCAGTTGTAGATGGAAGAAATGGATTCACCTGCATGTCATCCGGAAAACCAACAACAAATATGGTAGATATGACCTCGTCTTCATCCCTTTCTCTTTCGCGTTCATCCTCCCTCTCTCGTCGCCGTCTGCCCTGTGCAGATCCTGGTCTGTTCCCATTCATCATCACCGCCTGCATCGCTGGGTGTTGCAAACCCACTCCACCCATGCCCACCCCTGTGCCAGCAATACTCATTGAGCGAGGATAAGAGCTATCGAGATTGGCAGGGATGTTATGTTGCATGTGACCGTTGGGTACGCTCTGTCTGTATGCCGAACGAGGAGGAAACTGGGAAGGACCAGCTCGCCAAGGTTCGGGAGGCCAAGAAGGCATAGAGTGAATAGGATCAGGCGCCATGGCGTGTTGAGGAGGTGGAATGTACGAGGGTGTTTGAGGGGGAGGGGATGATGTGACCGGTGGTAAAAAGGCGGACGGATCGGCATTCGGAATGGGTACGCCGACTCCTGGATGCATTGACAAGGATGCATGGGGTGCGTGTTGGTAGTGAGAGGGGTCATCGGGGGAACCAAGACTGTCACTGCCGCTACTGGGACCCTTGGACAGACCCGACATGCCAGATATACCGGATGCCGCGGATGGGGCTCGTGGAGGTTGTTGCAATGCCATTATGGAGAATGCAAAGTTGTGCTGATGATGAGCACCGGATGAGATGGGTGAGGGGATAGAGGACGTTGGAGATGTCATGTGGGTATGTAGTGATTCGGAAAGATGCTATATGTCTGTCTGGTCGATGTGAGCGCACAAAAAGTCTTATCGACGTGGAGTCGTGAAGGGATGCTGATGTGGAGGCGTTATCTATGCCGTCGGTCGTGACAAGGGAACGGTCGGTTCGGTGGATCCCGTTGATATCTATCTCGCTGTTGTTATTCGGTGACAGTGGATGAATGGATGTCTGTTCGAGGTGCCAGTAGGGACAAGATGTATACGATCCGTTGTCAGACCGTGCACGCCCTTAACCTCCCACTCCCCTCGTGTCGCCTTTGTTGATGATGTGGGATGTGTCGATGATACCTTTGTCGTTTCGCACTTGTCGCCCAAGGTGTGAGATACTGTACTTAGGGTAACACGAGTAAAGATGACGCGTGACGTGTTTTGAATAATGTTGAATGAAATGATGCGAGGATGATAGTTGGTTGATTGACGAAAACAATAGGACGAGGAGGGATTAATGATGGTCCAAGCTGCGCCCCCTTCCCTTCTTTCGCCTCCACACTTGACCGACTGGAGGATGTGGGTGAAGAAAGTCTTCTCTTTCGCTTTCTACTTCGTCCGTTGGTAGTGTGTGACGCTACAAGTGTCAAGTCGCGTCGAACCGAGGTGATGTTGATGACAAGTGGAGAGTTGTAGCGGTCAGTTAGTGGTTGACTGTTGATAGAGACATGTCGCTACGTTGGACACGAGGGGGTGAGTTGAGTGGGGGAGGGCCGACGCAGGATAAGGCGGGAGGGGAGACGCGAGTAGAGAGATTTAGTGCATTCGTGGCGGGAGACCCAAGCGTGGGAACAGATTTCGTCTACAGGGGAAACACCCGAGGAATCGTGAAAATCTGGGGTCCTTGATTTTCACGGGGATTTTCGGGTATTCCGCGTAGACGGTAGGTGGCGGTTTTGGACGCGATTGAGGAGGTCGTGTCCAGGACAGGACGATGATCGGGAGACGAGGATGAGGGGGGCGAGAATGGAGTTTACGGGGGTATGAAGGACCAGCTGCTAGCTGCTCACATCATGCTCGTCGACGCTGGATGGGTGACCATCTGGGCGTGGATGGAGTTAGGGACGAAGGCTTGGAATATCCTGAACGGTAAGCATATCACCATTCAAGTGCCATTCACAGATTCACAGGCTGAGGGGAGGGATGAGAGGCGAGACTGACCGCATCGTCCCCCTGGCTACCAAATCGACGACCACGTCCCTGTTCCTCTCACTCTGTCCGTTGACCAACATGTAGCTTGCAGCTTGAGATTGTCACTTCTACATGTCCCACAGCAAGTTGGAGGCTATGCGTAAGTCTAAAATGGACCGGTCGGAAAGAAGGATGTCGGCATTCAGAGCTCATCAAAACACCACATCTTCTCTGATTTTCCCATCCCGACTGCGAATCTTGAATCGTCCTTGTTCTCCCAGAAATCAGAGAATTTCATGACGAGTTGCCATCAAAAACGTCTCCCGAATTCTGGTCTTCCTCGGGCATCGCCGACCAGAGATCTTCAGGAACCAATAACCTCGCGTGGGACGCCGAGATTACAGGATCTAAGGACGACTCGACTAATTTTTTTTCACTTGCCCCGAGTCATTCCACCGTATCGACTCTATCTGGACCATGTTATCTCACACGTCCTCCTTCTCTTTCATATCATCTCTCACTCACTCAGATCCTTCCAACAATCTTCTTCTTATCGCATAAGACCATAACAAGATGAGCCCCAACGGCTTCAATGGTGTCATTAGCTCCAACGGCGATGGTCATGTTGCTCCACTTCACTTGCAAGCACTACCTGCCCCCACGCCCTCGGTCAATCCACTGAAAGCTTCAAATCTGTTCTTCTCTCCTGCCCCTCCTGGGACGGACAGATCCGGCACTAGAGGAAGATACATGTTGTCTATCCCGTGGTCCAAGCAGTCCGGATGGGGTCAACCTAAGATTGGACCACTCGAAACGATCAATCTGGATCCTCTCGCAGGTGCTTTACAGTACGCCGTCTCTTGTTTTGAGGGTATGAAGGTGAGTTATATTCTCGGTATTGATAAGCTGGTGTAGGTAGACCTTTTGCGAATGACTGATGACAGTGCTATAAAGGGGAAGATGGGCAGTTACGTCTCTTTCGACCGGACAAGAATTTTGACCGTCTTAAGCGATCTGCATGGCGTATCGGTCTTCCTGTGAGTCATTCTCTCTAATCGCACTCGCTCACTCTACGGCCGTCGTGAATAATCATATCAATTTGCCAGTCAGTACAAAGTTCAATCCACTGATATCAGTACGACTGGGATAATTCCGAGCTACTCGACCTACTCGTCAAGTTGGTAGCTCTGGGTAAGTCCATAATCTGCTGCACAGTGTTATCAGAGCCGCTGACTCCACAAAGAAGCCCCCATTGTACCCAATGAGGACGGTACCAACCTCTACATCCGTCCCACTCTGATAGATGCATCTTCCTCTTTTGGTCTTCGCGAAGATGGATTAGCCACTGAAGCGATGTTGTACGTAGCAACGGGAATCAATGTGGGAACGAAAATATATCCTTCCGCCGATGGTAAAGGTCTCAAGCTCAATACTTCTTCGGATTTTATCAGAGCTTGGCCAGGTGGGACGGGGTCATACAAGCTTGGAGCCAATTACGGTGATTCGAAACGTTTGAATTGTCGTTCGATGTCGTACTGATCCGTCAGGTCCGGTGCATATCGCCAAACAACCTGGATACGCCATGAGTTTATGGTTGCATGGAGACCGAGATTATATCTCCGAAGCTGGGGGAATGAATATTTTCGTGATCAAACAAGCTTCGGATGGTTGTGCGTACTAATTTTCACTTCATCTATCTCATACAGTGCTGATGAACAGTCCTCGAATTCGTTACCATGTCCCTAGCAAATGGCATCGTGCTCCCTGGTGTGACGCGTAGTTCTATCATCGAACTCCTGACGAATCATGCCTCTGGAATAAAGGACTTTCCCACGGTCGGCATGCCGAAAAACATTCGTGTTGTTGAGAGAGATATACCGATGCAGGAGATCATCGATGGTATTGCCGATGGGTCACTTAAAGGGCAAGTTAACTGTCCACACAATTTCTTTCTGATCTCACAAAAGTATAGTAGCTGATACGAGGCAGATTCTTCGGGTGCGGAACAGGAGTTGTGGTTGTCTCTATCGCTGAGATAACCTACGCCAACAATGTATATCACATTCCTTATAATCCCCTTGTCCGCCTCATCAGGGATACCATGACAGCTCTGCAAAGGGGGAAGATCGAGAGTGAATGGAGTTATAAAGTACCTGCTTGGTCGGGTCCTGGATTAGAATCTACCGAAGAGGTGATCATAACTTGATCTATAAACTCATTTGATAGTATGTAGTGGTAAGCTATCACTACCTTCCTCTAGAATCATTCGCATCAGAGGGAAAAGCTGATGAAGATAGGTAAAAAAAGTCTCGAATGGGACTAAAGTTCATACATTTTCGTGCATCGCCTCTCGATTTCCCCTTACCTGATACTGAAACGATTCTACAAAGTTAGAGAGGAGGATTTCATGGGGTATCCTTTCATACTCTTTTCATCTCAAAGGATAACGAGCGTGAGAAATTTCATGGTTTTGAGGCTCTACACCCTTACTTTATACGCCTCTTAGAAGATCATTGCCACTTTCACCCTCTTCCTCCGATTTCTGACATTCGTCGACCACATCCCACAACCATATTCCACTCCTACAATCACCTCCTTAAGTCACTAACAAAACTCGATTCCCCTGGTCGTCAATTGTCGATAATCTCCTGAAGATTTGAAACAGTCAAGATGGGCAAACCTTCACATTTTCGTTCGTCTCACGGGAGCAAACACAAACATCATAGTTCTTCGACCGTCCTGCGACAACTCGCATCGCAGAACGCGTGCGGCTTGATAGATCTAGACCCAACTTCTGGCAGATGGGCCTCGGTCCTCGGGTTCATACGAAAGGGGGTGGAATCGGATTGGACTAAAGGGCAGGAATTATATATGAAGAGAGCCGCGCATTGTGCAATATACGCTCCGGAATTGTATCGATCAGTATTCGAGCCAGATGCCCTCAGTCATAGGACGGATCTGAAAGGGGAGCTTTCTTCACTCCAGATAATTGCGGACGCAATGTCTGAGAAGCAATGGGAAAAAATTGCCCCTGATGAGTCTTCGTGCGCAGCGTTGACTCAGGGATTGAAAGCACGGCTTCAATCGGATATCGACCAAGCTTTTCACGGGCTTCCGCCATCAGAGCCACCCAAGTGGCCCTCAGACGTCGACTACCTCCCCTCAGAAATCGACCCCTGCTCTTCGTCACCTATAGGATCGTGGTCTGATATATCGGATGATCTTAGCCGTCTACTCAATGATCATCCTTCACTCTTTGGATCCACCAAACCCATTGAAAGCGGCTCCGCTTCAAATATCAAGGACGAGACGGGACGAGGAGCGAGTGGCCGGATCTCGTCGCACGTCGCGAACAGTACAGACGGGTCAGACTCTACTTTGAAGGCGCTCGCAAAATCGGGACGGACAGATTCCCCCAAGGGCACTTCTCCAATCTCTTCACCAACACAAGATTCAACACGTTCTCTCGAGACCTTGGTATTCTCTAATAACGAGAAGGCACCCCCCAGAATCATCAGAGGTACCGACAGTCTTGCCGGACCGGGCGATAGCACGGCGAGTCGCCACATACTAGTCACGCGTACATCCGACACTAGTAAAATTCCCACAGACGCAATAACCACACAAACTGCATCACCATCTCTCACGACAATGAACGAACCCACTGCTCCATCAATGACCCCTCCCGGAGCCCAGTCTGTACCCACCAACAACGCTAGCTCGAACGAAACGACCACAGGAGGTAGCACGATCAGAGGTGCGACTAGTGGGACACATCTCACTGGACCTCCTACGGTCACGAATTCGGAGACAAACCCCAAGACAGGACGTAGGCTGACAGCCACGGCGCTTCCAATCCCGGGAGACGCCTTCGAGAGAGCTTACGAACACTTCAAGGGCTTTGCCAGTAAATTCGGATTTGTGATGCGCCAGGGCGAATTTGAAGCTGCGAGTCTAGCGAGAAAGCGCGAGGCCAGCTTCTTTGCCTATGGGGACAACAATTTGAAGTTTGAGACTCGAATATGGGCTGAAAGGAAGACTGTGATAGAAAATGGAAAAGAGCGCCAGGTTGACATGGTCACCGGTCAACATATGCTTTTCGACGATGAGGGACTGCTAGGTTCACTACAAATCACTGCTGATAATCGAGGCGGATACACAGGTGCAATATCACGTGTTGATCGAAGAGCACAATCTATTTCGAATGGACAGGAACAATGTACACCGTTAACTCGTATCGAGTTCCTCGACGCTCTGCCATCTTTCTTGGAATACCTCGATGGCACATTGGGGCAATTTGGACCTGGGGGTTTTCCAAGAACGTTTGGTTTGGCTGATGACGGTCATACTCTCCCAGGCGGCTTATGGAATGGTGGAAATCTGAACCTTGATGATGCGATTAAGGGGGCCGCTCAATGGGCAAGAAGAAAAGATTACGCGCAAGGAACGCGATCCAGCACATCTAGCACACCCCGCAATCGACCGGCTCAGTGAGACGGAGTCAATCACTATGATACAACAGATCATCAACGAGTAACTCGACACTTCTAAGCGACGATGGCGGAGATGAAACCCGAATGAATTGACCGATTTTGGACATACTTACTTGTTATTGTACTCATGATTTACATAGACAGTTATTTCTCTGATGAATAACACCTGCTATCATTTATTCTACTGATTGTGTGAATCATCTACCACGTATCCAATTCTATAGAATCTTCTTCTTTATCTCGTCAAACGAAAACATACATATCAAACTCTTCGGATTACAGCCGACTTCCTTCCCTCCTTTATCGCTTTACCAAATATCATCTCCTCTTTTATCCCGGTTACCTTTTGATCAGTCCCTTATGCTTTCTCCTCTCTCGACCTATACGGTTATACGGATCATACCCTTGGACGGACGGATCATCGAGGCGATGCAGGTGGACCAAAATTTCTCGACGGGGAAGGGGGAAAATCCCCGTCGGCCGATTGAATTTCTCGTTTCTCACGTCTCCTTTTATCGATTCTAGAAACTCAGATAGTATCAATGGAACGATGAGATTGAGAAAGTGAACCAGTTTGAGACTTAAGAAACAGGACTTCTGGTGGGTGTTTTGCCACTTTTCCCTTCCTTCTTACTCTCTTCCACCAGTTTCAATTAGATTTACAACAACTCATCATCAAAGACTTCGAAGAGTACAAAGTTGACCACAGGTACCAATCAGGGAGCTACCCCGCTACATTTCCAACATCGCCAAAAGACACGAGACAAGATGGGCGCACCAAGACGATCTCAGCAATCCGTGACTCTAGCGGATATCCGGGAGCAACTACCAGAAGAAATGGACGATGACACGCGAGCCACATTGGAGTCCCTGTTTAAAGGTCCATTGTCCAGGTCAGAACTGGGAAAAGGGAACCGAAAATCGCTGGCGAACCGAGTCACAGCACAAATGGCTTTGAAAAGTTTTGTGGAAACAGGGTACCTCAGCAAGGATGTCTTTCCGCAGTCCAAACATGAGCTGATGTGTCCTGAACTGTGGGATGCCCTGAACAACACCACACAGGTCATGGATACAGAAACCGCCCAACACTTTCTGACTAGTGTGAACACTTACACGAAAGCAGTGACCGATCCTTGGATGAAAGAGCTTCGAGACAAGCCACGATCGCCCACTTCGCCCACGAGAAAACGTCGCCCACGAGATAACCTTCAGTCCCGACCGATCAATCCCACTCCAGATCGTCGCTCACGAGAAAGACTACAGTCGCAAGCGCCAAATCTGGATGTTACAACCAATACTATCCCACAGATTCCTGAAACATTCTCCGCTAAAGCTCAAAATACATGGTTAAAGTTGCTGACAGAGGGACCCCTCTCCACAAATGTGCTCACGGACAAAGATGCCCGTGTCGACATATCTAAAAAGTTGGATAAAGTGGCCCGCATGTTTGAAAAGCACATTAAATCAGGAAACCACCCGAGCACCTTTCAACTTGAAACAAGTCACCCATTGCTGAACAATTTGCACCCTGCATTGTCCCAAATGTATACAGGTGAAGGAACAATCACGAAAGAGCAGATTGCAACTGCTGAAAGCTTCCTTCAGCAAGTGAAGACATTTGTCAATGATCCAACTGAATACCAACCTTCTTCCAAACTCCCTTCTGACCAAGACCTATCAGAGAAGCCCTCACCACCCCGCATCGTCCCGATCATACCACAACCTCCTGAGACCACATTCGGCGCCCCTGTACCCAAAAATTTGCTATCTGCCAGCCGGGATGATCCTCAACAGAACACAGAGTGGCCGTTCACATTCCCCTTGCCATCAACTGCACCCCCAGACTCAAGGCCTCCATGGGTTGACATTGGTAAAAGAGTAATAAAAAATACAGAAAAAGTCGATTTCCACACAAGAGATTTTACAGGGACTATACGCCAGGTAAACAATCTTGCAGAGGCATATGTGACAGGTGGAGAGGCTTTTGAGAAGTGGAACACAGGAAACAGTGGCACCTTGCAGCGCTTAAAAGACGCCTTAGGCAATCTTGGTCCAGTTACAGAAGATAGTAAGATGTTTGCAAGACAAATAGCTGAGTTTTACAGGCTGCATTTGACTGGAGGAGGTGAACTTCCAGCTCCTGCAGATCAACAAACGAAATTGGCGGAGACTCTTCCTGTCTTGAAAGAACCTCAGAGTCAAGAGCAACCTCTTTCCTCTGTTGTGCCTTCCGAGATCAACACCACTCCTCCTCCAGTGGCAGACACGCAAGCTACGAGCAACTCAAAAGACACTCCTTCCGACCCAGCCCCACCAGTTCCTAAACACACTCCCAATGCAGAGTCCACTGCTACAACTTTACCTCATGTTGCCCCACCAGTCTCAAGTGAGAACAAAACAAAGGAGACCAGGCGCGGAGGGAAAACGCAAGACTCTAAAGCAGTGAGGACTGATACTCAAAGACCCCCACCAAAGCAGCCTCATATTGACTGCACAGTCTGGAGCCCAGCCAAACGTGGGAAAGTATTTCAGTCCTGTAGAACGGAGGCGACCTCCTATTATCCCAAAAACACGAAAACTAAAGTATACCACCTCCAGGATGCGGAAAAAGAATGGGCCTGGATGTGTGTGAATCTTGGCGAGGGTGGTACACCACTTAGATGTGACACGCAGCGTGTTGATTGGAGGAATAAAGGGACGGTGACATTGACCCAGACGGTATGGAATCCATTGGCTAAAGGGGAAGAATCGAACTCGAATTACGAGGAGTTCACGGACGGTAGGAACAGAGCATGGAGGAAGGACATCAGGAAGGAGATCACATACGGACCTGATGGTCTCAAGAAATTGACAGCTGACTTCCAAGTGAATTCAGAGGTACCCCTGGATGATGTAGCTGCAAATTTAGAGGCATTGAAGGCAAACGGTTTCAAAGGACACTTTGCTCCGGAATTTCCTGAGCTCGATACCGAAGAGTTGTTGAAGGGGTGGAGAGAAGGAGTTTGGGATATCCAGATCGAGACCACAGAGGCTTAGCCAAAACATCTGATGGGGCGGTCAAATGTCCATTAGCTATCATCCTGGTCAGTAATCATATACATGATGTACATATCGTGATGAAATAGGAGAGGATGTCATGCTTCGATCACAATGGACAAAATCAGAAATCGATCTTGATTGTCGGTTCATCGAGAGGGTCCGTTTTTTGAGATAGCTACTCGAGTATACAATATAATAAGTGTGATTCGAAAGTGATGCACGTGAATATATGTTTGAAACGTTTGAACAGATATTCATAGAATATACCACCATGTTCTATCGTGACATGAATGTCATACGCCCATTCAATCTCCTTTCAACCGATGGGATCGTGTGACAGGAAATCCACGAAAGGATCGGACCTGTCTCCGATATCTGAAACGTGTTACAAATTCCTGGGTTGACTCTATCAATGGTTCTCATCTTCTCAATCTTTCTCATTCACATTCATATTCTCACCCCACTAACATCGGATCAATCGGCCACACGACGTAAATAATATATCGTGTATCTAAGACGACTTCTCAACATCACTGACCTTCACAACAAGTATCCTTCACCACAATTATCCTTCACGAATTAATCTGTCCTCCACAATCATCCTTCTTAATCTTCCCCTACAACATCAAGTCAGTGATAAAACTATTGCGCCATGTCAGTTGACACGAGGACTGCGTTATCCGCATCTACTTTCCAACCCATTGAACCTTCAGTCACTTCCACCTCACCTAGGACTACTAGACCTTCTTCAGGAAGAACATCAAAGCAGCCAAGTGAGAGGAAGGATCCCGGCTGGGCTCACTACCTCAGATCCCGTCTGACAGAAGGGACAATGACCAACTTGAGCACGCTGTATGCTATTCTTGGTGACGAAAACACAAAGGGGAAGAATCAGGAAGATAAAACACGTTTGCTCAAGTTGACCAATTCTGCCTTGGCCATTCAGAACCATGAAAAGTACCCAGATTACTCCAAAAGATATTCTGCTATCACACCCACAACATTGAACGAGCCTTTGACAAGTTTGCATGGTACATTATTGGGAGAGCTAGAAGGGATGAACGAGGAAGATAGAGCACAGGCTATGAAAGCCTTATCTTCCGTGCCCAGAAGTCTTTATCCACAGACCACGAAAGAAGAAACTGCGACGGGAACAGTACCTGGAAGAACAGGTAGAAACACGGGAGATACATTGACCCGGCCAACAAAGCCGAAGACGAAACGCGGTGTTTCTTTCGCAGTCGGTACAGCCGGTGGAACAGACACAGAAGAAGCGACCACACGTACACCTGTCACACGAGAACAAACTATAGAACCCTCCGTAGAGGAAGATATCACGCAAAGTCCGACAACTACTGCCGCCCCTAAACCACTGAAGCCCGCCTTGAAACGAACACAAAGTACTCGAGATCTGACAGGAGACAGCAGACCGAAGACATCAACAAGGACTCGGCCAACAACAAATCCGGAGACAACGGCCCCACAAACAACGTCTCCCAGTACCTCGGTCCTGCCAATCACCACGGACATTGATCCGAAATGGTTGAAAACATCGCGCTCTCATTTCATAACTTATGCCGGGAATTATGGATTTGACCCCAATCCGGAAAAATACCAACACCCCGCCACTGGGCAAACAGGGTGGGAGACGACCAAGGGAGGTAAATCAAAGTGGCGTACCACACACGCATTCAATGATGGTGCCTATACCCAGAGACAGGTGGTTTGGGAGGATAAAGATGACGAGGAACCAGAGATCGCAGTGACAATCCGATGGGAGAGAGATGGGAGAGCGACGTTTGTTGCTGAGTGGTATACCGAAGCAGATCTATCTGACGCATCGGAGGACAAATTGTATGCGAATTTCGAGAAGACGGTTCAGAAGTATTTCCCTCGAGGTTTGAGGTGGGCGGACTTGCCGGATATGGGTGAAGGTTTCACTTTTGCCCAAGGAGGTAAAGTGGATTGGAAGCAAGTAGCGACTGAAGTGGCGGAGAATCGAAGATCGACTCGAACCACAAGGACTCGACGACGATGAGAATTCTAAAGGTATGTAGTTTGAAAAGACTTTTGCTTGTCATGACAAAGTTGATTATCTGACCTCAGCACCTTATCTATCTAACGTCGGAGATTAGAGACACGCGTAAGCCTGTTTCAGATCGGTCGATATGTCAAGCACGACATAGAAGGACGGTATTCTCAGTTTTAGGGAGAGAATCCCAAGCTAGTCAGTCGGTATGGAGTCAAACTTGATGCATTCTACTTTGACAGTGATCATTCTTCTCCGACTTTCTTCGCACGACCCTGGATATCAGCAATCACACATTATTACTCGTAGTGAACGAGGATGATGACCTACCAAACTGTAGTTGACAAGCTGGACAGTGGATCCGACGAATGATACGGTGAATAGTACCATGTAAGCGTTGAAGTAAAGCTTTGAACGAGGAGCGCGGAGGTAGACGGGTGTTTTTCCAGCCAAAGACTATACGTCAGAGTTGTCCATTCCGTATATCTTCAGAAGGTCGTCTCTTCCGAACAATGTATCCTTCTTGTATAATAACAGGCTACATAGCAAGCTCGACTCTTGAAGGCACCATCTATCTCCGGTTGGTGTATATGGAACATGTTGGGAACTCACCTGCATGGCAATCTGTTTCTCCCTCACAGTGTTGGGACCTGCCCGTCAGACGATGCCATGGATATCATTCTCTGGTCAGACCCAAAGACTCACGGTTTACGAGCCAGCCGATCATCTTGCAATGAGATTGATGTTATAGAAAGGGTACAAGGATGTATGAAAAGGTGTTTTGATATGAAAAGAGGCGAGGTCGAATCGGAACGGTCGGAAAGGTGCGCTTCCAAGTGAAAAGATTTGTTTTCGGGTAGTTTTTCAATTTTCTCCCAGAATTTCTAAAGATTGAGCAAGCTTAGCGGCTCTTCCTCGTCCATCACCTCTCAACCAAGCCTACAAGGACATATACATGCCGCTCAACATGGCACAGACTATCGAGGGTCAGCTTTCAAATGGGTGAGTAGTATTGTGATGCTTTATCTTGACTGATCAAGCCAGACCACCTGCGGTCCTTCCCCGAGATACGGTCGAAGTCGATGCTGGTCTTCTCGCAGCATTCGACAACTCTCCCGTGGAGCCGGAAGCGTATTCGTAAGTATCTTTGCTCTACTCATCATCTTGCGAACCTGACAAGTCCAGATCTAATCTCCCATCCCATCTTTTAGATCTCACCCTCACTTCAACCCATCATCTCATATCTACCCTCTTTCAACTACCCACTACGTCAACCGCCTCGGGATTGATGGTTCAATTGCCCGCTGCGAAGACACTTTTACCCAGGGAGAAACCTCTGCCAAAACCAAAACCATTGACAAAATGGGAGAGGTTTGCTAAAGAGAAGGGTATCAGTCATAAGCAACGTGATCGGATGGTATTCGATGATGAGAGACAGGAATGGGTAAAGAGGTGGGGACGAGGAGGTAAGAATAAGGAAGTGGAGGAACAGTGGATACATGAGGTCAAAGCTGGTGAAGGTAGGTCTTTCTCTACTTCCTCTTTCATTCTCATCTTCTGATCACTGAAGATCCGTCATTTCAGGTGTTCACTCTGACACTCAACTCTGTCTTACATGTATGTTTGGGTGGATGGTTCTTTTTTACTGATCACAAGACCCCGATCACGATCCCGCCGCTTCAGCTAAGAAAGCTCGTAAAGAGCGTGTGGCAAAGAACGAAGCACAACATAAAGCCAATCTCGCTCATGCTACCGCCCCGACTTCCACACGGTCTATCTCTGCTCAAAACTCTGAGAATCGATCGAAACGCAAAGTCGAACTTGAACGATCTATGCTGTTGACAAAAACTTCCACTGCGAGTCTAGGCAAGTTTGACAAGAAGATCGAAGGTGAGCCCAAGACAAAGGGGGTCAAGCGCAAATTCGAACCGAATGTCGGAGAAGATTGGGAAGGTGAAAAGGGTCGAGCGATGGATGTGTTGAAGGGGTTGGATGGGAAGAAAAAGAGGGAGGGCAAGGGAGAGGGAGAGATTAATGTTAGGAAAGCTGTGAGGTTCCATACGAGAGAAGAAAGAATCAAGGGGGGATCTAGTGCGAGATCGAAGAGCGTCAAAGGGAAACGACGATCTTAAAGGGTTATAGAAGACTTCTTCATGTCTAATGTTCATATGCGGTAAACTCATCATGGAATGTCAATAATTCTATATGCAAATGACACCCATTGTGTGTGTTCTAAGGATATGAACTGTGCCGAAATCGGCGTGGATAGAAAGACGATCACTACTCCCCTTCAGCTTTCTTTTTCTTTTCCTCGACCTGAACTGATCAGTTTCATAATCGAGCAATATCGAATGGGCAGACTCACCCTAACGACTTGATCAGCCGGTGCACCTTTCAACACTCCAACTTGAGCTTGTAGCATCTCCACTATATCATCCCCCACATCTCCCTGAATAACAATTTCTTCTTCACCTTGAGGATTCTTCGACACGCTCGAACCAGTCGCGAATTTCCCAGCGAAAAGTTTTGCCGCTTTTTTCAAGTCTACCCCGAAAGCTTCTAGACCATGTATGTGTGTCTGATGTTTTCTACGAGTACGTTCAGAACGTTTTATAGTAATCTTCGCGGCCTGGGCATCAGCAGAAGTCTTTCGGACTCATTAGAGGCATCTAAGAGAGATTGTGAGAGTTGGGAAAAGTAATACTACTTGGGACAAACCTCTTTCTTCTTAGCTTCCGCTTCTGCTTTCTTTTCTGCTTTCCGTTCTGCTTTGGCGGCATCCGCTTCGAGTTTCTCTTGTTTTTCTACTGACAGGGTTCCCATACGAGCTGTCAAAGAGCCTACTGCATCAACACCTCTTCGCCTGACATCTTTAATTGTACTGAGGGTTAAGCAGGAAATGTTAGAAGGGGGTGACTTGAAAGGAGTTCAAGGTTGGTTCACTTACCCTCTCCCCATAACCTACTATACTCTGCGGGATCCTCTTTCTCCAACCAGGCTTTACATTTCGAGACGGAAGGTCCGAATTCGCAATACTCTGTTGGAAGAGTACAGATGGCGCAGTAGAACGGTATGACAGGTTTGGAGGAAGGACCAGCTATGATGATGGACATTTTATCTTCTCTCCTTGATGTATGGTATAAAACTCTTCCTTAGAAGTCTTTGCGGCACTTCTGAGATGCCAAGAAAGAAGAGGTAAGAGACACGGGGTGATACAGCGATATTATCAAAGTAGAAAGGTGAAAGGAGGTTCTGACCACAGTCACTTCCACTCTTCTCCCTCTTTCCTCTAAGTAACTTATGCCTCACATCGATCATTTCGTTCTTTTGCCTAACTTAGTTGACTTTTCATCATTATCATGTCAGTCCACGACCCAACATTCCAAGCTCTAAAAGAGATGGGTATAGAGCCTATCCTCGCACGTGAAGCAGCTACCAGGTTTCATTCAGTCGAACCAGCTGTCAATTGGTGTTTCGGTGATGGTCAATTAGTACGTTTCCTATCCTTCTACTACTATCTCAACATGAGCTCAACAGACAGTGGCAACCTCCAGACGAGGTTTTACCACCTTACGAATCTAGAAAATCTTCCACAACAAGTATGTTTAGAATATCTTTACTTGTTCATATTGTGCTGATTAGCTGATTGTATCTAGTTGAACATAATGAAGTTCGACAGAAATCACCAGATAAAAACCTCTCAATAACACCACGTTTAATACCTCAATCTAACAATCCTTTTTTACCTAAAGCCAACGTAGAGATAATCTCTGTAGTTGATGACGATGATGAAGATGACGATTTACGAAAAGCTTTAGCTTTATCTCGTGAAGGTATGGAAGTGGATGATGAACAACGTCAAGAAAGGGCTAGAAGCGTTAGAGCTCATGCACCACCTCCAAGTCCAGATATCATCATGGATGATGAATCAAAATCTTTACCGACTTTTGGTCCGAGTAATAAAGATGATAAAGAGGGTAATTTGGCAATGGTACCTGTTACAGTGAGTCATACTACCTATGTAGGAAGATAAAAGGTAGAGGGTTGATGGGATTTAGAACACAGAAGAAGATGATTTGAATAGGGCAATACAAGATTCTCTTATGACGGCTAGTTTTCATTCTGCTTCTGCTATGACAGGGGATAAACCTGTAAAAGGTCCAAGACAACCTGGAGCGTGAGTTCTCCCTTTACTTCTACCGATCGTCTCTTCGCTGCATATCTGACATTTGCATGAAAGAAACCCGTTCGTGCCTGTACACATCTGACCGGATCGTACTTGATGGAGGTGGATATAGGATTAGAATAAAGATGAAGATGAAACACATGACACTGCTGATAGACAGACCGCCGGTTTTTTACTCCTCAGTGGAAGGAATGACCTACGGCGCAAACCTCCTACAATCTCTCTGGGCAATCCCACAAATCAAAGAAATCATAGTCACTTCCCTCTCGACAGATGTCAGATTACCTGAAGCCCTTCGTGATATGTACACCGAGGCACAATATTCAAATGTCAATTTTGTCGAAGCTCAAGATTTCCTGAAGCTTGTAACTCCTTATCCTCTTCCACAACAACTCCCTCCGTCTGTTCCAAATCAAGGTGAGAGCTTGGTCGTTTGGACTGATTGACGATGGTTGATGGGTAGAACTACGAAATCAAATTAACGATGTGATACAGGAGATTTTGGAGCTTCAGAAACCTAATTTTGGGGAGAGAGGTTCTTTTTGGGCAGAACCGCCAGTGTGAGAATCTGTCTTTTGTTCCCTCTCTTCTTCTCTGCTTCCTCATCACTCTCCTATCTCCTGGTCTTTCTGCCTATTCGACGTCTCTGCCTGTTTTTCCTCTTCCAGAAATCTTCATGTCATTGGCCATGTGCCCAGAATAATCGCTGACGATCTAGGCTGTTCACCACCATCCTTGATCCATATCAACCAGCTTCAGATGTATCCTTCCCACGCGGCTCATTCGGACCATCCAACATCTACAGTGCCATGGCCGACGCACTTTGGGCTGCTGATACGCCTAATCAGAGTGTGGTGGCTTTCGGTGAAGTTTTGGCGGTTTACCTGAACGCCGCCTTGGGCGAAAGAACTCTCTGGGAGATGGACGAAAGGGTCGTCCTGGGTATGTCGAGCTTCAACATGTATTAGTATCTTGCCTGATTATCAGATCGATTCCTCAAAGTCCATGCGACAAGATCGACTCAGATACGTGCGCAACAGAGTTTGGCAAAGGCGAATGTCAAGAGACTGAAGGAGAAATTGGAAGAGATCACGACTTTCAAAGATCAAAACACTTTGGAGAACATTTCAGTGTGAGTCGATTCAGGCGTGTCATGACGATCTTCTCTCATGTACAGACTCATCAAACATCTTGAGTCATCTCCACTCACGACCGACGAGATACAAGCTCAAACTCGAGCGGAGATGAAAGCGAAAGTGAGCGCCCTGCGCACATATTTTGATGAAATGTCACTGATTGCAATAGTTGGAAAATATTCTACAGACTTTAACGACCAAAGTGGATGCTTTGAAAATGGAGATGGAACAGGAAAACGTAATAGCATCAGGGGATGGATTCCATAGTGAGGAATTAGAGATGAACAAACACATTGTAAGTTCTTCCTCCTCTCATCTTTTTTTTTTTTTCATTTCCTCTCATTTTGATTGCTAGACGTTAATGTCAGTTCTTACTTCGAGCGGTACTCTTCTACGATGGTGCACTCGTAGGTCAACGACATCTTTATTCTTATGTCAAAGAAGGAGATGATTGGTGGAAAGTACAAGAAGCAGAAGCTACCAAGGTCGATTGGAACATGATTAAGAATGATCAAACGGGTTTATATCTCGATGCTGGACCTTACATGCTGTACGTCAATCTTTGGAGATTTATACGAGAAATAGAAGCTGATGAGGAGGTTATATTCGAGAGAAGGACCTAGACCACATCCCACTTCACTTATACTTGCTGAGGGTGGTAAACAAGGAGGTAATGACATAAGTGAGGGAGAGAGGATAAAAGAGGAAGAGGAGAAACCGGAGGAAGATGATTTGATCGAATTGGAATGATATGTATGTGATAATGACAGGGAACGACATGACCAGACAGTGGGTATTTTCATTAGATGATGCATGAAGGCTTGAGGAATGAAAGAGGGACACAGTAGATATTGACATATTGGATCTTTTGTCTCAGTCATGACATGTGGTGTGACATCTAACACAGGGGACACATTTTTCAGAGAGCTAGGTTTGGGGTGAGTCAATGTGGTAGTCATCTTCATGAGAAGTGTCTAGTGACTGAGGCGAGTTGTAATTGGTCCCCGTAAACATAATGTGTTCAGCATTTTCTGCCGAAGTGACCATGACCTTCAACCCTTCAGCATCACCCCAAAGTTTTGGTTTCACTTCTATCGCTCTTTCATGGAGCTCGATCACAGCTTCGAGCAACTTTTTTGTCAGTGAGTGTGCAGACTCAAGCTCCATTACATATAGAGACATCAATCCTTGTGACCTTTGTGCTGACTCAATCTCTGACTCTAACCAATTGGAAGCTGCTTCCATGTACCTTACTGACTGTTCCACAAACATAGGATTATCCAGAGGAAATGGTTCGGGAGGTTGGACTTGTTCATGCTTCATTACTGATCCTGGTTGGATGGAATCAATTGAACTACAAAGAGATCCAATGAGGGCGTCACAACACATGTCTGCTTCCTTGTAATATGTCATTGTACTCCTGTATAGCCTCTTATCAGTCAAATTGAAATCATTGCTCTGATCAGGGTCCCATTTTTGGATTGAACAAGATTTTTTCAGTGTTTCTTTGAGTCTCAGGATCTCAATCATCTTGCCTTCATATTCAGCAACTTTGAGATTGTTTTCTTCCACCTGTGATACTTGAGTTTGACCGTTACTTTCTGCTTCCCCGGATGTTTCCGCCAGGCTACAGTTGGGTTCATTGTCCTTCACTTCATTGTCCTTCACTTCATTGTCCAAGTCACTTTCATGTTACGGAGTAACAACGAATCGAGAGGACTCTATCGAGTTCGACGGATTAGGACAGAGGAAAGCGGGAGTTGGAGGCAGTGCTGCAGTAGGTAGGGACGGGTTTTCCCCTTTCGAGATTTCCCCACTGGGTTTGCTCAAAGCGGTTTTTCACCTGTCCGAGTATGTACGTAGACGCTTGCAGCAGGAAGGAGACGAGGACAAGGATAGCCGTAGACAGTATATAGTACAATCAGCAAAGTACCAACTTTGCTGATTCTTCAATATCATTCTTTGGCTACATCGATTGCAGAGGAGACACGATTCATTAGCACCAGAGCCCCTAGACTTCCACGAGACATCCATCGAGTTCGACCCAACCTGCGACTTAGTCGTCGTGTTTCCAGTACCGTTACATTTCACCAACTTGACTACTACAATTACTACCACCACTGCTTGCACTACCAGTACCACTACTACTACCACTGTCATCTGGGGGGAAATAAAAATCTGCTTTGGCCATACGCACAACAACGACAACACTTGAAGTAATTATGTGAGTTAGAGAAGTGTGATGATTCAATTGGTTCGGGATTAGTTTATATGTCGATGACTATCATCCTGGCGTACCATCTACATTTCGGTTAGACGGTCTCCTCGGGCTAGATTGGATGACCGCACGTCTTGAAACTCCGTGTACAACGGATCAACTTTGACAATTTGATGGCCCGTCTTTAACCTCCGCATATAACGGATCAATAAGTGATGACAAAGTCACGCTAACCTTAGTCATCGCCTTGACGACGATATATGGAAATCCTTTCTTCCGGATTTTCGCTGACTTACGACCTATTTCTCACATTCTCACGGGAGCTGCATCGTGGACACTACTCTAGAGTTCATAGTCACTGATCATCCGATGACAATATGAAGGATTCAATGAAGTATTGACCCGTACAATATAACAGAAGGTCAGTCGTCACTAGTAGTAATGAGCGCTCTCTCTCGGTACTTACCATCTTGAGACCCCCTTTCTTCTTCTTGTATCAAGATGTGTCTCAAATCCCCAAACTTCCGCTCCAGCCCAGTTAATAATTCAAGCATCTCCCCCGCTACCTTTTCCTTCTCTGACACTACCAGTGAGTTCCCCTCTTGATTTCCTGAAGTTCGACCTGGGACGAAGAGTCGTAAGCTGTCCGCTATTTCACTTGTTCTCCGAGCCAGTTCGCTAACTTCCTCGCTAGTCGGATGATTTGGCAAGACCTCTACCGTAATCCCCAGATTATCCAATCCTCTCGAAACGAAATCCGAAATTCGGTCAACTAAGCTAGATGTGTTTTTGGAGCTCCTAGATCCGCCCAAAAGAGGAGTCGTTTCATCCATGGCAACAAATCAATGAGGATATAGTAGATGTTTGAAGATCTTCTGAGTGAGTGACCCGTCGTACAAGTTGAAGGGAAAGAGATGGAGAAGGAGATGAGAATTCAACATAAGCTGACATTTAGCGTGAGAAAGAGAGGGGCCGAGAACGATTCTTATCACCGAGGATCAAAAGAACGTGAGAACATTGGTAGAAGTCTCATTTGACTTGACCGAGCATCGCCTCGCCGGATACGTGGGAGTTGCAGTACTACTCGTAAAGTGCTCCGCAATAATACTACTAGCTGTGAGATCAGAGTCCTATACCGTGAGTAACTTGTGGGCTTGTGGTAGTTTTAAATTGACACATTTTAGGAGCGTTAGTCAAATCGAAGGTGAAGACGTGAGGATTGTGGGGAGTTACAGGTGAGTTGTTTGCGTTCTTAACGACTCTTCTCTGTCTCATTAAACCATTATCCTACACCTGTTACTGTATCATTCCGCTCACTTCCTAAACATCCTTTGACATCCATATACCACATGGCTATGAAATGCTTACAATAGGTTGTCTTACAAAACGTCTTTACCTTTCACTCACTATCCATCTATTTGTGACCACATTGGTACAATCCGTTGATATAGGACACAGTCCAAGTCTGAATACCCCTTCCCTTGTCAAGTGTATAGTACATTTGGTGGATACATAAGGTGCATCATGCAACACCAGTGCATTGCATATGCATATGCATAAAAGTCATCTTAATCTACTTGTTCCTACGTCATGATTCCTTAGTTGTCTGATCCAACAAATTTCAGTAATAGCCCTGTGTACCAGGTGCAGGTCCTCCAAAGGAAACCTGTGAGCCTTGCGGCACAAACTGAAATTGGGGCACAGGGGGGACTTGAAACCCTGCAGCTACTTGAAGGCTTGTAGACAGAGTATACAAGTTGGATTCAAGAGTCTCAAGAACTCTCAAAGTAACAAGACAACCCTCTTTTATGGAGTTGTATTCGTCAAGGGCTTGTTGACTGGGATATACATTTTGGGGACGCGATTCAATGTCACGTACCTTTCCTTCCAGATACTCCCGTAAACCGGCGGTTGAATTGCCTTGACTTCGGAGGAGGTTATCGACATATCCTACCTCAGTTGGGGTGGTGGTTGGTGCGGATAGGCCGGTCGAAGCATGGCCCGAGTCATCCAAAATGTCTCCTAATGTACTTGCTACTCTGCGGCCGGTGTTAACAAGCCACTGACTCCAAACATTTGGAGGTGCTGCATCTGAGTTACCAGAAGACATGTGTTGTGGGTAATATTGGAGAATATGTCTAGTGGACCAGTAAACTGGCTACTGGCTATATAAACAAATCATCCTCCGCTTTTCCCACGGATTACCTAACAAGTTATGTTAGCGATGACGTCGACATCTCGAACCGTCTTCCATAGAAAAAAGGATTCTATATCAAGGCAGTGTAACCTTACACTTTCTCACCCTTCAAAATTTTCCCACGAGTCCTCCGACGTCATCATCGTGTCATTACATTCGACGGGTAGGTAGGGGTCGAGGGGGAAGCCAGGAAGGTATGGAAGTGGATGTCGAGGATGAGAAGATCTTGCATCGCTTTTTGGCATCGCTCGAAGGGCGTGGGAAATTTCCTTCTCATCAGCAATCCGTGAGAACACTACCATGGAAGTTCTAGCCCTTCTCATCGGCCGAATACGATGGAAGTCGATAGTGAAGGTGTTACGAAGACTGAAATCGAACTCATTGAGATGGAAAGTCACGAATGATTCGATCTCTGGGGTCCATGATTATATACGTCGCCTTTCCCCTCCTCTTTTCCTGACCAATCGACTGGTCGTGTAGATTTCGAAAAGTGATCAGGGGAGGTAGTGATCACATTTGACAAGTCAAATCCTCTTCGATATTCTCTCGATTGTCAACCCTAAGATGTTCTGATCGAAAGGGTAGACCGAGTATGATGGTCCATTAATCCTTCGATCAATTATCTAAATCTCTAGTACATCTGAAACGTGAGAACCTACGAGAGCCTTCGCAACATCGTCAATGAGAACGTCCCCAGGAGACATTCAGTATAAATGTCTTGTTTTTATCATGTGTCAAATAGTGCATCAACAAGGGCTTCAGTTGTCAAACATCAGTACAAGACTTTCCCAATGTCAACATATTTCGGTCGCCAATGAACTCCCTAATTATTTTGGCTCGTCCATTCCGTCAGATTATCTAGCCCACCTAGATAACTCTCCATCATCCTCATGCTTTCTAGCGTAGGGTTCCCCTTACTCAAATCATTCCGTAGGTTTTCAAAAGTGGATCTGATCAATGTCGATTGTTCATGAACTCTTCTTCGATATTCTTGGGGACTGATGTAAGTGCCTTCTATCCCCGGTCTCATATCTTCTCCTTCTGGCGACACCTGTGAAGAGTCATACGCACCAGTTGTAGATTGATACGATATCGGTTCGACTGCCCTTCCAAGACTGGTGGGCGGGACGAAAGCTGGATAAGAAGACATCATGGCCCCGTTTTGCGTACCGTCGACGTAGACACTTGCTTGGGAATTGGCTTCAGGTTCATAATATACAATCTCGGTCACAGGAGCGATCGGAGCTTGCATCGACACTTTGCGTGATGGAAGACAAAGCTTATGGGGGAAAGCCTCACCAGTCAACTCTCCTGGATCGAAATGACTTCCGGTACCCATAGGATTCACAGTCAAGTTTTGAATGTGTTCTAGGAAGACCTGGGGTATGACATTTGAAGCGTTTCCGTGAGTTTCGCCAGTTGTCAAAGGCGATTGGTCGGGAAAATGGGTCGATCCGACAGTAAGAGTACGAGCATCGTCCTGTTGAGTAGGTTCGGTGTCTTCTAAGTCGGCGTCGAGATCGATTGCCCAGGAGATATCGCCCACATCCTGGTCGGAAAGCCTCTCCGCCGTCACCTCACACGTGTTATAGACAGGGTACGTAGACTTGTCTTGGGTGAGTAAGTTAGGATCGACACCGTCGTAGATACATGGGCTAAGTGTCTGGTTCATTTCAGGTGCTGTTTTCGGATATATTTTTGTTGGTCAAATTCGCTCAGTTGGTGAGATGCATCACGATGGGAAAATCGTGTGTTCTTCTATATGCGAATTCGTCCATGTCGCCATTTCATGAATGCGTAAATGTGTATTCAAAGCGACAAAAGAGAAAGAACTCCGACATGTTTTGAAGCGATGAGACATGTGGATACTCCTTTCTAGGGAGGCCAATATGGGCAAGGGGGGTCGGAGTGAGTTGTTGTACGCTTGTACTGCTCATTATGACGTGATAGCGGTAACGACTGAAGGGCAGTGTTTAGTGAAATGTACTCGGATGTCATGGAGAGCCTGAAAAGTGGGAAAGGAAGGGGAATACGAGCGAAATTAGGACAGCCATCGTACTTGATGTCGGTATAAGGAGGATGAAGGAGGAAATGATACAACATGAACAAGAGATGTTCCATATTCCACATCATGACATGCTTTCTCCACTTGACTTGCCTTTGTATTATTATCACTTTCTTAATTCACACAAGGTATACTCCTGATCCCTGAGTAGCACAGGGATACAGTACTCATACTGTACAGTGGAGAAGCTACAAGTTCTCTCGGCCCCAACGGCACTTCCTTCACATGTCTTTGAATCGAAGGATCCGTGAACCACATCCTTTCTTCTGAGCTCAGAGTACCAGAGTGCCCTTGTGCTCAAGACATTCATTCAGTGGCCTGTCGCTTCTTGATCTTTTACTACCAGTATGTCTGACAATCAAGCTATCCCTCTTATCAAGAATAAGAAGAAAAGTAGTGTTGGTAAAACAAGGTTGAAGACGACAACTCCTTCTCTCGAAGCTGGCGGATCTCCACGCTCCACTCCCAGTCCTCTGACTTCTCCTCCATCTCCCACGGCGGTAGCACTTGAAGAGGATGATGACTTTACGTTCCCTGATGATGAAGGGCAAAGGTTGTTGGATGAGAGCAGAGTTGCCGGTAAGCTGAAAGACTCCTCTGATAGAATACGAGTTCTAGGTGTACCCGTGAGTGCATGCCCACCTTATATCTATCCGTGTAGGAGAGAGTAAAGACTTACTCAATATCAGTTACCAAAACCTCTTCTCTATCTCCTCTCAGCTCCAGCTATCCTCTTTGTGTTGATCCTGATCCGACCACATTCGTTCTTTCCTTCTTCCACCCGAATCACATTCAGCAACGGTACCGATTTATTCCACCCTACGACAATCCTCATCTCTCTCGATGGCTTCCGTCCTTCTTACCTCACCTCTCACTCATCCCTCTTGCCCAATCTCCTGTACCTTGCAGAATCACCAATAGGACTCCGAGCGGAATATATGCTCCCAATCTTTCCCACCATCACATTTCCAAATCATTGGGCTATGATGACGGGACTTTATCCCGCTTGGTCTGGGATCGTAGCGAATGATTTCTTTGCTCCTGACATGTCAAACGAGGAATTTTCCCGACCGGCTCCTGTGGACGATGGACGAGGTGGAGAGCAAAGTGGAAGAGAATTCATGTATACCGATCCGGATAAGAGTTGGGATTCAGGTTGGTGGTGGGGAGAACCTATGTGGGGTGTGGTAGAGAAGGCTGGGTGTAAGGCCGCCAATTTGATGTGGTAGGTTTTTTTTATTTTGCTCAACTTCTTCTTCAATCTCTCATGATTGACTTATCCATTTTTTGTCGGAGCTCACTCATTACGGAATGGCAAAAGTTGAAAGCAATAATCAAGCTAACCATTAAGGCCAGGTCCTCCAGTCACATCGACAGGAATTACCCCGACCTACTTTGTCCCTTTTCGCGATATGTCCCCTTCTGACAAAGTCGAACAAATATTTCATTGGCTAGATCATCCTCTGTCCCAAAGACCAGTATTCATCACCGCGTATTTCCCCGAGGTGGACGCTGCGGGACATACTGCTGGTCCTGAATCGGAAGAGGTGGAAGGTGCTTTGAGAAGTATGGACAATATGGTCGGTGGATTGATGGAAGGATTAGAGAAGAGAAATTTGACGGGTATTGTGAATGTTATAATCGTTTCTGATCATGGCGAGTTCTTTCATCTCCTCTCTCCCATGTCCTTCGTTCCTTCATACGATCCAAACAATCCTTTGACCATATTTCGAATCAAATATGAACCTCTACTACTCTATCACACTATGGATCAATTATCAATCATATCTTATATCTCTTGAAGGTTTTGATATCTCATCACCACTATAAAAGGGGATGCGGGAATGACTTATACATCTAAGAGAGCAAATGAGCTAATAAGAAGGTATGGCAAGTACATCCAACGATCGATTAATCTTCCTCGACGATATCCTCGGTCCTGAAGGTTTAAAAGACATATCACATAGAGACGGTTGGCCAAATGTAGGCTTACGTTTTAATCAAAGCAGTAATACAACCAGTCATCTTCAAACACTTTCAAATGCTGCGGAAGAATCTAATGGATCTTTCGCCGTTTATACAAAAGAAACAATGCCATCACGTTGGAATTTCAAAGGAACAGATAGGATAGCTCCTATTTATCTCATACCGGCTTTAGGATGGGCAGTGACGGATCATCATGAGTTTGAAGTTGTTTATAAAGGAGATTATCGACCAAAGGGAAATCATGGGTATGGTGAGTTCTCGGATCATTTCCTTGTACAATGAATCGAGGTGAGAGCTTGGGATCTTCCTCGATATCTGACTTTGTTTTTAATCTACCATAGTTTTGGAGTTGAATTGATGTTCTCGCTTTTGGTCTTTAAATAGATGAATATGCTGTATGCTGTTTCCTCCCTTGAGTCAAACCACGAAGCAGGTCGTCTAAAGGATCGATAAGTCCGAATTTTAGAGAGTGGCAGTATTGAAGGATTGTATGGCTTGTAGGGTTGAAGGGCTAATGGGTGCATTGACTAATGCTCAGATAATACGTATGAAGAAATGAGAGCTATTTTCGTGGCTCAAGGTCCTTTTGTGACTTCGGCGAAAGATCGAAATCTCAATAAGACATTCATATCGACTTCACCACTTGTGATTGATCGTAAGTTGCGTTGTCTCACTTTCACGACCTTTCTCATTTCTCCACCTCTTTCCCTCTCACCTCTCTCCCTCTCCCTCCTCACTTTGTCACCAGAAGAAACTCATTTCTTTATATCGACTCGAATCGAGATAATTCCCTCAGTCGAAGATCAGAAGAATTCCTCAATGCTAATCTCAGCCTTCTCGAACCTCGAATTATATTCTTTGGTCTTGCGTCTTCTCGATCTGCAAAATAAGATTCCACCTCATAACGGGACATTACATTATTGGGATCATTTTCTCTCTTGAATCATCTACTTGAGTAAGAATACGAATGGATCCGCAAACCTACATCCTCTCATCTCTCCGCCCAAAAGTTTTCAGTAGAAAATTCACCAGCATAATTAACCCTCACACCGATTGTATTTGTATTTTATCAACAAACCCTGGCATTCGGTCACATCAATTAGAATAGAAATATCATTTCTCTTTCTCAAAACATTACATGCATACATTCATACTCAGAAATCTCGTACGTACCTTCCATCACCGGATTGTATGTTGTATCATGTCGAAAGAACCACCTGGAAACATTTAACAAACACTAACCACAACATTTTGTAATCTACTACCCCTTCTTCCTACAGAAGGAACACTCAAAAACCTCTTTCTTTCCCATACCCCACACACATGTCTTTTCCCATCACCAGCTTTATCGATATCTACCCTACATGCTCTAGAACAAAATACCAATCCACATTTCCGACATTCTGGTAAATTCACACCTCTCGATCCGCAGACAGAACATAAAACATGTTTGGTAAGTGCTGAACGTAGTTCGACTGCCGCTAACACTGGATCTGTACCTTGTATCTGATGTTCGCTTTGATTTTGAGAGATCTCCGTTCGGTCTTGGACTGGAGTTTTCACTATCCGCTTGCTCTCGTACGAGATAGGTTGAGGATGATAGGATGATTGTGATGGTAAAGGTAGAGCAAGAGTTTGTTGTGAATGTGATGGTTTGAGAAAAGAGTCGTTTTTGGGTGTAGGAGGAGAGAATGGGGCAAGTTGATCTTGTTGATTTTGTTGGATTTTCCTGAGACTATCGGCACTGGTTATAACACCACGTGAAGGTGTCCAATCGACATCCACTGTAGATAAAGAAACCAAAGAAGCAGATGATTTAACAGGTGTGAGATAATTACTACTCAAAGATAACATACTAGTCGTACTTGGTATCCTATGTCTCAAGTCGAATTTATTCTTCTTGCCTTTGCTCATCATACTGATATTGCTCAATGTACTGGTGGTCTTTTTGTGTGTCCGTGTAGGGATAGATTGTAGAGGAGGGAATGGATAACCATCAGAGGTGTTCCTGAGTAATGACATGGAAGGGGATGGTAGAGGAGAACGAAGGATTATATCTAATCGTTTGGCGGCTTGATGAACTAGTTGATCAGGTAAAGTTAGACCGCAAGTTCCGAAGGAAACAACAGATCGGAAGAGTGGTTCAGCCAAAGATGGAGGAGAGGTCATTGCTTGCTAAATTATCAGCTTCCTTTCACTTTTTCAAACGAGACGATGAAACAAAGGAGACAGATGGAGAAAGAAAGAGACGGTGGGGAAGATGGGAAAATGAGATAGGGGTCACTCACGAGGTAGGTAGCCATAATGGTCACTCCGTTACGTCGCTGTTCTATCCTATCCTTGACGATACTGCTTCGAGGGGTCATGATGCGTAGCTGCATGAGTCGGGTGGCCACGACATTCCCTAAATGCCAAACGTTTCGACCTTTTTCCAGATCACCTTGAGGTTGAAGGACCAGAGGAAGTTGAGATGGGGAGATAGGAGGTAGAGCAACGGGATCATGTGCTTGGATATGACCATTACGATACAAATGAAGAAGAGGTACGAGGAGATCGTACTGAACATCAGCATCCACAAATTCGTTGTTTCTGATAAAGTTGTGAAACTCACGAGAAGGTTTAGACGTTCAAATTCAGAACCGAGTGTACTTCGTCTACGAGGGTCAAGATCATCTGCTACTCGTGTAGAATCTTCAGTCTTGCTCGTCTCCGTTTCCGTCATACTGGTATTTGAAGATCCTAGGGTATTGGCAGATTCAGAAGATCGTATAGTTCGTTTTGTGTCGCCAGAATGTTGGATCCTGGAAACAAACTCCGTACCTCCTCGCGCTCTTCCCTTGGACTTGACGTCGAAAACCATCACTCCGTCTTCATCCTCTGATGTTCCACTGATGATATCGATTCGAGTCAAAGAAGCATTGACGACTGCTTCTTTGTCTAACTCACCATCAACCACCCACCCAATGCCGAGAACCAACCACCCGCCTGCTATGCCCATACCCTTGGCATCACGGACTGCTCGTTTGCCTTCCTTAGGTATGGTCCAACCATTGGTGGCAAGATCAAATCTCCTCTCTGGGGGTGGAGACAGAGGAGGAGTGACAAGTGTCGGAGATGGTAAGGGGGGATAAAAGAAGCTAATCATTCTTCTCAATCCTGTAGGCTTGTGAGTAAGATTTTGTTGTGGTGGTGGTTCTCCGGATATTCTATCCGAGACGACGACGTTGCTGAAACGATTATCGTTCGTATCGGCTTTTCTCTTGCTTTTGATGTCCTCAAGAGGATTCAAAGTCGATCGAGGTTCTGCAAAAGCCGTCCCTCTAGTTAAAAGGTTTCCCAATGCCAAACATGCTGAAGGTGATCGATGAGGTGGAAGAGCGGCCGTTGTATATGCTTGTATGGCAATTTGAGGATGATGTGAGACTAACGCCGTCTAATCAATCAGTATCTCATTCTGAGACTATTCTGACGTGATGTGTCAAAACTCACCTGAGCTTGCCACATGAGACTCTCTTCATCTGTCTCATCTTCCTCAACCTCTGGATCAGTTGTTTCAGTGGGTACGTCATCTGTCGGGAATGAAGTTGTCGAACCAATACCGAAGAAACGAGCGAGATTGGCAAAAGACCGATTTTGTATCGTACTTGGCGGCGTGGGTAAAGACGTTGGTTGAGGAGGGGTGGAAAGTGGTGAGAGTGATAGATGGAATGGACGAGATGAAGAGCTGGAGGAGGAAGAAGTGAGGGAAATAGAAGGTGGCATGGTGATGGTTTGTCGTGTGGTCGGGCCAGGGTTGGGTATGTAGATGAGAGGTGAAAGTTAAGGAGTTGAGAGTTTGTTGATTTTTACGCGGAATTGAAATGTGATCGTGCCAAGATTACATGTGACAGCACGACAATAAAAGATGTTTCTTTTCCGCCCTAACACGTCACAGATTCACTCATCCGTACGTAATGATTCCACGACCAAATTCTACTCCTAGTTTATCTTTGATAATGCTGTGGTTTGATGTTGGGTTCTAGCTGCTGACAGCTGACTACTGTCGAGGGTGAGTGTCAATTCCGAAGAAGAATGTTGCACCAGGAAAACTCTAAAATGTTGTCCTGTTCAGGCACGTGCGTGGTCACACGACCATGACGACGAGTCAGATTTGCAACATGTTCTCTTAACTTACTTGTCGCATCATCGCTTTCAATCTTGACAACTGTGTGAGATGACCTGGAATCATGGTCAAGCACCTCACAATATGCGAGCCGTCTCATCGAGTATCAAACAGCGTGCGTCCGTGTGACAATCACCCTCGCGCCCTCGTTGCTCGTTATCGTTGGATCATCCCGACAATCTTCATAGACGCCCATTGATCTGCACTCGTCGCCCTACACATCTACTCTACATACACAACTGTATTTACAGGCAGTAGAAGACTTCTCATGGAGCGCCCGGCACAAAGAGAAGACGTCTTCCACCGTCGCTCTCATCCAATGCAATGGATGACGAGTAAGCTCGAGTGTATCAAGTACTTAGGGGACGTACGCAAGCCATCCATGACGTACCAAAAGCGACGAGTATCAACCTTATTCGCCTTCTCGATCGTCAACACCTCTCTCCAGCCTCCAACGATCGGTTCTTGTCCAAAAGACAAGTCTTCGAGTATCCTGTCAACACTCCACCATCTCCCATCTCTATAAATCGGGCAACACACCACATTACATTATATCTCTCAGCAAGATGGTATCCTCCAAAGGCAAGCCCACGGACCCCAAACTCCGAGAACAGCTCAAGAACAGTGAGTCGTAGTCTTCCTCTTGCTTTCTGAAAACATGAGCTGATTCGGAAAGAGATCAAGAACGAGGGCAACAAAGACGGCTCAGGAAAAGGACAGTGGGCAGCTTGGAAGGTATGTCATGATCTTCTCGAGAGGTATCTTTGATTGAGACTCGTATAGGCTACCAAACTTTCGCAAGCCTACGAAGCGGAAGGGGGAGATTATGAAAATCAGCCTGGATCAAAGAACGAACCTAAGAGTGGTGCACCTCAGCCTAAATCTGAGAATAAGAAAACCGCCGAGACCAAGTCCAAGTCGAAATCTACCACCGAAAACAAGTCTGAGAAAGAAACTTCGACCAAAAAGAAGACACCCACCAAGTCGAAGACTTCCGGGAAAGCCGATCCGAAGAAGAAGGCTGGGGAGAAAAAGAAGACTACCGCAAAGGGCGGAGATACCAAAGCTAAAGCGGGGGTGAAAGGCACTTCCAAGGTTGGGGCAAAGAAATCCCCTGCTAAGAAGACGAAGGCAGAGTGATAGTTTGATCTTGTTGATCTTGTGTGAGCTTACCCACCTTTTTCCTCTCTTTCCATTTTTCATACATCTACTCTATTCATATAGAGGTATATAAGTAGAACTGAGGATCGTCCAAAGCTGTGGTTGACCCCTTACAGAATCTCTTGTTTCATCCAGACAGATCGAGTAGATCGTTGGACCTATGAACCGATGAGTGTCTCCGCAGAGTTCATTCAATCGTCCCGTCTACTAAGAAAACGAGTTTTAGCACAGCTTCTTCCTTGGTGTTGACTTTGCTTTGAAGGGCCGGCGGTCCAAACCTCTCCCATTTCTTTCATCTCACATCAACTCAACTCACTCTCCGCCACGATACCTCCATTCATGACCCCACAACCCCCTTTGACTCTCCCCGTCCCAGCGCGATGTGACGCCTACGTCTCAAAATGCCTACTTTCGTTCAGTATTTCATCCTCTTCCCCCTTCCCCATCGACATTATTTGCCACTTGTCAGACCGTCACACCACTTATTGGCGCTGACTCGTTAGGTATACACACTGACAACCCTTGACTACAAGGATAGATCGAATTATGCTTAGTTACTGATCTCTCTCGAAGTGTATACGCTTTCTAGCGCCTTCCATATTTTCCCACCTCACTCCCAGCTTTTGTCACTTCTTCTGGTTTCAGTATCGCCCATTGGCCGAGGGAGGAGACCTTCGCTGTAGCGGCATCACCAGCGACGAAACTTATCCACCCTTGGAAGACAGGAGACTTTCGACGGGTTCAGGGGAAATTCACACCTAATCGCACTCATCATGGGTCGGCACACGACTCCACCAGACATTGCAGCATTATCAGCTAAACTCTTCAACCCTTCATTGTCTCTTCGACCGAAAATATTCACACAACCTTCACCGCCAAGTTTGGCAGGTAGCAAATTAGCACCACCCTGGGCAGAAGTGGATGAGAGACCTAGGTGGCGAGTGCGGCGATTCAGATTATGGGATGTTCACGTTCCAAGGTTGTATCTTTGTGTGGTGGATCCTCGTAAACGAGGTGAGTGGGTATATTGATTTTGTTCTCACATACCGACCCCGTTTCTGCTTGTATTCTTCTACTTGTGCCCTCCCTCTCCTCCTTCCATAAGATGAATATGATCATGTACGACGTCGGATTGTAACTGCGTAAAAACTGATATCAGGCCATCTACGTCGCTATGCACCTTTCGCCACACCATCAACCCCTACATATCGATACGGTGTCATTTCCACCCATCCCGTCTTCTCTTTTCCTCGTTCTGTACGCTTCCCTTATCAAAACTCGCCGAATCATTCACCCTCCCCCGAGCACATACAAAATCCTAAGTCCCTTTCTCATCTGGCATCTGTCACACCTATCGAACCTATCAATCCTGCCAACCCATCCACCGACCTCCCGGCAGAAGATCTAGCGAACAGATTGGAAAATCTCGCCTTCGTCCCTTCCATCGCTAAGAAAGACCCTCAAGGAATTCACTTTGGACCAATTGACGAGTCTAAGGTAGAATCCACATTACCTGGTCAATGGCCAGTGGAAGAGTTGACCCAACAAAACAACAATCTGATAATATCTGATGAATCAGATGATGAAGATATGGACGGTCAATGGTCTGACTACATCACAGAAACATCAATGAACCAAAATATCCCTCAAAGTGAACCTGATCCCCCACTGACCAGAGAACAGAAGAAAGTTATCAAAGCTACGAGACACGCGGAATATATGAGGTTATGTAATCATAAATTTCTTTTGGATGCGGAACATGAGAGAAGGTTTAGATTAGGGATGAGTGCTTTGGCGGAGGATGTGAGAAAGTGGCAGGAAGATAATTTGATCATGTGAGTGTGATCTTGTCACAAACCCCCGAAACCAGAATTCAGGGTGTAATTTCATCTGGTGGAAACCCTTGGTAGAAGAGATACATGTGCTCTGGAGGTTTGCGAGACATTTGACCAATAATATCCGTGGGATGTGAAGTGGTAGGGGGAAAGCTGATACATTTAGGGTAGCTAAGGAAGGTCACAAAGATCGTGTTCGCCCAGAATGGAAAGGACAGCCAGATTTACAAACCTTAAAGTTATAGTAAGTGTTCTTTTCTTCCAAAAAATGTGTTACCTTGCGATTACCATTTCATTCCAATTTTCAGGATTTGTGATCCTAGCTTCTGCTTATAATCCTTCTCTCCAAATTCCCGCATCTTACCTCTTGAATCTCTCGAATCTCTTTTGTCTCGGTTCACAGCATGCTATTCGCTAAATTACTCCTTCATGTCCAGTACAGGATCATGTCTCTCATCTCCCCCTTACACTCCACAGACTTCGTTCATTCAGTCCCTCTCCACAAACGTAGTTCAATTCAGGCTGTTGTTAATCCGTCGTGTGAGAAACGGAAATGCGTAGAGGTCAACGTGGGAAAAAAAACTAACAATCAGTGGTCAAATGTTCAAAGATATACGTAAAAAATCCGAAAGCATTTTTCATCATTGTGCCATACATCATCCTGAACTTGATCTTCATCCTGTACCAGGTCGAGATAAGGCTCATAGGGATATGCAAGAAGCTGAAAGAGCTAAAGCTATACGTAAAGCTGAGAGAGATGAAAAGAGGATGAAAAGGAAAGAAGATAGGAAAGCTAATAATACTATTGAGACTTCTTCTACATCAACTTTCACTCCTTCTCTTCCTTCTTCCACAACAACAACAACAACTTCCGAGGTTCCTTCTCAGAATATCAAAACAAATCCTGTTACTACGAACAAATCATTAGCTGTTCCGGATGTTCCTAAAGTCACACATTTCACTAGACCTCAAAAACCCGTTTCTTCTCCCAAATCTACTTCGACATCTGCTACCGAATCCCCAGCTGGATCATCGGAGAAACCATCATCAAAACCCGCGGATAAATCCCCAGCTAAACCATCGAAAAAATCACAACCTAAGTCATATGATAAATCTCCAACTCGACCATCTGACAAAACACAAGTTCGGAAATCCGACGAAATCAAATCGATTGCAGGATCAAAACAAACCAAAGAAAAACAAATTTCTCCTGCATCACAAGCTATCCAATGGGCGGAGAAAGATGACAAGCAGATCCGACCCGATAGAACGGTCGAAGAATTGAAAGAAGATTTACAAAAGTTGAGAGAAACGATAAGATTATTACAATTACAATATGATCAGGACATAGCTATGAAAGGTGGAAATAAGATTGATCATGAGATAGGAATGGAGGTTGAGGTAGAGGTAGAGGTGGAAGAAGTGATGAGAAAGAGAGAAAAGGAGATTAGTGTTAGTCCCAGTGCGAATAAATGGCCAACAGGGGAATTAAATATGGATGTTGATACTGCTTTAGGACCTACTGGTGAGTCTTTTTTTAAACAACACGACCTCTTTTCGGCTCATTTCCCTTCTTCTATCTCTGTCTTTTTTCCCTTCTCATCTTGAAGTGTCTGATAGTCTTGTGTGTGGATTTCGCACGTGAATCTAAGTTGTGATTGGGTGGACGGGGATTACCAAAGTATGAGACGACGAAAGTCCTCAAAGAGAGATGTGCCCCTAGGGATACTGGAAGGCCGGATCAGTTGGGTCAAAGTGAGATTGGGTTGATATCAAGAAGACAAATGACGAGTTGGAGAAACGAAATACTGACAATTAGTCGACCTTACAAACCTAGAAGATTCCCGTTTGAGCACAATGACGAATTATTCGGACGATTCTACCCCTGCCAGTGACCCAGAATCGGGTTCGTTCCCCATCATGAACGCGGGTGAAGGGGGTATTGCGGTTCCTACTAAAAGAAGACACATGGTATCGCGAGTCAGTACCAGGTGATCAATAACGACATGTCAAATCAAGTATGCACAAAGAACATGAATCTTGTCCAAAAACACAAGAGAAGTTGGATTTGAACATTGGACATTGGACAAAGTATGCATCATACGATCTTGTTGGGATATCCCTATTTGGTCAGAAACAATTCAACATGGCATTGAATGACATCCGGGTGAAGACAACATGATCAAGTTAGATCACTTCAGTCGAGAACATCATCATAGTCAAACGATGGACAAGATGGAAATTGTCGGGAATGTCAGATTCACGATAAGTGGTTGTGAATTCAGAGGTAGTGGAGTTGGGTAATGATGACGAGGTGTGATATCATTGTAACGAGGGATGATTGTTGGGATGATATGATATGTACATCAAGAGGAGATGTAGAGAGATGCACAATGTTCAGTGTGTGGGAAACATGATGGCAATTATATGCAATAATAAAACCCACCCCTCACTCATTCTCCAGCAAACAATCTCACGATGAGATAAGAAGTAGACCCTACGAATCTGAAGACTTGTTTCATCAGCTAAACGCTCGAACCGACAGACAGACGTGATTACTCACACGCAAGACCCGCGACGGTAAATAACAAAATACCCATGTAAGTCGTAGCCAGAGAGCTGGACCCTCCGGACGGTTGCAGGATAGCAGCTACCAAGGCTCCATTTGACATTGTCCACGCGAGTAAGACGTTTGTTCGGAAGTTCTATGTATTAGTTGAGCTCGCTATGCGTCTTTCTTCATAATGGAGACGAGGTATGGTGTATCTGTTTCATGATGTAGATGGGGTATGGGGTATGTTATGTCCTCTTTCACGTGGAAGCTGGTGAATGGCCAAAAAAGTGTGAAGGAAAAGGACGGAACTGAGAAAACATATTGAAGGAACAAAAGCCAATCAATGAAAACTCACTTTGTAATAATCTTCTTGCTTTTGATCCGCAGAAATGTTATGTTCTTCTTTAGGAGCCTTACTTGCCAAAACCTTTAATTCCGCAGCGTACACTTCGTTGATATCTTGCTGTTCGACAGGTACGTCGACCGTTACTTCGTTCTTATTATCCGAATGGGATTTGACAACTCCAAGATCTTCAGAGACTTTGTCGGAGCCTTTTGTACCCCAGGACTATATGTGAGCTCATGCTGAATGTCCATTCGGATTATCCATGAGTAGAGAAGAAAGGAAAGTAGCATTCTTGAAGGAACCGTGGATGGGGAGGAACGTTAGTAGCATTCTCCAGATAAACCATGGGTGGAGAGGAAAGAATGTTAACATTCTCCAAGTAACGTGTGAGTGGAAAAGAAAGGATTGTAACATCCTCCAGATAAGTCATGAGTGGAAAGAAAGCGGAGAGAGAGAGAAAGGATCTCGGGGATAGAAATATGGAGGAGAAAAGAACCTGCAAACGTACCACATCATGAACATTACAAAACGCATAAACGTTCATCACGTTTATATACGATGGCGCCAATAAGAGATACTGTATGAAAGAAGTGACTTTAATCTCCATCAGCTTCTCAACTCAACAAACAATATGATATACTTACTCATATGCCAAGGTTCAAGCGCGAGGAGGGAAGCGAGAATGTATAGACCATATGTAGCAGCGAGTGATAAAATGATGTTACGGAAAATCTTATTCCCAAATACTGTATCGGCTGTGATTGGACCGGAATGTTCGACATTTTCTATCCCCGCTACGGCGAGGTAGACTGTTGTCAGTGGACGTCCACTTGACTCTATGTTTCCGACAAGTGACTCGAAAACAATCATCAATAAACCCTCTTTGTTTCTGAATGTGTTTGCTCCTCGCTGAATACACGAGCCACTACTGACAGTTTCCCATTTACATGAGACGAGGTTTGAATCCAAGGAGGATGAAGGAGAGAGTAAACAGACGTACCTGCGGCGAACAACATATAAATGGTCAGAAGGGCGAAACCGATCATACTGATTGTATACCCTATTTTGGATCTATACAATCAGTGAAACCTTATGATAGATAAGAGGACATACCCTGCAGGTCGATTACCCAATGAGAGGAGGAAGCATAGGAGAAGAAGAGCAACATAGAGGTACTGTAAGGGCAGATTTGCGTATCTCCAATTCTTTGACAATGTTTCCAGAGAGTTCTGATAGTCAGCAAGACAGTACAATCGTCAACCGGCGGCCTCCTGAAGGGGAAAATGAGTAAGTCGTGACGAGGTCGGTTGTAAAGCAAGACCTGATCCCAGGCAAGTGAGGAATTGAGCTGAGGAAACAGGAAATTTCTCAAACTCACAGTAAGCACAACAAAGGCGATGTAAAAGTTCCCCAGAGCGAACCAAGAGAATATCAAATTGATCGTTTCTCTTCTTCAGTTCTTACTCCTTTCAGATCTTCGCAACTCACGATATATCAATTCAATATGCAAGAAGAATTTCCTCAACACAGAATGTCTAATGTCAGTCCCATTCACTTTGTTGGAGGACTCACGATGATCGGTAAAGGTAACCAAAATGGACGATGGAATGTATAGCTGCAAAGAAAGATCCGTTAAGCCATCTATTCGTGTTCAGTACTTTCGAGTTTTGACAACGACGGACTGACCTTCGACGCTGAGAGACCAGTTCGGGTACTGCATCGGGAACATCTGTGATGGCGTATGCTGACTTGACATAATGTAGCTTCCATTTACAACCCCTTTTGCTAACTAATTCCCAGCACAAGATACGGTCTCTATGTCAGCTTGAAACGTCGCTATACGGAAAGAGATGGCTGACCTTCTGCCAAATACATATTTGCAGCGCTAAACGTCAGCCACGCTCTGATGTACAAGACCAGTCAGTAGCATTGACTCCAACGAAGGCTTGCTGACAATGAGGCATAGAGCGGAATCGGAAGATGGAGTGACAAGGAGAAACTCACAAAATACCCGCTCCCGACCCGTGCATGGTTTCCCCAATGAAATATTGCTTCAAAGGTCCATTACCCTTCTCATCATTCTGCAAAGCGATATACTGGGACGTCAGCTTGTACGTCAACGACTCGAGCTCGGGGCTAACTCTATAGGCTGAAAAGGCTCCGGGTCTGATATATCAGCAAAATAGTGAAAAAGAAGGATAACCTACAAGACGGTGATATACCCAAATACTGATTCCAGAGGTTTATCTAGAATGTTACTCATTTTGTATTCAAAATTTTGACCCGCGACGAGAGGGTTGATGAGATTACGCCAGAAGAGACCTTTGAGAGCTACGATCTCTCCACATGCTCCACCCACAGAGGAGTTGATGTCGAAGGATTTCCAGAGATGATAGACTGAATCTGGACCTGGTTGCGTGCCGACGTCAAGTAAGACGCAAACGCTAGGTGATCAGTATGTCTAAAGATTCAAATACGCCAAGGTCTGACTGACTTTGGTCGAAGGCAAGCACCGAATGCGCTGACGGTCAGTTCTATGACTTGACGGCACGAATAACTGACTTGAAGAACCATCGATGACTATTGATCTGAGGGATTAGCTGGAGCCGCTTGCTGACCGAATGACTGACTGACCTTTTTCTGATTCTTCTCTTTGAGACAAAAGATGATTTGTACAGGAACATGCTTGCTCTTGTCTCCAGGCTCGATTCTCCCTCCAGAATCGATCCACACTGGATGTCATCATCTGGATTTCCTGATTTGCAAATGACTCACATTGTGTAGTATACTCGTACAAGTGTGCAGTCTGCCCTCAGCTTCACGTTTCGCACCGTCGACATAAACCTTCCCCGTCTCGCCTTACATCGCACAACCTCATGATATGACCAACGGGGGACAGATACATTGAGACGGAGGGAGGGGCTCAGATGCAAACTGGTACTTACGACAGGTTTTCCATTGACGACATTTTTCCCTACACCCTCCTGATACACCCCGAGCGCGGCCAGCACGCTTCTCGTTCTTGGATTGATCTTCAATCTTCCATCCGCCACGACACAAACGACCACCTTCTTCCAACCGTCTTTTCCCCATGTTTTGGACTTTGACCTCGTACATAGGTGCGCAATGTTCTGCATGATACCTCTCATAGTACGGCAGAATAGAACGTCGTCTTCCTGGAACCGTCAGTTGAACAAAGATGAAGGACAGATCGGACGCACATTATACATCGTGATGACCTATGTGTCAGTGGATAATGCGATACGATTTTGAAGACTTACAATGAATAATTCTGTCTGTCTGGGAGGATCATAAAGCTTCTGCCGAAGTGTATATCTGTCTTCCTGAATAACGTCAGTCCCGACACGAGGGGTGGGCGTGAAGAAAGTCAGACATACGACAAAATCATTAGGGTCACAAGTGACAGCGGTATATCTCATTTTGGTGAATTCGTTACCATCTCTGAGACTGCATTTGTCCAACAAGAGAGAGGGGACGTCAATGTCAAGAACGAGATGACCTTGAAAGAGTCTTGCAAGTTAGCCGGGCTATTCTCCCCCCGCTTCAACCACCTGTTCGACCCGGCAACGCCTAAAAAGCATGGTATACAAATTGGGCCCGTGGAGCAAGCAGACACTGTGGTAATGTGTTCAGATTGAGAGGAGATCAGTGATAGCAATGAAGAAGGGAATATACCAGATGTGGAGAAAGTAGAGGATAACTCACTGTACCCTCTTCTGAGTCCTATTCCTCCTCAAAATTCTGGTAGGTATCGGACCATAATGAACGTTCGAAGGTTCATCACCTTCATATCCATTCTCATTCCCGTAACCTTGTACACCCACATCACTCTCTCCCATTCCACCCATTCCATTTAATGGTATTTGACTACCGGCATCACTTAATTGATATCTGACCCTTGATAAATCCGGTCTCATAGACATTGCCGAATGAGAAGTAGGAATCGCGCCCATTCCTCCTACTAAAGAAGAATCAGGGTGAGCATGAGAAAGGAGTGGTGCAGAATCATTTGCGTCATCATCCAAATGACCCACATAAGATTGTGATCCTCCTATACTCATCCTTGGTGGATAAGGATATTCCGAACTTTGATGAGGTAAGAGAGGTGGAGGTGAAGTCATACCATGATCAGGTAAGAAAGGATTTTCTACTATTGATGTTCTTGGAGGAGGAGAGGTTTGATATTGTGGTTGTGGTCCGGAATGAGGTCTATTACGTGGGGATAGAGGACCTCCAATTTGTTGCATTGCGATTGGGGACGTGGGGGGTAATGAAGGATAATGATGAGAACCTTCTGGACTATGCCAAAGAGGAGCTTCGGGTGGGTTTCGAAATGGATCACCAGGATGGTTTATGGGTTGAGAACCAAAGGAGGGTCTGGAGGGGAAGGGTTGAGTTTGAGAAACGGGGAATGGTTGAGGTTGATGTTGGATAGGAGGTGGATCTTCGTATGGATTTGAGAATTGTTGAGCTTGAGGATAGGTGTTGGATGTGGGTAATGGTCGAGGACCAGTGGGAGAGTAAGGACCAGAAGTGGGTGGACGATAAATGTCACCTGGGTTCATGATGGAAAGAAGCAAGGGGGATCAGGTCGTGGTAGAGTAGTTCGTTAAGCAGGTAAGAGGCAACGTGGCCAGTTACTCGTGGATCGTCGCAGGGTATAAAGTGAGCTGAAAGTAGTGATGATCAGAGTGAACACAGTAGGATCGTCTATGGTCGTTTAGTGTCGTTGAAAGTGAGAGGGTGGTCGACAAGACCCTATGACGAGTAAGAGGTCAAGGATGCGATCTGTGCGGTGCCCCAGTCCCCGTGTCTCAGAGGCGGTGTCCACCGAAGCACCCGACACAGCTTCTCCCTTGAGCCGGAGGTCTGGTGGCCTGGCGGATCCGCTTGAGATCTGGCCCCTGGAACATGGAACACTGACCAAGTGGACCGCCATTCATCATGGCGTCAGATGCATCGTGAACATGGTATTCTATGCGACAGATATCATCAGGGCCTTGGGCCCCACTCTCGTTCATCCGAACAGCATTGATGCTGCCACATCCACATCTCCCCCGGCGGCTTCAAGCAGCTGCACCGCCTGCTCTCTCGGTGCACCAAGCCCAACAAGCTGGAAGATCAGCGTCGCCAAAAGGTACTCTTCAGTTGCGTACTCACCGTTTCGATATCCCGCGCCCTCGCCCCTCCCCCAGGGGCGGACCCGGACGCACCAGGAGCAGACGGCCGAGAGGTCCCAGATGATGACCCCAGCGCAGCCCCTGCACCAGGAAATTGACGTGTCTCCTGCGCGGGACTGGCCAGACCAGGGTTCAGACCTCGTGTAGCCGCATCCCCGACCTCACTAGCTACTTCCGCTTCTCTTTGACGACGGGCCTTATCAGGCAGTTCATGTTCCGGCAAGAAGGGAATATCCGTTCCTCGTATACGGAGTGAGTTGGTTGAAAGATCGATGCAGCATTGATGGCGTTTCTGGTAGATCAGCATCATGCTCGGATATACAATGATTAGAACGGAAGGGCTCGGAATCAGGGTACAACTCACAAGCATGTCCAGACCAAAGAGCAAATCGACGGCCTTTCCGTCCAGGACCGAGAAAGAACAAGGAAGGAACATATCGCCAAGTTTGATCTGAGCAGAGTGTATTCTGCCCAAAATCTGTGCAGTGCCGACTCCTTGAGCCACTCCGCTGAATCGGCGGTCAAGCAGACGCATAATCCTAGTCTTTTAGCAAATCTGCTTATAGGTTTAGCTAGGAAAGACCGACCCGCAAGCTTCTGCACATTCCGCCGATACTGGGCATTAGCGACAGTCACCTGAGCAATGAATACGACTTACTGATCGTGCTTTGTGCTCCAGAGTCGACGAACGCCTTGATGGGATGACCGTTGACTTCCAGATTGATGTAAAGCATGGTGACATTACCGAATGCTTCGGGCTGATGCTGTCAGCAGCTTCCCCGAGTGTGTCTAGTCTTTAGGACTGACCGAGTACTCCATAGCATGCTCCATATTGGCCATGACTTGATCCATCCGAATGGCTTCCTCGATCTTCTTCTGAGCCTGGTCGTCAGCTCAGCGCAGAAGAAGGAGAGAAGGGAGAAGCTAACTTCTATGTCATATGGATCGGCGTTAAGTAGCTGGCCATCAGCAAAGTGATTTATACGTAGCTGAGTCAGCAGACTTACCTCTACTTGTCGTTCCTTTTCCCTCTGAGCTTCGGTATTCCGACGTTGTTGTCTGGAGAAAGCTTCGATAAAATCTGGAAGACCCGCTTCTATAGCTCTAGCTAATTCTGGGTCTTGCTGCGGGACATCAGCGTGTTCGAGCGATGTGAAGGTGAGAAACTCACACTCCTCAATTGAGCCATCATCTGAGGGTTGCCCAGTGCCTGTAGACGCATCCTTTCGAGGTCAGAAGCAGAGTCTGATAATCTAGAGCTTGGCCCAGAGCTACTTTCCGCTGGGTCCCTAAACTTCAGCAGGAGATATGTGACAAAAGGAAAATGACTTACAAGGGGGTGAGAAAGATGGTGGCGAGTGAACCTGTCAGACCATAGCTCTCTATCGAACGTGCTGGGATAGTCAAAGGAATGCCAGTGTCAGTGATGAGAGTGAAAGATGACGATGGGAGACCAGACTAAAGATGAGCCATGTTTCTCTGAGAGAGCGTTACATGTGAGGCGAGATGCAACAGTTTGGAAGACAAGACTTACCTCTGCTTCGGCCAGCCCGTGAAGGTCTTGAACTTGGATCGATGGGTCCACTTCTAGCTCATATACGGTCTCTGGACCTATGATTGAGAGTCTCATATTGATTTCAAGTGAATGGATGGAATGTATTGGGTGCAGCAAGGTCAAGGTGAGGTGGAGAAGTAGAATGGTTGGGGGGTTCGTTCTGCACGAGGACACCCTCCACCCCATGGGGGGGAAACGTGTAAGCGCCACATGATCGTTTGATATGTTTTCCCCGAAACGCCGTCGCTTCAGAATGTAAACCCGAAGAAACCAACCACTCGTCTCTCTTTGCACATTGCACGACGACGCTTGAGCTATACCCTCAACAGTACTCGCAGTCTCGCACCGTATCCATCGGATAAGGGGGTCATGATGTGTATAGGAATCTTTGGAAAGTCTTGAGTACGCCTCTCCCAAGGTGGGTGCAATGGCGTAATTAGATCTCGCCACATTTTCTCTTTTTTCGATTCGGAACCCTACTGCTCATAACCAAAGATGCAACCATGCAATATTGCGAACTTGTTGGATCGATTCATTGGTTCAACTCTACAACCCTCTGCATGCTCATTTGGTGAATTGTTAATGGTGGTACAACAACCTTTCCTGACTTTGATCTCTTCCACTAAGCCCTCCCCCTCTCCTTTTCCACAAGTCACGTAGGTCGATCGAACGTGTTCGTGTCATTTCATCGGATCATCGGAAACAATGTCGGAAACATGGCGCTGTACTCATCTGACAGATGGGTAGGTTACCTGATCCTATCAGCTCTTCATTCGTTGATTAGTCTCGCGGAACAAGACGGAATCATCTACTCAGGGTACTTTCCAACAGATCAAGGGGGTTCATCCCGTCATGGGCCCATGATCTAGGGGGGCCAAGGATGGAGAAGCGGGGGCACCGAATGGGGGATCGGCAAGGCACTCGAAGAATAATTGACTGATGGATCATTGTCACTCACCGTAGATGCCCATACAAGTGACAAACGCCGTTTGACAAGCTCTACAATGGACCGTAGCTTCGCCGCTGCTGGCCAGGAGGAAGAAGAGGAGGGCGAGTAAAAGAGGGTTATAGGCGAATGTTGTGGAGCGCATAATGTGGAGTAAATTGAAAATAAAATGGGTATGTCCGATTCAAAGCTTCTGGCTCGGAGGGGATAGAGTGGAGTTCAAAGGGGTATAATAAATATTGGTAAGTGGCAAATCTTGTTTGGTATTGTTGAATGGATATGTTTTATTCTCTGGGGGTTGAGGGGAAGACGAGTCATGGAAAAAAACACTCGCTCTTATCTGATCTCAGATTCCAGCTTTACCGGTTTAATAACCGTCCCTTCTACCGGTCGGCAAATTTGAAGCACGTCAAACAACATGCCGATGCACACGCCTCTCTTTTAGAAGGGTGAGGGAGCCAACACTCCGTAGTCCCTTCTCCTTCTCATCAACATTCTTGCGCGGGGGGGAAGGGGGAGAGGGGAGCAGGCGGTGGAGGAGTGCGGAGTACGTAGAGGACGTCACTCATCCCTTTGTCCATGCTTCATCCGTTCTTCGATAGGGGTCGAGCGTCATGGTTGACCTGCTTTGACGTGCGAGACTTTCCTTTCGGGCCGATTGCCGATCGTTTTTGCCCCACAAGAAGAACCAGAGTTGAGTTAGGTGTGAGAGGAAAGAGAGAGAGAGGGAGAGAGAAAAGTGCAACAACACGCGTTTGTTTAGCATCAAACAAATCAAGCCATCAGACGAAACTGGTGGGGTTTGGAAGGAAGGATGCGCGGGGTAAAAGTTGGATGAGATGTCAACGATCCGTGCATCGTGTCTTGATCAAAACTTGGGGTGATGATTGATTGTCCTTCTTTTTTTTTCGTCTCTCTCACACGTTATGATACATGTGAGTTTTGATCCCATGGGAGTGGTCAGTCATTTGAGAGGAAGCTATTTAAACGATAGAATCAAGTACGTGGAATGAGTTGACGACTCGTTGAAGAGACTTACGAAAAATATGAACCCAATGACTATTTTGTGTCATATTCCCCGAAGGAGATCTTCCGGACCGAAAAGAGGTACCTCGTTGGACCGAATATTCCGGATACCTTCAAAGGTATAAGTTCCGATCTACGCAAAGGATAACTAACAATCACACCATCAAGAAATCGCGTCTTCTCTTTCACACATCACTAACCAGTTATGGGGTAAAACACGAGAAGCTTAAACCAACCATGTCACCAACTTTTTTGACCTTCCGACTTCCGACTTCCGATCCTTCCGTCAAACCGAAGATATCCGACGATTACGCCGCACTGTCACATTTTTTCTTCCTTTGTGACTTTGTAAGGTTGTTTCAACAATCCGAGGGTAGTTCATTAGATCATATCGCAAGGCTGTGTTTTGGTTCAAGGTGTTATCATAAACGCCGGGAGTCGGACTTTCCAAAGGAAATCATCAACTTACGACTTGACCTACGATAAGTTTTGCATTCACGCTGGAATCTTGAAAGACCTTGGTATTGGTCCCGATTTCTTCTCACTGCAAAGCTTCCTCTTCTTCTCGCTAGAATTTTGAAGAATGGATTGATGTGACGTACTTGGATCGCCGTTACATGATTCATCCGATTTTGAAGCGAATACTGTAAACTTGGCAATGAAAGGTCCGATGAACCGGTCGGGATTGGACCGAGAGACGTGAGAGTTTCAAGTAACAACATCAGATGAGATTGCTTCAATTGGCGAAAAAAGCGATCAAACATCAATCTTTTTCTCTCCCATACTTTCATTTCCCGGCGATCCGGGTGCAATTATAGTTACAATCACACTTAAAATCGTTTAACAACTCGTGTGCACTGGTGAAGCGTCAAGACCGACAACTCTAATTGACCGTAACGATGGGAAATATTAGTAGTGAGTGGTCTCTTATACCCTCATTTCGCAATCTTACTAAATTCAGCCTGACTCAATTTGGTGAAATCCTTCAACTCTCACTCATCACTCATCTGACAATTACGATCCGGTCAATCTTCGACGCGTTAGAGTATTGACATCAAGAAGTTGGAAACCGTAATAGCTGACATATCAAGGATAAATACAACCCACCCGAAATGTTCATTACTTCATCCTTCTGATCATCGGATTATAACTCAATTCCATATATTCTAAGTCGTGAACACATATCTATCGTTTCTCTTGAAGTCTAATCGTCCAACAGTCTTCGATATCGTACGAACCTCTCCGCGGCCGAAAAGGAAATGAAGAGTGATGAGTAAGAAAGCGGAAATCTGAGCGGAAGGGGTGACAAATGTAAAGGGAAAGGGGTGATGGCGTAATGACCGAGATGAGAGAAAACGGATCATCGAATGTGAATTTATCCGCAGAACATGAGACAAGTTTGGTGAGGGGCGACGCAGTTGACGTAGACTAGAGGAGAGTTGGGTCCTGTGAGTCAGTCGAGTGTAATTGAGTATAGCTTGAAGACTAGGAATCCAGGACACACGGATGGTGTGGTGATTGAGGATTGATGTGATGAGTGGGGAATTAAGGTGAGTTGTCAAACGGGTGGCAAGAATGATGACGGTGTGTTTGGAACAAACCTCGATGGCGGCATCGCTGAAAGGAGTATTGAGTATGCGAGGTCAGGTGGACAACAGATTGGAATGTGAGAAGAGAAAGTCTTAGATATTGTCGGATTGTGAGATGTCAGAATGGACGGAGGGAGAATATGAGAAGAGGGGTAAGGAATGACTTACCGAATCTCAAAACACACGCTTCGAAAACCGCATTACAAACATTCCTACATCCTGCCAGGGCAAGGAACCTAGCTTGGTTACTCGCTCCTACAGGACAGGAGAGAAGAGTCAGGGCGAGGCACAGGACCAGAATGAATATCAAGGGTTTAGGTGACATAGTGAGTCAATGACGTTGACGAGTACCAGGTCGAGATGGACAAAATCGATATATGTTGTTGACTTGTGCAAGAGGGAAAGAGATATCGATGGAAGGTATTCAAGGCTTAAAAGTTCAAGAAGTGAAGATGAATTTGGAAGAGCTTGGAATATAGGAATCTCAATCGATAAAAACCACTCTTTATACCTCTTCAAATGAATGATGACCTATTCCAATTCGTCGTACTCTACTCTAACGAGTATGTCTTAAAAAGTTTATTTCGGTTGACGCCAGTGATCCCTCGTCCCTCTAATTTTTCTACTCGACTACCTTCAAAGGTATCTATCCATCCGTCTTTCCCAACGTCGTCAATGCCCATCTAGACCGGAAACCCCAGAAAACCCAAGAAACCGAGAAATTGAGAAAGCCAAGAAACCCAAAGTAGGGGTTTTACACCTGCTCCGACAACAAACTTCATTTCGAGGTGTATCGTTGTAAGTAGAGGGAAACAACCTCATGATTCAAATGTTCTTTAAATCTTCTAGTGCAGTGGGTATCGTGTGTTCTTCTTCGGATAGGGGTAAAAACTTCCACATGGTGATCTGGAACGAAAGTCGTGGGTCCTTTATGGAAGACTTGACCCGCGTGTCTGGCCAGATCAGAGGCGTTGTTATGACCATGTGTTTTAAAAATACTTATAGATCGCTTGGATGGTAGTAATCTCGCTTGATTTGATCATACATAACTAGCTCAAGACAGGTCAAGGATGAGAGCGGAAAGTTTGAGCAAGGAGAGGAAAATAAGCGAGAAATGGTTAGAGTGAAAAAGAAAATGGTGATGATTGTTTTTGATGGATCGTTTTGGGTATTGTAAGCGGCCGTATGACTTCATCGTTTGATCGTTCATCATGAAGGTTTTTTTTGGTATCGGGGACCCACGGAGATAAGTTCATAAACGATAGAATACCGCTAATCTATCTATAAGATTTGAGAGGTACACTTCATTCGTCCGATTTGAACGGGAGTGAGGTCGGTTCGGAATTCAACACCTAACTTACTATCATCTCGTTTAGTTTCCCATACACATCTAATCCTAGTGGTCTAGTGTCGTATTTGACCCATGCCAAGCTCCTCTAGTGTCTAAAATCCAACAGAGACGGCCGAGTCGGTAAGAGGTGGGGCTGATGAATGTTACGCGTGCGGAAGTTTTGGGGTGGTTGTAGGGATATTTACGTGCGGATGGAGGTTCTTGGCGGTAGGACTATGCGGTAAGTCTAATTTGTGAACCCCAGAGATGTGGGAATGGTGAGAATGTTTAAATCATGGGATATGGAGTCGTATGTTTTGGTTTGGATGGGTTGAGGAAGATATGGCGTCACGGGTTGTTTTTTTACCAACGTTCGACATCTCGACGACGATTGACGAAGGAATTATAGATAACGACTTAGGGCACCACCCTAAGTGACCCCGGGCACCACCTTCGGTCAGGAACCTAATGAATCGAACTAATGAGTTAGAAACACAATGCTATTGTGGGTGGTTCCTCTACTAATCAATCGAAAAATTACTAATGATATCCTCCCAACCTCCCTAACCCCCTAACCTCCCTGAACCCCTAACCTCCTAACCCCCTAACCCCCTAAAGGTCAACCATTAGTATTCCGCCTCCACCTGCGGCAGAGGCAATGACTTACAGAGAGTAGGCACGCCCCACCTTGAATTAGGCACGCCAAAGGTGGTGCCCGGGGTCACTTCGGGTGGTGCCCTAAGTCGTTATCGAATTATAGGAATTTTCCTCTTTGAGTAGTCGTGAAAGTTTTGATGAGGAACCATCAAATTCTTTCTTTCTTTTCAACTATCTTTTCATTTCTCCTCGTTTAGCTTGTAGGATGCTTAAGTCTCACTGGTGAAGGGAACGCGAACGCGTACACGCACACACGCTCTCAAGTCGCCAAGAATCAGTGATCAATGACCAGTGACTCAAGTGAAACAGAACTGAAAGTGCCACGTTGAGAGTAGTGCCACATTCCTTCCCTTCCCTTCCCTCTCTCTCCACTTCATGTCTTATCCCCAATTCTCTAACAAAATCAACATACAATGTTCCCCTCCCGACAGCATCTAATCTTACTATGGACATTCCTGGTTCTCCCTTCCTTCGTTTTGGCCTCTTCAGGGGATAGAAACCCAACTTTTCAACATTGTTTAAAAGGATGTAAAGTCACTTATTGTGATCCTTCTCAACCTCCTGTCCCGATCTGGCTACGGGGTCTGGGATGGACTTGTGAGGATGATTGCAAATATAGTTGTTCACATAGTTTTACGGATAATATAAGACCTGGATCGAGATATCATCAATGTGAGTTGTTTTCTATCTCGTCGTTCTCTCCTACACCATCAATGAACCAGTCGAAGTTGATGAATGTGAGACATGACACGATGAGGAGTTGAGACGCGACTTCAATCTATGAGTAGATTGAAGAAGAGGATAAGTCATGATGATGTGGGTTATGGAGATATATGACAGGTTGTGGTGTAGATCGAAAAGTGTCAAGGGCCAAGAGCGACAACATATCATCTCGTTCAGTGAGTTTGGAGGAGAGTGCGAGGTGGAGTGAAAAGCAGACTGTCCTGATCATACTTTATGGGAGAGAGAGAGACGAGCAAGAGGATTGGAAAGGTTTGACTGATCTTCAGTTTACGGGAAATGGGTATTTTATCGTTTAGGTCCAATCCAAGAACCTTTCTCCGTCATCATGTCCTTAGGAAACCTCTGGGTCAATTTACGAGGATTACAAGAAATTAAACGAAGAGTAAGGAAGGAAAATAAATTAAGACGATGGTTAGAAGGTATGGCTTGGGTACAAATCAATACTTGGTTTTGGAGTTCTGTCTTTCATTGTAGAGGTGAGTACATTCTCTTCGTATTCTTCATTTTCGTGAATTCTTCATCTTCGTGTTCCTCATCGTTAGTCCCCTCTGTTTCACTTTGATTCATATACACACGTCCTCTTATCACCTCAACCTCCGCCGTTGTAAATTCTCAGAGACCCGAGATTGGGCTTTATTATTCCACTATGGAAATGATACATCCCACCTTCACAGAGAAATCATTCGCCCGTCCTTGATCATGATATCTCTCCGTTTGATCGTCATCCAACGCTACTGAAACAGTGAAGGAAAGATATGGTTTCTCACCGTATTTCGAAGATGATTTTTATGATGATATTCCCGAGCAAATGTCTTCAGTCTTCATTCATACAAACCGAACTCTTTTCACTAACAATCAGATACCCCACTTACCGAACGTCTCGATTACTTTTCCGCCACTTTAACAATCGCATCATCCCTACTTTATACCATAATCCGTATATTTCATCTCCAAACTCCACTTCAAACATCTCGCACAATCCTACCACTCATCATCCTTTTCACATGTCTTATCTTAGGTCATTTCACTTACTTACTCTCTTTCCCCATCGGTTCTTTCCCATACGGTTATCACACTCATTTCGCACTTTCTTTAGGTCTTCTCCATCATCTTCTATGGTCATTATTCTCATTATCATTTTTCTTAAAATTCCCAAGTTTCACTCTACTTTCAAAGAAAATATCATGGCCACGTCCATATTTATCTAGAGATCCATTAGAAAGACCATTACCTCATGATGCTTTAACACCCGTTATATTAGTAGGATTAACATTATTATCTATGAGTTTGGAATTATTAGATTTCGCTCCTTTTTTCAGAATGGTCGATGCTCATTCTTTATGGCATGCAGCTACCATTCCTTTAATGATGGGTTGGTGGAGTTTTTTATGTGGAGATGCTATAGAATTGGAAGGTTCTCAAATGCAAGCTAGAGGGATTAATATTGGAAGTGAAAAAATGCCTTTGACAGGTAATTCAAATATAGGAAATGGAGGTATGAATGGAGGAGTAGGAGCAGGAGGGATGACGGAAACTCCTAGATTACAAAATTTCACTCAATTGGCAGCTCATACGGATTACACGAGAAGTAAAAGTATCAGTCCAGGGAGAAGTCCCCAGAGAGAAAAAGGACAACATCCAGAGTGAAGTTGATGAGCGTCAATTTGGGAAAAAAAGGGGTATGTACATATAAAAAAGGATAATATATTTGAACCATATTGATGCATTTTCTGAAAAATTCAGGTATAACCAATCACAAAAGGGTATATAAAAGGCGTTGTTTTGTATGTCGCCCAAATGCCATATCCGTTCAGTGTTTCATGAGATGCTCCCATATCCAAATGTTAATTATCATAGGATCCTACCGTCTCCCCCTCTTCCGACGTCCATTGTCCACCGTCTACTACTCCACGACTTTGATTCCCACCTACCATAGATCCGTCCCTTCAAAGCCATTGAAATCCCCTCATGTTAGTGCACCTCGGTGATGACCACAACTCCTCGGCTGTCTTCTTTGATGACCTACTGTCTCTGTCAGCTGACTCATGCTCATCGTCAGATAAACCCACCTTGCTCTTGGCCGAACCACGGACGTCACCGTTAGACGTTCCATTAGCAACCCGACTGGCGGCTTCTTTAGCCTTCTTGGCGCTACGATATCAATGTCGTACAAGTTTCTGATGATCAAAGAGCTTACCTTGCTTTCTTGTATGTGGTGCGGTAGAATCTGTCTGGTCAGCAAGTGTTGGCTCTACACAAAGAAGACTTACGCGATGAAGAGCAAGAGGTAGCTGGACAGCAAGCCACAGCCGAACAGTGCAGCACCTTCGCTTCCTGCACACTCGCCAATACATGGGACGTTGTATTTGTAGCTAAAGTGCTGGGAAGCTGAATATCAACAACGGTCCCTTGACAATCACGTATCACAATGGGAACCAGCCAAAATCGTTCGGAATATAAGATTGGAGAAAGAGACTTACTGGCGAAGAAGACAATGAATAGGTCGATAACAAACTGGACGATCTGCATCGTGGTGAGGTATCGTTTCCACTGAAGTGTCAGTGATCATCTCTAACGCTTATCATCACGTCACTCACCCAGATCTTCGCTCCGCCTGCAGTCGCAAAGTAGTAATAGTCTTCACGTCAGCTGGGCCAAGCATGATGCACCTCCGGCTACTCACACATGACGACGTGAACGGAAAGATTCAGAGAGATTACGACCCATTGCTATTGGTCAGTCTGGCATCCACAGCTCATGCTGGAGATAGGACGTACCACCGATGTTTCGCCTTCCAGCTGGGTGAAACAGAGGATTGCGGTAGCAGCATGGTGAAAGACGTGGAGGAAAGCTACTGTCAGCGCTGACCATCTTCAGTCTTGATAGAATTGTTGATAAGATCAAAAGGGATTGAACATACCCAGGGGTTTCTTCTTCAAAACGAGGAAAACCGTGTCGATGAGTTCTATGTATTTGATATAGTAGTTGACCATGTAGTACGAAACGAGGCGCTAGGGCGGTGAGCAAAATTCGGTGACTGAATGTTCCAACACTCACAGGTGTGTAAGCTTTACGGTTACATATAGCCCAAAAGAATCCATGTCGAAGCCACACAGGAATGCTGTCCATGAGCCAAACCTTCTCCAAGATGGCTGGAGAAAATCCGGAGGAAACTCACATTTCCTCCAGCATGAGAGAAAGCAGGATCAATGATCCAACGGTGAGAAAGAGATTATGTGCTTGGAATGGTAAAGTGAGCTTGAAAGGCGCTCTAGAGCTATCTAAATCAGCATACGTCTCGAAAACGGAGATATATGTTTGACCCACCGCATAAGCTCCCTTCCACCGAAAATGATCAACAGATATGATCCTATAGCAGCGACGACGGCCTTTTGAGTGCTTAGAGGACTGAGACCACTGAACCAGCTCGTCAACTCGGCTGGGGGATTGGGAAGACCGAGGAGAGACCATGTTCCGGTCAATGTCGTGTAAAGGGGACCTGGACCTGGGGTCCATGCCTTGAGCTGAGTTATTTCCGCAGCGGCGTTTTGGGCGTAAGACTGCATGATGAGGACGATGAAAAGAGTGTGAACCGTTGAGCCGGGTTATGAGTCCCTTCTACTGAGTAAGGGTGTGAAGGAAGGGGCTCTTTAACAAGTGTGAAGAATGACGAAAAGTGGGAAAAGGTGTAAGGTAGAGTAGGAATGAGGGGTGAAAGTGCAAAGTGGAAAGAGCGAAAAAAAACAGGTTGTGCTGTTTCCCGAACGTTTTGACAGGTCCGAGCGTCAAGTCGCGTTCTTTCCTTACTTTTACTTATCCCAATTTGAATTCCCCCTTGTGGCGGTTTGGAAGGGATTAGTAAATCTTTCCTAATGATTTGTTAGTGGCCGGCAAGCCGAGAAAGCCGGAAATGGGGAGACCGAAGACCGAGAAAAATGTTTGAACCTGACCGCTATCTTCCTCTCTCTCATAAACACTGTACTCTGGCCTCAGGAGCTCAGGAGTGAGTGGGACTACGGATGCCATGTGCTCGGTAGTAACTCGACAGGCATAGCCGATTAAGAAATTTTTGAATCTCATCCAATCTATGACTCACAACTCCATCGTATTGACCCCAGACGAGAGCGCCACATGAAAAGAGGTCTATTTTTTTCTTCAGGGTGAGAGAAGTCCAGAGGGTAGCCGAGCCGGTCAGTCACTAGGTAGGTCGGACTCATACCTGGCGGAACTCTGCTTAATGAGAGAGCATCACTGGGATTGGGCTGTCAATGGTGGTGACAGTCCGTCTATGACCCTTTGAAACACGGTCCAAGTCGGAGCATAGTGACATGGAGCAGGAATACACGATGTGGGTACTTATATCTGGAAAAGGCACATCATCTTGTGATTCAAGTGAGGGTGGGGACGTTCTTAGTGGTGTGTACGTCTGGTAATGAGGAGATCTACGATCTACGAAGCCGAGGGAGCTGTGTGTCGAGTTGATCCGACAACTCGCTTGTATGTTTTAACCACATGGTTCTTCTCATGGGAGCTGAACACTTCGAAGTCCCTCCTTCCGATATCATTTCACCCCGAGTATCTGGTCGTACTTGGGTCAACTGGCTCTTGCTCCACTGGGCACTACTGCATGCTGCATGGCACTACCCAGGCCACTGGCCACTGGCCAGTGTCCACAGTGTAGTAGTCCGCTACCGGCGGCAGTGGGGTGTTTACCGTTCGCCACGTGGCATTTCGTCACTTTGTCGGTGATAAACGGTCTTTCCCCCACATTCCACTTTCCCTTTCCATCGACTGGGCATTCCGCACTCCTATCTGCCTCTCTATCTCATCTTCCTTTCTCTGAATACAAAAAGTATCATCTTCAGCCATGTCGGTCGTTACCAAAGTGTTTGCTCGTCAGGTGAGTGAGATCTGTTGACGTTCCTACCCCTCATCTCTCACACAATGGTGAGCACATCGTGGCTCTTCCACTCGCAAATGTGTGTTGTCATATCGTGGGAACGTCGTCATGAAAGCTTTGCACTGGGCGTAGAGAAGATAGAGACTGACTTTGATAGATCTTTGACTCTAGAGATGAGTCTCAATTTCATAGATCTCATCTTCACTCATTCATACATAGGTCGGGCTGTTACGTCTCCAATACGCTGACGACTCCTTGAACAAAGGAATGAATGTTCAAGCTAACATTGAGCGTTCTTCTGCTGTTGCACTTGAACCTAATCCCTATTTCTCCACAATATGACTTATCCCTCCATCGACTTCCTCTTGATATGACGCTTGACGACATCACGCAACCCTACAGTAGAGGTTGACCTCTACACCGAAAAGGGTGAGTAAAGTGTTCCCCTCATTCCCTTTGTTATTCCCCCTTCCACAACCCCTCCGCCCCCAGGCTGAGACATTTTGTGGCATGATAAGATGTCATGTTGAAAAGATGATATCACTCACGCTCAGGCATGTTCCGTGCCCAAGTGCCCTCTGGTGCTTCCACAGGTGCTCACGAAGCCGTCGAACTTCGTGACAAAGGGAAGGACTACATGGGTAAAGGTGAGTTATTTCTCCTACATTACTGACTAGAACTTATGCAACAGGTGTCCTCAAAGCCGTCGAGAATGTCAACAAAATTCTCGGCCCCGCTTTGATCGAGTCCAAGCTCCCTGTTACGTCTCAGAAGGACATCGACGATCTTCTCATCAAGACCGATGGGACGGACAACAAGGGAAAATTGGGTGCTAATGCGCTCCTTGGTGTCTCCATGACTGTATCTCAAGCTGCCGCGGCCGAGAAAGTACGTCCTTTGCTTTCGAGAGCAGACTTTACCTAATGATGAGGGTCTTCCCCTCTACAAGTACCTTGCCTCCCTTGCTGGTGTGACCGATTTCGTCATGCCCTGCCCCTCGTTCAACGTCATTAACGGTGGATCCCACGCCGGTAATGCTCTTGCCTTCCAGGAGTTCATGATTCTCCCCACTGGCGCTTCATCCTTCACCGAGGCCATGAAAATGGGTACAGAGACATACCACACTCTTAAGAAAGTTATCATTGCCAAATTTGGCATTGATGGTGAGTTTGAAGCGTCAATCTCAGAACACCAGTTAAAATAACAGCCGCTAATGTCGGTGACGAGGGTGGTTTCGCCCCCAACGTTTCCGGTGCCGAGGAGTCTCTCGACCTTTTGACCGAGGCCATTGAGAAAGCTGGTTACACCGGAAAGGTCCAAATCGGTCTCGATGTCGCTTCTTCTGAGTTCTACAAGGACGGAAAATACGACCTTGATTTCAAGGTGAGCTTTGAGTTCCGCGACCAGAAACTGACGTGCAGAACCCCAACTCGGACTCTTCCAAATGGCTCACCGATGACCAGCTCGCTGAGCTCTACCAGAGCTACTTTGCCAAGTACGATATCTGCACCATTGAGGATCCCTTCCACGAGGATGACTGGCCCGCATGGTCCAAGTTCATCCCTGACCTCAAGATCCAATGTGTCGGTGACGACTTGCTGGTAACCAACCCTCTCCGCATCAAGACCGCCATCGAGAAGAAAGCGTGCAACGGTCTTTTACTCAAGATCAACCAGATCGGTACCATCACCGAGTCCATTCAAGCTGTACAGCTTGCTCAATCTAACGGCTGGGGTGTCATGACCTCTCACCGATCCGGAGAGACGGAATCGACTTACATCGCCGACTTGTCGGTGGCCCTCAAGACTGGACAGATCAAGACTGGTGCTCCATGCCGTTCCGAGCGTATGGCCAGTGAGTGACTCTGTAGTTACTGAGTGTACAAGGCTGACTTTATACCAGAGTACAACCAGCTTCTCCGTATCGAGTGAGTGATCTGAATTTGTGCTCATATTGGAGTATAGCTGACAAATGTGCAGGGAAGAGCTCGGTGAGGGTGTCGTGTATGCAGGCAGCAAGGGGTTGTCCGCTGGACCCACAGCCCCTGCTCTTCACTCGGAGTAAGCAATAAGTATCGTGAATGTTTATAGAGTGGTGAACGAGATCAAAAAAGGAAGAGGATGGCGCAGAGGAGCAATGCATCATGATGAACAAGTCATAGGTCATAAGAGAGCGCGCCTCCACCTGGGAGCACCCAACTCGCGTCGACTTCTGTCTCTCTGACTTTGCTGACTGTCACCATGCCCACATTCGCTATGCCTTCCCCCTCGACGGCAGCGGACCGCGTCAAGCTGGCAGGCAGAAGACTGACACACTGGATAGAGAACGAGCATAGACTGGTGAGGGTCGTCGAAATTAGATTGTTACAAGCTGATCTCTGAGGTAACCTTCCGAGAGGTCGCTCGGGAAGTGGGATGTCACAATAATGAAGCCAAGAAGTGAGTTGTCTCTGTGCTCTCCTCTCCTGGGGCCCTATCCCTTATCAACGCCTCTCAACCTCCAGCGCTATCTGTCTTTGATCTCTTTCTAAACCTTCAAACCTCGCTCCGAGTCCTCCGATTAGCCGAGAGTACTCAATTTGAGAAGTATGAGCACTAACACCCAGTCTACTTTTATCTCACTACACCTCCCATCCCTCCCTCTACCCAACTTACATCCTCACTGGAAACCTACTCCCTACCTCTTCCCTCACCCAGACTCAAATCCATCACGATGGTCCGTCTCTCCCAGCGGGCAGTCTGGCACATTTGGGTAACGTGAGGATCGTCGACATGGACCAAGTATCGGATGATGAGAGGAATTCTGAAGATGGCGAGATTGATTTGGCTGGTGAACTGAATGATGGGAAGTTGGGAGAGATGAGTATGGGCAGTGATGAAGCTTCTGAAGATGGGATCAAGGGGGGAATACGACATGACGCAGGGGGTGGGAATGAGGATGAAGAAATGAGAGTGCAAGAGGTTGAACGATGGGGTGTTGTTTTAGTTGGAAAAGAGAAGTTGGAAGGTATGTCATTCTCAACCTTTCTCCATATTATTAACCTCATATTCTCTTCTTTCCTCTTCTGTCGAATTGTTCTATTTGAGTGATGTAGACACAAGAGTTTCTGAAACGTGTAGAAATAAACTGACGTCTTAGAGAAAAAAACCTTGTTCAGACCTGAAGTCAATATACATATATATTCTTTATCCCCCGGACCGATCAATGTGAGGATATACCTTTTATCTCCCTTGTATCGAACGCCTTCATTCTCACTCTCTTCACATATCGTCGCACTATCTAACTCTAAAAGAAGTGTCTCTTCCCCTTCTCCCCACTTCCCTCCCTTGCGTTTATCTCAATCGCCTAAAAAGCTCTCCGCATCATGTTCCTCGCCAGGTGTGGTTCCCCTTTCTGACTGAGAATATACTCTTGAATCTCCAACTGAATGACAGGACCCAGCTCAATATCTCATCCCCTCTGTACAACTAAGATCTATGGAGACATATCATAATCCTCAATTATACGGAACCATCACAGGTGATGCTTTCGTTTCTGAAGCGAAGATGAAAGATGGAGGTATGTCATTTGATAAGAAATCCGGGAATTCGTCAAAGGACAAATCGAAGGAATCGTCTAAAACGGTTACATTGGAGAAAGAGAAAGTGGAAGCTGTAAAGACGTCTTCTACAAAAGGGTCAAAAGTGAAAGATAAAGGCAAGAATGAAAAAGAGAAGGAAGGAGAAGAGTTGAAAGTGAAGAAAGAACTTCACCAGAACCCAAAGTCAGTATATATATACTTTCTCCTTTCTCGTCTTATTCTTTCTTCTCAAACTTCCCCATTGCGAATAGATTCAACAATGACCTCTATCACTCTTTCCCCCTTTCCGTGCATTTGCGACAACTTGGTTTGCTGCCACTCATATACTCGTCTTCTCCAATACAAATGTAGATTCGATTATTATCGAATGAATGAAAGGCTTATATCTAGACTTCACAGAGTAAAGATAAATCAAAGAAGAAACCGTCCCTCACTCCCAACCAACCCAACAACCCCGTGTCCTCCCATGCCGAGCCTTCAACAACCACCAACCCCAGCTCATCTCAAAGACAAAGAGATGATACTGCAGCTATGGAAGCCATGATGAGTATGGACGTGGATATGAACTCTGATTCAGATCAAGAAGCCGAGTTCGATTCAGGTGAAAAAGCTATCAAAAACAAGTCTGAAAAACGAGATGGAGATACGATAGTGGAGGGAGGAAGAAAAAGACGGAAAGTCAAGAAGAGTAAATCGGAGATGAACGAAAAGGGATATATGGGTGAGTTTTCTCTCTTGTCTGTCAATACTTCTCCTTCCTCACTTCTCCGGTAGTCAGCTGTTTCTTTTTTCGCTTTGCTTGACGGACTCGTGCAACCTCCAGAATTCACTGAACCCTTATCGAGTATTTTGATTCTATAGGGTCTTAGGTGGACATGGCTTCATATGAGCCGAGGAGATCGCTGATTCATCAGTGACAAAAGATTATTGGTCGGAAGAATCTATTTCTGGCGATGATGACTCGTCTCCGACTTTGAAAGAAGTGAAAGAAGAAAATAAAACGCAAGCATCAAAGATGAAGATGAAACCACCTCCCGTCGTAGCACCCAAGAGAGGGGGATCGGGACAAAGTACATTACAAGGGTTTTTCAAGAAGAAATGATAATGCATGCAAGTGTAAAATCGACTTTATCATTCTTGTTCTTGTTGAAATGATCACGTCCCTCATGCGACTATCCTCCTATCATACTTACAACTCATTTCCGCCTTGATCAATCAGCCACGGATGAGTGAGACATTGCTCGCTCCAGAGTTTCCATTGGATCTCTTGTCTGGTCACATTCGGCTCGTGTGGACGATGAGCATAAGTGAGTTAGGTCAATCCAATGTCGGTATCGAAGAACACTTGGTGAAATCTTCGTTGATCAAATCGGTGAGAGAAGTGAAGCATAAGCATAATCGATGCATCTATCTAATAAAAAAGGAAAACCAGTAAAACAAATGTCCATAACAAATATCAATAAACCAAGATTTAAATTCCTTCTAATTTCTACTTTTGTTTCAGATCATCATCACTACCGCTACATACCTACATCAATAACAAAATCATCGATGTCGAATGCTCTTCAATACAACCTTGGATTCCCAGGTATACCATTTTCAGATCCTTGTGACCATCTAACTTGATCACTCTCCGAACGTTCAGCAGTGTATGTAGGAGGTTCTACCGATTGTCGTGATAAATGAGGTGGTGGTGGATATTGTAAATGAGGTTTAAACCTTTGCTCTTCTATTCTTCTATTTCCTTCCAATCCTTCTTGTCCTTGTTCATTCCATACTGTACGTTGTTGTGGCTGTGATTGTTGACTCCATCCTTGTCCATCCCCTTGACTTTGACCTGAAATGAGTCCTTGTCCCGTCGGTCTGGCATTAGGGAAAGTAGTTGCCGAAGCAGAAACGAAAGAATCTCTACCGTCAGGTGTTTGATTAGGTGTCATATATTGCGTATTACCAGTATTTGAACTTAATCCACTGTTATAACTATTCATACGTCCGTAATCTGATGGTGGGGATAAATGAGATTGATTATTCTGGTTTTGTGGTAAAGCAAATGGATGTGGAGAAGGCATTTGAACTGGATCTTGACCATTTTGATGACTTTCTGTTTGGGTCGAAATGGGAGGATAGGTAGTAGGTTGAGGTGGATATTTAGGAAATGGGTATTGTGTTGGGTTTTGAGATTGAGAAGTATCAAACTTTTGAGAAAAATCAGGTAATGGTCGAGAATTTTGATTAGGAGATACGTTGTTATCGGCTAAACGTTGATATGAATTGGGTGTCTTTCTAGTCAACACAACTCTTCATGTCGGACGAATGAAGCAGACGTACCAGAGCCGCACAACCTCCTGCTACTGCCCATCCTATCCTGTGTGTATCCCAATGTATTCCATCCTACAAATCAGCTGAGCCACACCCGCACGTTCACAACAGATGTGGGATGACTTACAGCACAGAAGAAACAGTCTTCACCCTATTTGTGGAACGGTCAGAAGTAAAGGAGATATGGTACATTTGGCAAGAGTCAAAAACACATGGGATATAGACAAACATGCGATTAGCGCACTTCGACATGTAGTTGCGGAAGACGACTCACCTCGCCTGGGGCATTGATGGGTGGACAAGTTGACATGCCCTATGAATTATGTCTCTTTCTATTTTCCTACCTCCCTTCAACCACTACAATTCGAAATAAAAGGGACGAGTACGTGTGAAGCGGTTCGATAGTCTAGAAGAGGGGTGTTTGCTGCGGGTCGAAGAATCGCAGTCGATGTTTGAGACAAGATCGTTACTTTTAACGCGTGGAAGAGTGTAAGTAGTCGATGCGATAGGTAGCATGCACCTTTGGTACTAGAGAGATTGAGATGATCCGTGTTCGTCGCTGTGATACTTTCTCTGGTCGGTTACGGGAATGAGAAGCAAGCAGAGTAAGGGAACAAAGGACCACAAGGGGGGGAAGATGCAAAAAGGATTAGAAAACTGACTTTGTCTTCGGGGGCCGAAGTGAGAACCGACCGAGGGTGAGGCGATGAGATTGTTACTTACCCTGTCCCGTGTACTGTATTGTACCCGTCGACAACAACTTGACAAGCTATAGCAACATGTAGCATACCACGATAGATAGTAGTGTACGAGTAAGTTAGTCTAAAGTCACTCATCAAGGCTACAGGGGGGGCATAGCGTAGCTGGGCAGCTGGTTTCCATCAAGTCCGGATTGTGCGGTCAAAGGATGACCTCAGACTCATTCTTAGCCCCACCATGCAAACCAAGTTCCACACCATTGACAGAGGTACTATACCAGCAGTTGTGAACGAAACATGTGCCCACTGTACACTGTACTTCTCCCGAGGTCTAGCTTTCTTCTAAACCCCCACTCGTCACCCTAGAAGGGACACTCCGATCAGAAGTTCCATGAGACAACAAGTACCCTCTATCTCATACCTTCCTCGCTCCCGACCAACTCCCTCACTGACCTCTCCGCCCGTCTTGCCACGTCCTCCCTACCTCCTTCGATATCTACCACTGCCACACCCTCTTCGCCGGAAGTAACAGGATCTTCCAATATTGTCAATTGCGAATCTAACATTTTCGGTCCGAAAAAATGTCCCTGTCGAGCTGATATCCGTTCTTCGAGCAGTATCCTCGAACCGCGACAGTAGAGGAAGAGGGTGAGGAGATTGTCAGTTGCTGGTTTATGTGCTTTCTTCTCTGATGTTGCGTGTGGGTGATCGATGGGCTAGGGATCAGATGAGAAGGTGTAAAATCAGAAGAAGTGGTATGAACTCACGAGATCATCTTTAGGAGGGGGAACAGCATCTCCTATTCCCCGCAATATATCTCTATACCACCTTTTCAAAGCCGAACACGCTATGATCACCCCTGCTCTCCCCACGCCCCCTTCTTCCCTCTTATACACCTCCTTCTTGTCCCATTGCTCCTTACACACCCTCTCCGCCGTACTCCGTATCAACGCCAACCATGGTAAACGGTCATCATCGTTCAATGGTGTGCCTGATGACATCTTGTCGATGTTCGACTGAGGATGCAAGGAGTCGCCATCTACGAATGGTAGATGAAGAGCCCGGGAAACTGACTCGCCTATGGTAGATTTACCACAAGACCCGGGTCCCATGACTATGATGAGTATTGGACGGGGTTCGGAAGAGGGAAGGGTGAGTTCGTGTGAGGCTGCTTCGTAGGCTTTGACACCGTTGGAGGTGATGGTGCTCATGTCTCGGGTCATGAGTGGTATCTACGGTGTATTCGATCCGAATGGGCTGCCAGGTGGATATATAGTACGGGGAAAGTGAACCAAGAGTATGATGGCAGTAACAAGATATGTGTAGGGAAAGAGAGTCGGACCGGGTGGTGCCGGGTGGAGACCATCACGACGTCATTCATCATGCATTCCATTCCATCAATCTTCTCCACTTCTCCTCATCATCCTCTTCACCCCCATAATTCTAGTATGGAAGGTCAAGCAGTAAACAGTACGACGAGTACGACTATTCAGTACGATAATGTCGAACCATTGGTCACTCGAACGGACCACCACCTATACTCGTTGGCGGGCCCACAGTCGAATGTATCCCCCTCCGCCCCAAACTTGAAACCAACCGCCACATCTTCACTCTGTCCGTCATACGTGACCTTCAAATGTAAATCAGCGTACGACTCATTTACGCTCAGCTGGGGGTCTTGAAGCGTTTTCATACCGAAACTGTGTGGCTCTAAACCTGGGAGCATGGCGAGCGGCGCCTCCAAAGGTGCCAATGCGACCACATCGTCATCGTAAGGCCAGTAGGTCGTCGGAGCGATAGTGAGAGTAATCCGTTGAGAGTAGTTCCGGACGTCGCTCATATCATCCATCGCGAAGCCCATTCTGAATCGTTGATACGCCGTTGAAGGACTATAAGCAAGCAATGTGCCCGTCACTTGTGGCTTGGTCGTCAAGTTGGTCCTTGAGATCTTGTATTTGACTTCGACAGCGAGCTCTCTACTTGGGCTGCTAGAGGTGGACGATGCTGTGGAACTGGTCGGGTTTGAAATCGCATCTTGTGAGGCCATCTTGTTATCTTACGGTTATATGATACGCCTTGGAGGGGTAGTGGGTGGTATGTTAAGTAGCGATGTCGTTCGTTCGAGAAGTGGATCCCGGAGCTGATAATACTCTAGCGAATAATTGTTATCCGCTGTCCGCTAAGCGATCTCATAATGATTAGACCAGTCAAGCAGCCTCGTAAAAGGAATATCATTGAACATCTCATTTCGAATCACATACATTGACATTGTCAAATCTGTCGACATTCCGACTAAACGAAGGACATCTCATGTGAACGGACGGCCAAAACAGATGCAATTGTGTCAAATATGCAGGTGAAGACAAGATAATTCATTTACGTTCATCAGTCAACCGCAATCGACACATGCTCATTCTGGCATCGAGTATGAAACATCTACGTTATAGTCGTAGCAGTCATCGAACTACCCCCTGGACCAAACGTTACCCTACTCCTCACGCCCTGACTCTTCCCATCGTACTTGACCGACAGCATAATATCAGCGCAAGAGTTCTTCGGATCCAACAGGGGATCTAGTAAACCACACACTTGGAGATTGTGGCGTTGTATTGGCGATCGAAAATCCCACCTCTTGTGTGACTCTTTCTGGCGTGATTTCGTCCCTGGTGCTTAGACGGATGCCAAAGCAGGACATGCCAAGAGGGGAAGCGGAAGCGGTCACGGAGACAGTGACCTCCGGTTTGACGGTGGAATCTACGCTCGCGACTGGAAAACTAAAGGCCACGATCAGCTCTTCTTTCGAGAGTGGGATGGTGGAGGTGCCTAGATTGGTATGCTTCATAGAGAGGACACGAGTCTCCATTATTGTCTTGTTGGACATGACAGCAGGATCGATTGTGTTGGTTGATACTGAAAAGGTCTGAAGAAGAAATCAGTACATATCACGAGATCAGGTGAATGGACGGCATAAGTGCCACGCGAAGACCAGACAAAAAGGAGCTGCACCTCATTGAGGAGATTGTCATCGCAGTATCTCGGCCACACGACCATCAAGAGATCTGCTTGAACAATACTCCGACAACAGCAGATAACGGACGGCTCCGATCGAAGCGGACCATGCATGTCAAGCGCAATAATGACAAAGACATGTGTGTTCGATATTGAATGCCATCCAGTCCTGAACGAGAACTCATTCCATGATCCAATCACCCCAACATTCACCCTCAGCATTGAGGTATGACAAAATGCACGTTACTATTCGCTTGATATCAACGACCGCATCGCCCTTGATTCCCAGACAACGACAGAGTGTCCTTCCAACCCAGATGTCAACCTCGCCACCGATTTTTTTCTCTTTCCTTCACACTCGATGGACAAGTAAACATCGGCGTACCATTGATCTCCCACCAGTCCCGGATCTTGCCAACTTTCAGCTCTGAATATATGAGGTGGTAAAAGTGGAATAGAGGGAGTAATGTTCGTCAACTCGCCCACCGTACTTGGGTTGATCGTGTGGGTCAAAGTAACCAAGACCTGTTGCGTGAATGTGACCGGGGATGTCTCCTCTGGTAAACAGATCTTCAAGTTGAATATGGGGCGTGACGATGGAGCAGTATAAGTCCGAAGCTTGACTGTGACTTGCGATGTGACAGTGGAGCGTTCGAATGTACATGGGATGGTCAGGGAGGTTCCAAGGAAGAATTCATCGAGTGAATCCGGAGGTGTGCTCGAAGTTATCTGTGTTTCCTGGTTTGGAGATAGACTCATGGAGGTCATCGCGGTTTGGTCTGGCATGATGATTTGGTTGATGTTCTTGTTGATTTACTAACTGATCAATTGTGAGTAAACGTATGAGTTGATTGTATCATAAGATCAGAATACGTGCTGGTTCAAGAATGGTATGATCATATTTTCCATCTCCCGCCAGCCTTCTCTCGGTAAACAAGCGACATGTGAAAGAGTGAGAAAGGCAGTCGCTGATGCTTAGAATATCTTCACTCCTTTCAGGCTGCTCCTGACGTGATAATGAAGGAGATGTATCATGTTCGAAACCGACCAACCACTCTTTCGCTATTACGGCACTTTTTGGCCATGACACATACAAGTACAAGATCGAGCTATAGCCCACATGGAGATAATTCATTCAAAAGAGACAAATACTTGAAGTACGAATCAACGTACAACATGCTAAGTCGCAGTCATGGTACTTTCCCTCGGACCGACTATGAACCTAGCCATGACCTTCCTACTTCCTCCACTATAGGTGACTGTCATGTGAAGTTCTACGGCGTAATCATCGTCATAACTCACGCAAGGATCTGTCAAACTGGTGATATGGTCAAGATAAGGTTTGAGATCCGACATCGTGGCTAAAGCGGATGGTAACGAATTGGTAATTTGGTCCACTCGGGAGAGATGTTTTGTGTAGATGAGTGCTTGACTGAGTTGTTGTTTGAATGTTTGATTGGTACTTGCGGTAGTGAGGGCGGTAGTGTTCTCCATGATTGTCAAGCTTGACTAGGGTAATTTAAGAATTCAAGGAAGTGGAGTTAGTGTGAAGTGACGATTGGCAGAGGACATTCGATGATCGAGTGCTTTATCGTCGTAGGTGAGTACGAAAACTTGGAAGGCCTCTCGACCATTTCCTCTCCTTCTCTCTTTTCTCGACTGACCTCCACTATCTGGCAGAGTGGTCCAAAGAATAAAGGATATCTCAACGCACTCAGGTAACGCGTCTTGTCAGGTGTGACGTTTCATCCCTGGCTACTATAGAAGACTGAAAGGATCATATCTGTCTGTAGTCGGGGCTTCAAGACGTCCAGTTGATACGGTCATGTGTGTATGGCCACCGATTACTGACTCTCAAGTGATCGTACGGAGATGCAATGACCAACTAGAATAATAATGAATCAACATGACCTGTTAAGTAAACCTCATCAAGTTATAAGTCCACTAAAGCAGTAAATTCATGATTGATGATACCAAGTCTACAATCATCTCCTGACATTCAATGACTATCAAAGAATGTAACAACTGATCAGTTCAACTTTCAGAAAGAGTCAAAGTAGTCGGAATTCGCTCCGTATAACCATCATGTACAACGTCCACATCAATATCTATAGGATACCATGCTACACTTCCGATATTCGATCGACTCACTCTTGCTTGACTTGAAAATGTTAATCTTGGTGTTACCAAAGTATGTCTACCGTCTTGTGAAGTTTCCCGTACGTAGTTGACACTTCCAACAACTCTTAATTTCACATCCACTTGTTTATAAGTTAGAGAAGTATGTATAATGGTAAGATCTAAAGAAGCGTTAAAAGTCATTTCTGTTGATGTTCTGTCATGTTGACTTCTCCAATCTAAAATAGCTTGAACAGTAGTTGAAGTTCTCCCCCGAACTTCGTAGTGATGTCCATATGATGGTGGATCATCAGTAATTGACAAGGTTAATGAGATTTGAAAACCTTCTGTAGCGTTATCAATTGTGTTGGGAAATTGAATTGTGGTAGGTGTGAAGGTACTGATTTCTCTTTCTGACATTATGACGAATTACGTTTATTCAATCGAGTTGTTCTAATTGTCAAATGACAGGATTTCGTTATATAAAAGATGAAGAGATGGAGGATGATATGATATTTGAAAGCAGTGAACAGTTGAGAAGAATGAGGATGACATGTTCTCGTTTTTTAAGACGGCGATTTTCAACTCCATTCATTCTTATTCGTATCTCTCATTCTTTCTCTGAAACGGAGAGGTGAAACAGAGATATGTCATGGTGATGTCAGATGATGTGATTATATTTGGATAACAAACATCATCTTCACTAATCCCCAGGTCAAATCAATGTCGTCAGAGTCTTCTCCTGAGATCAACGGTGAGTTTCCAACGTTGGTCATTTAAAGATCTGAGAGGTGTTAGAGGTGTTTGATATCAATGATTATGCTCATTGTGGAATTGATTATATCTGAGTGGAACCCTTGAAAGTATCATCATTCATTCCTTCCTTCCATGAATCTACGTTTCGCTCTTCGACCATCTGACAATCTTCCAAAATTTGTGACTTCCATATCTAGTATGAATGGTAGTTTCAAGGGAAACCTACTGAGTAAGGGTACTTAACAGCTTAGGACGGACATAATGATCCTCCACTCCGACGACGGTCTCATCTAGCATTGTTTTAAAACGCACAAGTATAGGATAACAATCTTCTTCAACATCAGATCGAAAAGTCGCTTGACTATCAAATCTCTTTGAGAAACCTATAGACGCATCTCTTTTCAGTTCCGAATCCTCTTCTAGTGTGTTCGTGATAGTGAGCGGATAAGTCAAATTGCCTGATATGTTCATGGTGAGAGTGACATGTCTAGATCTCGAATAGGGGTGATCGATATCCAGATGGAGTTGGTAGTTGAATTTCGTGCCAAAGGATAGTTGTCTTGGCTTTGAACTGTAAAAAAGAGCAGATTCGGTACGCTCTAAAGCGAGGTCGATGATATATTCTAGGGAACAGCTACAGGCATTGCTATTGACCTGCAGGATGAGATCGACTAGGACTTTCTCTTCTTCGATTTCGCGTGGGATCGTAGTGACCGTTGACCATGTTCCGCTCATTATGGGGGTTGTGATATCGTTCAGTTGGAGAAAATGAATTGGCAGAGTGAGCTTCAAGTGTAAGATGTGGAAAGAGGATGAGGATGATTATGAAATCAGATTTGTATGTTGTCGTCAATCGAAATCGCACACTCCTTCCTTTCTCGATGGGATGAAAGGTACGCTGAACAGATGTCGCCTTTAATCCAACGTGCTATGGTGTGATGGCATGGTGAAACTGCAATCAGATGTCATTTCAAGAGTATACCATGCACATATCAGTACTTACTACAACAATACAACGTCATTTCACCTGATCCCTAAGGTCCAACCAATCATTCGGACAACACGGCTTCCGCCCATTTCCTCCCTCGATACTTTTCAATATTAGGTAAAGCCATCCCACTCGTCTCCAACTTTTCCTCTCCCCAAGCCATGAGTCTTACCAGTCCGCTCAACTTGGTTTCCATACCTTGTCCATTACTCTCCAGTATGGCCGCGTTCAATTCTTTGGCAATTTTAACTCTCTGACTCCGTCGCATGAGTTGGATGATGGGTGTGAAAGCGGGATCCTGGAATAACGCCAAGGTTTCAGGGGGAGGAGGGGGCTGGGAAGATGATGTGGCGTCGTCGGCGTACTTGGCCAAATCGGGGAAAGCGAGGAGAGCCATGGTACGTTCTAGATCATCCAGAAATTCTGGATGTTGTGCGCCGCGAGGTGCGAGTTCTTGCGTGGCGAACTCGAGCGCTTTATCAATCTGTTCCTCTCGTATGTACTCGATGAGACGGAGTAGGTGAAGGTGGAAAAGAAGGGGAGGGTTGTTGTCCAATATCTCTCATGTCAGCATTGTCCGTGAGACAGAAGACAAGGAAAGGATAGATTGTAGATGACCCCTCATATCAGGTCTGTGTAACAGGTATTTCAGCATGGCCTTGCCGAAGCCGGCTAAGCGTGGTGCATGTTTGTTAAATCTTTGGGGAGGTGCGAAATATAAGTTGTGTTGTATCATGGATGGCGATCAACTTACCTCTGGATCCAACTCGTTCACCCTTTTGACGGCCTCTTCTACACGACCTTCCTCCACAGCCTCGCGTATTTCCATCCGCTCACGAATGCTCGCTTCGTCGACTTCAGAAGGAAGGCCGGTTTCCCGAGCGAATTCAACAGCAGCGTCGGAGAATCCTTCAATGACGAGGTAGTCATATATCAATGCGTTCAGATCACTTCTGGTCAGCCCCCCTGACTTTCTTCTCAAACCATATGAAAGACAGACGAAGAGGAGTAAACAGGGGATCAGAGGGGCAGAGTAAAGAGTGTCCTCAAAAATTTTAGGAGAGATTCCCACTTGCGTTACAATATCTCATCATACAAGTTGTGAACGATACACAATGGATGGATGAGTCCAAATCACTCACTTTTTCGAGATGTCAGTTCTGGCGAGTTCTGCATCCCATTTATCTTGTCCGATACTTGGGGGAGGTGTGCGACGGGCAGTGGGTCTACTGGCCTGATGAATCAGCGCTTTGTTTACTGACATATAAAGGTTTGAGCTGACCATTTCTTTAAAGTTTATAGATTTGAGGGCAGACCAAGTGACCCATCGGTCACATGAAAAGTCTGCACCGAAAGATGGATGGAAAAACAAAGTTGAACGACACGCATTCTTTCATCTACGCAGCATGGCATCGGCATTTGACGGCATTATTCAAAGACCGCTCTGTGGCAGGTGTTCTCCGACGACGCGAGTGCTTTTGATTTTGATTTCTGTTCAACAACCAAACTCAACTTTGTACAGTACACAACGGTGAACACGCTGGGTTTGTTATCATGGCCGGCACAGGTTACGACTTTTCACGTCTATTCAACTCATCTATCCTCGCTTTCTCTCCTGGGTCTACTTTCCTCGCTACGGCGTATCAATCTCGGGTCATCGTCAGATCCACTTCGAACCTGTCCATCGTGAGGACTTACCAATGTCTTTCTGCCTCCCAGTCGGCGGGTCCGTCTCGTGCATCCGAAGAGCTCTCTGTGGAACAGCTTCTGTGGTCGTCGGATGGAAGGTATCTGTTATCTTATGGACGTGGTAATGCCTGGGTGTTTGGTTTGGCTGTGGCAGGTGATGGAGAAGGTGGTGAGATGGTCAGAATAGGTGGAGGAGTTGAGGGGCTGATCAAGGTGGAATGGGCCAAGGGGGGACATGAAGTTCTTGCTTGGTCTGAACATGGTGTAAGTCATTAAGATCTTTACTACACTGAGGGAGTGAACTGAAGTATAGCTGAGATTGACCATCTACAATCTAGAGACGGGAGAAGTTGGTATGATACAATACCCTAAATCACCAGAAAGTCAGCTCTCGTCCCAGGTCGGTCATGTCCAGCTGACAAGCAAGCTCATACTTGGTCTCCCGACGGACGATACCTATCTGTCGTAGAGCGTCATTCAGGTCGTGATCATCTAGGTATCTACGATTCTTTCGATTCTTTCTCTCTCCTTCGCGTCAGTTCATTCTTTATCGCTATCAAATGTTTTACTCACAAAGTAGCACTTCCCTTTACATGAAGATACCCATTTGTTATCTTGGTCCCCTTGCGGTCGATACATCGCAACAGCCGATAATCATCTACACTATGCCGCCCATATCTATTCTCCTCTCGGACCATGTTTAACACATTTCACACCCGCTTCCACGAGCTTTGGGATGAACAACGAAGATCCAGGTTTGGGAATACGTATCATGGCTTGGGCGTTAGGAGGAAGATTCTTAGCTCTGGGTGGATGGGATGGAAGAGTGAGGGTGTTGGATAATGATGGTTGGGGATGTGTGGCTGTGATGCAATGGGGAAACAAGACTTCAGAGTCGGGCGTGGTGAGCATTTACCCTTTACTCACATCTATCTCTTTTCTGTCATTCTGAGAGCCCCAACATCTGATTCATGGTCTAATTCCAATCACGCGGACCGAGCTCATAGACAGACAGTATGGAGAGAACCTGCTTCATGGATCCAAGATACTCGTGGTAGAGGTATCATCCAATGTCAGTCTTTCCATCCTCACTACTCCTTCCCTATTTTCTCAGTTGTCCGTTCAGCTCACCTCCAGTCGACCGTCTCTCCATTCCTGCACCACTACAAAGCATTCGGCCAGATCTCTCGAAATCCCATCCCAAGATGGGTATCACCGATCTTTCTTTCAACTCCGATTCTTCCCTTCTTCTCATACGAAAAGAAGATCAACCATGCGTCATTCACATTCACACTTTCTTACCTTCACCAGGTGCCGTTCCCAACGTCACTCACCTAACTTCTATCTCTTTCTCCTCGATAGTCAGAAATGTTAGCTGGGCTCCGAAAGGGAAGAGATTGGCCGTCGTTACGCGAACTGGGGGAGTGTATATCTGGGACGGAGAGAGTGGATGGGTTGATGGTGAGAAATCTGGTGAAGAGGAGAAAGGGGGGTTGATGGAAGGTATTGGAATTCCCAGTTGTACGTGTCGGAACAACCATACTCCCTTTTAAACCCTCGTCCCCCATATATACTCGTCCCTCATCACAACGTCAGGCAGAGCCAAAATCCTGGTTGAGAGGACAATTGTGAGAAACTGACCAGCAGTAACACCATTCGTTGCACATGATATCCACTGGGCACCAGATGGACAATCTCTGGTTGTTCAAGATACCGACCATTTCTGTCTTTTGTACGATGACGAGTCTGATGAAAAAGAGAAACACGGTAGTGTCACAGGAGAGAAATGGGAAGAAGGTTTGACGGTAGTATGTGAAGAAGAAGAGTTCAGTGGGGTAGAAATGTCAGATTGGAATTCGAGATTACAATTAGAGGTGATGTAATATTCTTGGTATCGTTTGAATCAAGTCATATCAATAATATTTTATTCATACTGCATATCTACCCACTAGTCCCTGAAACTCAATCTATAATCCATCTCTAATTCACCAAGTACAATGTACTTTTTCAATCTGAACCCGTGAGATCAAATCAGACTGATCCACGTGTAGTGAATGTATATTCTTATTAAGGTTTCACTAACAATCCCCTTAATCTAACATACATAATCTCCCATCCTTCTTTCTTCTCCCCTTTCTCTTGCTTCTCCTTTATCTCTCCTTCGGTCAATACGTCAGACTTAATACCGATCCCAGGAGAAGAAGAAGACCAATAACAATCAACTCTACAATCTTCTTGTATCTCTTCCATCAACTTGACCGCTTCTGATTCAGAAAGAGAGATGAAAAAAGTGTTCCGAACGAACGTTTCGAGCCAACCTATGATATCGGTGTTTAGGGCTGTAGGTCGGGGATGAAGGGCGATTTGAGTAGGTTTTAAACAAGTTTGAGAGATGAGCTATGAGTTAGTTTATTTTTTCAGCTCCACTTTGAGGATGTAAGTGATTCAGAATGGGCCCAGAAGGTAGTTCTCCCTTGTCACATGTCACACGGAGAAGAAAAGGGAGAGGACACCTGCGTCTGAAAGAATTAATGAGGGGATGAGATACGAGGGGTATTTGAATACAAGAAATGTTTTCGATGGAGTAGAGTACGTGACCGAGTTGGTATATTGAATGATTGGGAATAGTGAATTTAGTTGCTACAAAGGGCGTTTGCAGATTGTGCAAAAGTGAGGTAGTGTCAGAGAGTATGAGGAACGATAGTGAGGAAAGAAGAGGTGGATCACTCACATCTGTGTATTGTTGAACAGTGGGGAAATACCATGGATCTAACGGTACCGGATCTATGTTTTTATTACGAAGTACTCGATGTATACTAGCTCTCACTCCAACCCTATTGATTAGTCCATACTCTCTTCGCCTCTCACTTGTTTCAGACCTCTGAATTCTTTCGCTTTACTCGTAGGTATCGAAAATGACTCGAAAGTAGGTCGAACATTTCTTCAGGAAGGAGACCGGATCCAAAGGGTGATACTTGGGCTTGCAGTCGTACCTTTTCCGCCCCTTCTCGATGTCATAATCTCAGAAAGGATGACAGAAGGTATTCGAGTTAATGTTAACGGATAAAACGGACGAGGGTCTGGGTAAGCAGGCAAGTAGAAACAAGTAAACTGACGTATTACCAAAACCTCCAAATTCAAACGCCATCCTCCCACCTGGTTTCAATAACCATTCCACACTTTTCAACACTCCCAATGGATCATCTTTACACCAATGAAGGGTTGCCGAAGTGAAAACTGCATCGAAAGTGCCTTTGTAAGAAGGGTCAAGAGTTGTAGGAAGGGATTGAATGTCCGCTTGAATGTAAGTGATCTTGGATAATTTGGACCTTGCTTTTTCCAACTGGATGTTAGTCCTTCGTCTCTTTTCCTTGTCACGGTATCATCTCCGTACTTGTCAAACCTTGGTCTCGCTTCGTCTCCGTGGTTCATTCGCCCCACCAGGTTCTCCGTCATGTGGAACCCTCAAAGTGATTAATTTTGGTTTCATCGCCGCATTCCTCTGCATTGAATTGGAATCCGGAAATCAGATCAGCTCTGCGAATCTGTGGAGGAAAGAGCAGAGAAGGACGAGGGCGAGGGCGGAGGCTGGGCGGGAGAGAGCCCTTGAGTCACTACTAAATGTCATAATAAGACATTTGATGAGATACTCAAGCATATCTCAACTGAGAATTGTCAGGGAGAAACACAAAACTTACCATGGAAGTGGACGAATCGACCCCTATCACTTCGCCCTCCCCCACTTGATCTTTGATCAACTCTGTCAAGTGTCCCGTCCCACATCCGAGGTCTATGATCCTCTCTCCTGGCTGCGCATTCAAAAGGGATAAAACCGGACTAGTATTCTGGACCGAATAAACGAAAGAGGCGTGGGTCTCGTACGTCTTCGACTTGTGATTCTCCAACGAATTCTGATGGGCCATGGCGTGGGGGAGGGGGTTAATTGGCAATTTGGTGGTATTCTATTGAATCAAGTGGTCGAGTGATGGTGACACGGGGAGAGAAGTGGGGAGGGAGTCGTCGTCGGAAGTGAATGATGGAGATGAGAATAGAGGATTGGAATGGGGTGAATATTTGTATGAGGGAAGATGTTGAGTCGAAGAAGGAAGAACTGACAATTTTGTTGATACTACTCGCTCGCAGAGGGGAGGTAATGGGTGGTGGACTTGCAGGGTGGAGGTCGGTTTCGGCCGGTTCACCCGATGAATTCGATTTCCCTTCTCTCTTCCTTCTCTTCTGCTGTCTGTCTCTCTCATCTTTCGAGTTGCGCCACACCTCCACGTCGTACGCCGTACGTCGTCATGTTTTCGAATTAACTCTTATCCCGAACAACTAGTCGGCCGACACAACAGCATAGCAACCGGCGGTTTAGAGTAAAAGTGATGGGAGGCCAAGCGAGGGTGGAAGTATTCTCGTAGTTCCATCTAGACCGTATCCGATGTCAGCTTCCAATGGGAATGCAAATCTTCCCATAACGACGTACATACACTTGTTCTACCCACTTCAGTTCCTTCCCGTGTCTGTCACCTCGCCGATCTACCAATCTGCCCATCCGCCAATCTACCATCCTACTGGGGATCATCTCGGAACACATCTTCGAGGTACCGACTGACAGGGCAGGCATGGGCGTAAGGTGCCAAGCAAGGGGAGGATGGGATACAGAGTTTAGGGCGTACAGCGCGTCTCTTTCCAAACGTGCTTGTTCTTCCGGTGGAAGTGGGGGGAGGGAGGGAGGGAAGGGGTTGACCCTATGTGGGGTCTGAAGTGGGGTCATCTATCGTCAGCTGTCGCTTACGAGACGGGAGCAATGATTCTTGTGTCTGACCACTTACCGTGCGTATTTCCTTACCTTGAAAATAAACATCTGACCTCAAAGATGTTCATGAGCCATGAGGATACCGCCATGCCGCTAGTGCTAGTACCAGTGACTGATGGATTGACGAGACGACCTTAAGACGCCATGTCATGCTCAATCGAACTTCACTTTCGTCATACCGCACAAGCCTCGAGCTTTTGTTCGAGAAATGGCAAATGAGCAAGTCGCAGTCATGTCGAACGTGGATCGACTACATACATCAAATCCCGGTACCTTCTCAATGTCGATCCACATTCGAATGGACGCGAATCAACAACTCACGGTTCCCCACAGCTCTGTTCGTGGCTGACCGACGATCCACCTTCCATCTTGTTCCTTCTACCACCAGCCACTAGTCACTAGACGCTAGCTACGCTAGACGCCAGTCGCTCGATCTGTGTCGGCTTGCTTCCATCGAGTACTCGTATGCTGACCGAACCAATGTGACTTATCGTGCTGACCAACAATCTCGCGCAATAGGCCAGTAAGCCAATAGTTAGCAGCCTGCTCGCTGATCGCTGACGCTCTGACTCGTCAAGCCTGAACGCGGACGGCGGTTAGAAATCTGAAAGATGCTTCGCTTCTCGTTACTGCGACGGTTCCAGCCGTCTCGTCATGTCTTGGATAGTGGAAAAACCTCCCTCGCAGAAGACTCATCTCATTCGCTCGATGTCTCACTGCGGCATGCCTCCAATATCCCCTTGGTCTTTCGATCACTCATCCTCGACCGCGTCCATCGAACATTGGCCCTTTCTCAGGTCATATGGCGTGCTATTCGATCGCAAGATCATCGTTCTCAGCTACGGTCGGACCGATAACGCCACTCGTACCAGACGATCCGACGAGTACAAGTTCACGGATTGACGGATTAACAGATCATCTTGAATGTCGCGCCGGTAGTGAAGCAAATGCCGACCCGGTTTCTCCCCATTCTCTCTTATCTGGACCGAGAGGGAAATTGTATAAAACCCACTTTGAACAGGTCAGTTTTCCTCTCATCAACCTCTTCTTCCATATTCACTTTGACAACTTTCGAACTCTGACAGGTCGGTATATCCCGTCAACATGCTTTTCGCTCGTCTGGCCGTGGTGGCTCTTCCCATCTTCGGTCTCGCCTCACCCCTACTCTCGAGCATTCCTAAGGAGAGGGACCTCTTTCAGATCAAAGAACGTCAGACTTTGCCAGTGGACCCCGTCAATATACTCATTGGTTCACTGAATGACATCACCGTGAGTTCCTTGCTTCTCATATCGTTCCACCTCGGCAGATCGGGTAAGCTATCAAAGAGCTTTCTGGTCCCGGAAAATTATCTCAAAGCGAGATCACCCGACAATTTGGGGGACCATCCTTGAAAACTTCCACATGTATAATGGTGAAGCTGAATTGGAGACCGCTGCCGACAACGCCTTGAGTGGCACGACCGACATCTTTGACAGTGCCACCGATGTGGCCAACGCTGTAACCCGGCTGGTAGCGATATATGCTTCTCTCAATCCCAGCTCACTCAGTGACCTTCCCGATTCCCAAGCGGACGCCCTGGCCGTTGCCATTGAAGGTTTTCTCACTGCTATCACCGATGTCGAACAAACGGCTTTTGCGGCCGCTCTCAACGGGAATGGTGTATCAAGTCCTGTGAGTTTATTGTCACTTTCATCCAACCTAGCCTCTTTCTCTCAGCTGACAGTGCTGAACGCCAGGGATCGCCCACGCTGGATGAAGTTCGTGATATCTTGTCAAGCCTCAATGTGAACCTAGTTACTTTCATTGGAGATTTGGGAGGCGCCGGATCTATCGTCGTTTCTCGGGCTGTTTCTTTCCTCCCTTGGGAATTCCCTGGTATACTTGACTTACTCCCTGGTGGCAGGGATCTCAATCGTACGTCATTGCTCAATGCTCAGCTTCTTGATGCCTTCTTTTCCCTTGACCGTCGTACAAAAGTGTCTTTGGATCGTGAAGGATCCTGTCGTATGCCTTGGGATTGATCACTGATCAGTACAGTTGCCTTAGGTCTCCCTTTGAACCCCAGTGTTACTCCTCCTAGACGTGACTTGACCAGTCTCATCAAGCTTGACACTCGTGCTACAGTGTCAGTAACTCTCACCAACGTTCTGGGCCCCGTCAACTCCATTGTTGTGAGTTAATTTGCTCATTTAGTCTTTTTTGCCTTGATCACGTTCCTCTATCAGTTAGCATGATTGCTCTCCTGCATGTTTAACCTTTTTTAACTTTGCTCTCCCTCCCCTTTGTCCCTTCCGGGCTCGCTGCTCTTCGTATAAACGTTACGATGATGTTTCGCCCCATTGATTGCCTGAAATCTCCCCATTGAGGTACTCACAGTAATACTGACGGACAGAACGTCGTCAACGCCGTCACTGTATCCAGTCTGAACGGCGGCGTAGCCGTTGTCAATGCCGTACTCACCGTTGCCGCTGCAATCGGTTCGACTGCCAACACCATCATCAACCTGGGTGTCCAGACCGGCACATACTCCCAAGCGACGCTGAATACGCTCGCTCAAGCAGTGAAGAACGACATCATCGCAATTGTCACTGTCACTACGGCTCTTCGCACTGCTTTCCTCAACTTCCTTAACTCGCTCCCTGTGATTGGTCCCGTCGTTGGTGGTGTCGCAGTGAGTCTTTTCATCTTCACTGTTTGTCACCCCTGCTCGTGGTGCCCGATGATTCTTCAATGCTCCTGCTTCCACTCTGGCGCTTGACTCCACGAAAGAGGGCGTTTATGATTGGAACCACGAAGCTGACTGTGGTCTAGGGTGTCGCTCAGTTGGCTATCGTCGCACCCCTTGACGCTGCCACGGCCACATTCGTCTATGCAGTGACCACCGTAGTACCAGGATCGCTTCCCCTCATTGTTGCCGCTTTGGGCAACCCAGGAGCTCAACTTCTCGCGAACAATGGCTTCACCCTCACTTCCGGTGAGTAGGTAGCTCTTCTCATTCCTGTGTTCACTTCCTGTGTTCACTTTTATCCCTACATAGCTCCCACCTCTGCTGGATCCCTCAGAGGCTCAGGACCAATGATAAGGGGATGACTATCATGGACGTATAAAGTCCTCTTGACTGATATGTCAGACGTGCTCGCCGGTAGTTTCTCGGTGTGAATCGAGCAACAGTGATAATTCGACTATCTCAACAAGGTTGTGTACAGTTTCATTCGTCTAAGGAATCTATTGCGAACGCATGTATGTATAAAGTGGGGTTCAAGTGGTCGATGGATTCTTTTCGTTGCTTTTTCCTCATCTGTACACTTATCCCTTGTGTTGCAATCATCTTTCATGCTCTGACCATCTACTGTTATGTGTGTAGATCTTCTCTCATGTCATCTTCACTGATCCCCTTTACACCACCTGGACCATTGACCACATCGATGACCCGTCATTGACTCGAAGTGGTGTGACCTGGTGTAGGCAATGATCACATGCATGATGCAACATATGACGAACGAAGGACCACGGCTTAATTCCATTGATCCATCGCACGGAAAGATCACCCACATTCTCAAAATAACCACCTCATACAATAGACATACATACTCCCTTCCTCGATTCCGCCATACGAGTCATATGAACTTCTAGACCATTACTCGTACTCCGAGTGATTCGTATGTACGAGCAGGGTCTCGAGATCACCCTGAAAGGCTGTCGAAACCTAACGTACCTCCACCTCCCCGCTGAGGAAAGTGAAATGACGAGTAATGACATCAATATGCCACAAGTACGAGCACGGTCAAACAGTACTGTATTCGTAGAGACCGTGGTGTGGGCAAGGATCAAGAATGACGTACCATTAGTATCTTGTTCCTTCTTACATCAAGAAAGCCTCACTAGCCGCACGAGGATGATGGTACCTTTGTCATCTACCGTTGCCAAGTTACCGCTATCGGTTTTGTTCCTATTTGAACTGAATCGCTTCTGAAGCGTCCAAACCGCCCACTCTCACAGGACAACGTCTACAAGTCAACGATGTGTGAGGACAATGAACAACAAACTCCACTGGGACTTGTTTTTCCACTTATTTCTTTCGTGGATCCGACAGAGTGAGTACAGAAGTCGGACATGGTAAAATACACATGATCATCCAACCCACTCACACAACATCAGAATTCGGGACCGCCCGAGCACGAAGACGTCTTGGCCCCGAAAGGAATGAGAGATGTCATTTATCCCCAACTGACAAAAATGATCGGTGAAAGCTCCAACTCATCTCGCCGAACCCTCAAAGTCCATCTGATCTCATCTTAACATGCACTCGTATGGAAATGAGCATCCATTTTGTGGCTTCCACCCTAACCTACCCTGCCGTTGGAGTAAATTGAAACACCTTACTTTTTCACTGACTTTGTGCCTTCGTTCCTCAATATCAATCATCCTCCACCGTGTCATACAACCCTCGAACTAGTCTTTGATTCACTCAAGAAATGAATTTGGGGACATCCTTGAAACTCATCGCCCCCCTCGTCATAGTCCCTCCACCCTAATACGTTCAATATCGTCATCGACATCAAGTACACTTGGAATCGCGTGATATGTATGACCAGTGATTTTCCCAGTAGGAAGTGTGAAGGAAAAGGTATAAAAACCTCTCTCTGAGATTCTTTGCAAGTTCATCATCCTCAACAATCTCAATACTTCCCACTCTATCAGTAGACTTAAGACTTCATTACTCTAACTATTTCAATATGATCTTCACTCGTCTTGCTCTTTTCGCTCTTCCAATCCTTGGACTTGCCTCGCCAGTTGTAAAGGAAGATGACAAGGCTCTTTCCAAACGTGGTGATACAACTATTGATGTACTGAACGGTCTCAATGTCAATATTGTAAGTCAAGCTTCAGTCGCTCTTTGGGTTAGGAGATTGAGTAAAGTATGAAACAAACAATTGCAGTACTGACATTCAGGACAACATCATCAGCCAAGTCGGTACGATCGACACCAACAACGTCAACGTCGACCAAATCTCCACTGCTCTCACTGCCATCGTCAGCGCTCTTAGCCAAGCGACCACTGCCGTTTCTACCTCTACCGCTAAACGCGCTTTGATGGGTGATTTCGAGAAGAGGGACGATCTTCAAGAAGCCGGTACAGTTTTGGCTGCTATCATCACCAAGGTCCTTCAATTCGTCGAACAGCTTCTTCCGATCCTTGACCAATTCCCTTTACTCGTGAGTCATCCACTTGTCCCCATCTTCATTCATAGGACACTTTGCAGATAGAAGTGAAGGCTGATGATCTCCAGGGCTCCCTCGTCGCTAGCATCCAAACCGGTTTAGTCACCCTTCTCAAAGGTGTTGATCTCGTTCTCGTCGGGGTCGTACAGGTTGTGTCTGGTTTGCTCTCGGGTTTATCGGGATTGCTTACCTCGCTCCAATTTGGTCTCCTCGCCGGTCAGTTGTCTTGATATATCGTGTCGGATGTTGACTAATCGATACAGGTCTTCTTGGGCTTTAAGCTTTCGCGTTCACGCAAAGTGACATACAAGGTTTGTGTATAATGTTTCAAGAGAACCGGTGGAAGGACTTGGAAAAGGTATCGAAGAAAGGTGGAAAATATCTGTAGCGAGCTGTTATATCTGTTTCATCAAGGACATGCTTATGCAAAGTCAGTAAACTTTTGGCAACATCTCTCGCGAAATATCCGCCGAAGACCCTGTTCGTTCGAACTTTTCTCCGCTTCGAAGAGTGCATGCCAAAGTGCCAAGTTTTCAAACGAGTAACATCCAGGCGTAATATATGAGACGATAAGTGCGGACCAACGGTTAGCGTAACTTGCTCCACGTAGTGGACGAGATGAGTACAGTACCGGTTGAGGTTTGCCTTGGCGGAAGGGTCCGGACCAGATGACTCCCGTCCCCCACAACATCCACCGGAACATAGCCACATCTCGAGCATAACTTCAGTGCTACCTTTCTTTAACCGAATCTCTAGGGCGGTAAGGGCGGGATACGGTAGCAGATCCGATCATCGACATAGACATCGCCGAGAGTCGGGACTTGCTCAGGGACATGTTTTGACCCTCGAAGGGCAGGGAAAAAAGTCGTATTCTCCTTTCGACAAATGATCGCTTTTGGAACTCTTTACCGAATCATCTATCAATAAGAAAGAAAAATTGCCCAACTTTTTGAGACATCCTCACAACTTGACGTCTGTTTTTCACTGTTTCGTCACTATTATCCTACTGACATGCCAAGAAGAATGGTGTGAGTATATGGAGGATGGGTAGTAAAGTTTCTCTTTCGGAAAGTGATTTTACGAATAGGAAAGGATCATTGATTACTGACGTCTGACCCTTGTTCCTCTAAAAGTAAAAACTCAATCATGAACTCACCCGAATTGATTCCAACACGCCCCGAATCAATCGCACGTTTGAACAAGATTTGGGCGTTTGTCTTTCTTCCTCTAATTCCTACTTCATCCCCCTCCGACTGACTACTCACATCCTTCAGACTCCCCATCCTCTTCCTTGATCCTCCGCCCTCTTATTTTACCATCCCCCCTTCCTTGATCCCCCACCTCATTCATCCTACTCCTCGTGATCCTCACCTCTTGCTTGATCCCCCACCTCCTTCCCTTGACCCCAAAACCATCCACTCCCCATCTGATATTGCCCCAATGAGTCGGAACGGTCCAGATCCGCCTTTTCGACCCATACGCCAACCCGGTAATGTTGGACCGAGGATTGAGGGGTGAGGAGGAATGGAAGTCGAGGGAGGGAGAAAAAAGCTATAAAAACCAACTTGAACCGTCGATATTCTTCATTCTCAACAACTCCAATCCAACTTACTTCTCTCACTTCAATTATTCTTCCCAAGTCCTCTAGCCAATAAACTCCCAGTCGTCACGATGATCTTCACTCGTCTTGCTCTTTTCGCCTTGCCCCTTCTTGGGTTCGCCTCTCCAGTCGCCAAGGTAGACAACAAGGGTCTCGCCGTACGTGGACAGACGGTAGCAGACTGTCTTACCACTTGCAAGACCCAAATCGTGAGCCTTCACTCGTCTCCTCTTGATGCTCTCGGACCAATAACTCACAAATCTTCCGGCCAGTCCAAATCTTTCCCATATCTCCCTCATCCTCTTCCGATATTCCGTCGTCCACTGTCTCCTCCCTTGACCCATGTGGTCCTAACAGAGCATTCCATCGCGCTGCAGAAATCAAGTTGACCATCAGGCGCCGGCTTGTGACGTGATCAAGACCACGACCGATGTTACGGTTATCACGACCAACATCAACATCATTATCACCAGTTGCACCGAGACGATCGCCGTCATCAAGTCCATCGCCATCTCGACCGAAGAGGTTACCGTTGTTGCTCAGTTGGTCGTTGACATCATCGTCCAGATTGTCGGGGTTCTCACCGTTTGCAAACCGATCGGTGCACTGGTGAGTTGTTCACTTGATTTATCGTCCTCTACTCTTCGTCCGTCACAATACCCTGACACTGGCTATCACAACTTGCTTTCCCAGATTGATACGATTACATGGTATGAGTTTAAAACTGACCTCTCAGAGCGCTCTCGTCGCGCAGCTCACCATCCTCATCGTGTCGCTTCTCACCACGGTCGGATTGGTCGTGGACGGCGTGCTTATCGTCGTTGGCCAGCTTCTTCAAACCGTTCTCGGGGATGTTGTGGGCCTCCTCAACGGCCTCGGCTTGGGACTCGTCCTCGGTGAGTCGTCTCGTTGCATCGTTTTGAGAGATGACTTGGTTGACTTGACCAGCGCTTCTTGGACTTTAAGCTCCCGTCTCGCGATTTGCGGCACGCATACAAGGTCATGTATACAATGGATACGTTTGCTGAAAAGATTTGGTCGTACGATCTGGTGATGGCGGGGTATCACACGTAGCTCGCTGTTATAACTGGGTCTAGAACATGTGCATGCAGAGAGTCAGTGATGAGTGATGATTAGTAGTAGTGAAAAGTCAACAGCTGTTGTCGATGACGCTCTTTTCCCGTACTAACTTAAGTAGCAGTCGGAGCTTTTGGGTGGCGACGGTCATTGCGCGTGGCGCTCCCTCTCCCCCCCTCTCCCCCTACTCTAGCTCGCTTCTACTCAACCTCTTTTCACTTTGTCTCATACAACTTGATATCTCACACCACACACCACACACCTCACTTGCATCACTTGACTCACTCTCGCTACTATCCACCTTGTCAGCATATCTGTCCCTTGCAGTTCCTGCTCCATCTCTACATCCCTCGTACATTGGGTTTTTTGAACGGACGACGTGACGAGTCGGGTACTTATACTTTGATAAGCCGCAGAAAAATCTTTTTACCCGGTCTCCACTTCTCCTTCTTTTCTTTCCTCTTTCATCTCTTCGCATCATGGTACGTCCCTCTTCTATCATCCAGTATCTATATCATATGAGGTCTCATGCCCGATCGCTTCCATCTTGATCCCTATGCATGCTGGTGAAACATGGATGGGGATCAAACATGTAGACTCAAGCTCGCGTTGACTCGGCCTTCTTCACCATTTTCTTCTCTGCCTTTTCCTCATGTCACTGCTGACTGTTGTAGGGTCAAACACTATCAGAGCCAGGTACGTCTCATTGACCATGATTCACTCACTGCCAAGCTGACACGATCCTGCTCTTGTGTCCACTCAACTCACCATCTAAATCAAATTCCAACTCCTTTGGCACCTCACACGACATCATCTCCCTCCTCACCGTCGATCTGCACCGCCACATGTCATCATCCATACAGTGACCGAGAAGCACACCACCACGGTCAGACGGGGAAAAAAGTTTTGGGTAGGACTTTCGGACATGCAAGGATGGCGGATCAGTGCGTCACATCTTCCTCTCCTATCATGAAGGCGACTAATGTCGTAGGTATGGAAGATTCTCATTCTGTTCATTTATATCTACCCCCCGCCGACGGCGGAGCACCTCCTGTTCAACCAGAAGGGGGCATCAACGACATACCCATCCAACCTGCCGGATCAACGGTAACTAACGATTCGGTCGAGAGCGAAGGACCTGCTTTACTAGGAGTATTTGATGGTCATGGCGGGTCGACCGTAGCCAAATTCACTGGAACGACATTTCACACACGATTAGCTGGATTGGAAGCGTATAGTGCGTCTCTTTCTGAATCACATCTTGTTCTATCATGTTGACAACCATAGAAAATGGCGATTATGAGGTTGCGTTAAAAGAAGTGTTCATGAAGACGGATCGGGATTTAAGAGCAGGTGAGCCATCAGTAACGAACTGCTCAGCCATTAAACTGACATCGAGACCCAAACTTTTTTAATGACCCCTCGGGATGTACAGCAGTGGTGGGACTAGTGACGACTGATGGGCGGATCATAGTGGTTAGTCGTTACTGAAATGTCTCTTCTCGAGTGCTGACGCGGAGGCGAATGCTGGCGATTCACGTTCTGTTCTTGGATACAAAGGGATCGCAAAAGATCTCTCTCATGATCATAAACCAACAAATGCTGGTGAGTCCTTCGTCAAAACAGTTCCGCTTGAGCTGAAAGCGTCTAGGCGAAACTGCTCGAATAACATCGGCAGGAGGATTTGTAGAGTTTGGACGTGTGAATGGTAAGTATCTCTAGTGATCAACGTGTTTAGCTCAATCTCCAGGAAATCTAGCCTTGTCTAGGGCTATCGGCGATTTTGAATTCAAACAGAATTACTCCCTGGAACCTGAAAAGCAGATCGTCACATGCGATCCAGAGATTACAACACATAACATAGATGGCGAGGAGGAATTCATTGTATTTGCATGTGATGGTCAGTCCACCCCACTCGACTGCATTTTGAGGTTCGGCTCATCCTCAGGTATTTGGGACTGTCTGACATCACAACAAGTGATCGACTTCATCCGTCGAGGTGTAGCCAACGGCGATGATTTGGGCAAGATATGCGAGGATCTGATGACAAAATGTTTGGCGACGAGTTCGGAGAGTGCAGGATTGGGATGTGACAACATGACCGTGGTCATTGTAGCATTATTGAACGGTCGGACACCGGATGAATGGCAGGCTTGGGTGAAGAAGCGCGTGGAGGATAGGGGTGAGTTCCTTATCTAGCTAGCATGTATGTACCTAACGTGTTAGTGGGTCGAGAAACTCCTGAATTTGTCCCTGATGTGTTTGGTCCAGCGCGGACTGCAGCAATCACCGGAGGTGGCTTTCGCATGGCCGGCACGAGCGGTCTCGCGAATCTAGCCCAAATACTCAGTGGGAAGGTCGTTCCTTTTGATCCAGCCCAGGATGACGAGGATGAAGACGATGATGACGACGACGGCTTGCATATCATCACACCAGACGAACTGAATGCCTACAAATCAAACACCCCATCCGTCTTGAGAGGTTTGTTTGGAAAGAGTGACGACGATCAGGATGACGTGTACATGGATGACAAGGCTTTCTCCGGTCCCATTGCGCCCAAGGACGTGACGGACAATCTGGTATGTCTCGTCAATCCCTAGCTCGTCCCTCATATTGATTGACCCACAGGATTCGGAAGAACCTCGGAGCTCGGACACAAAAGCGACACATATACCATTAATCGTCGACGAGGACGGAGATTCCGTCATGTCTGACGCAGACTCCGATATCACCACCACTGCTGCTCCTGCACCCTCTGGTCCTCCAGTCCCTCCAGGACTACCTCCTCCCATAAGCTCACAATTCAAGGAGCGACCCTCTTCACCGTTGCCCCCGACATTCACCTCGATCGGCTCACCTCAAGTCCAGAACGTCGGCGACAAGTTGAATGGGGATATGACGCAACACGAGACGAAGCCAGCAGGAGACGCTTATCCTGAAGTGGCAAAGGTGGAGGGTTTGATGGATACCAGTGAGAGTCCGATAAAGCTATAGTCGAGCGTGCCCAATCGATGGATTATTCGACGTCAGGGGGGGGGAGGGAGCAGAGATGTATATGACACATCCATTCATCGTGAACGTTGGAACGAGGTATGTTGGTACATTGGGGCTACTACTTGTGAAGCGGCGTGATAGCCGACGCCTCTGGGTCATTGGTTAATCGGAAAGAGAGGTTTGGTACAGGAGGGGACGAAACACTTGTAGACTATATACCCTTTCTCATAAAAAGACGACAGGGTTAGAGTCTGTAATCTGATACCCCTCATGGAATTGTGCGATGCTCATCACTTTCAACGTGGACGGTCCTGTCGGAGTTAAGCAGTGCAATGATTGGAAAATGCCACATTTGATGCATGCAGCATAACTCCGCTTATCGCCGGCCTTCACTGCGTCCTTCCCAGCAAGGCTTATAGACGTCTTTCATCCGTCAAACTTGTAAGTGGTGTATCATCGCTGAAGACGTCAAGCTGATAGGAGATAGTATTCATCATGTCTGAAAAGCCCAAGGTCTCGAAAGGCGGCAAGGGTGAGTTGCATATATCTACCAACTTCCATTCCGTAACCTCACTTCTGTCCTCAAATCTGAATATATCTCGCAATCAACCACTTCTCTCAACTTGTGGGCACACATATCATCATCGAATCTCTACACCACAATCAACCTCTGTGAATTACCTGCAAGGCTTGGTGTAGGGATGAGGGAGAATAGGTGGACATATCAATACAGGGAAAATCCGCTGACATGACCTCTTCTTCAATCAATCTTCTGCTTCTCTTCACTCTTCTTTCCTAACCTCCCATGAATTCCCTTCTTTATCACGCCAAACAGCCGCCAAATCCTCAACGGCCGAGACTAAAGCTAAAGCTGCCAAGAAAGCAGCTTTGAAAGGTACTCAATCACACAAATCTAGAAAAGTTCGATACTCGGTCACATTCCACAGACCTAAAACCCTCCGTTTACCTCGTAATCCTCGTTACCCAAGAAAGAGCGTACCACACCTTCCGCGTATGGACCAATTCCGAACCATCCGTCATCCTCTCAACACGGAGAGTGCAATGAAGAAGATTGAGGATCATAACACTTTGGTTTTTATCGTTGATCTTAAAGCGAACAAACGTCAGATCAAGGATGCTGTCAAGAAGCTGTACGATGTTGAGGCTGCGAAGGTAAACACGCTTATTCGGTGAGTATATCGTTTTTATTTTTCCTCCTGAACCCTTCACTCTTGAACTTTGTGCTCGTCTCATGATGGGGTGTCGTACACCCTTTCGCCTTCGGAATTTTTCTTGACGGAGACGAGTCGAGATTGATCGTGGAGCGAAGATAGGGTGGGCAGAGTGGTTGTGTGATAGATATTTCAGGAAATGTTACTTTTTGAAATCGACGGGGATGATGGGAAAAAAATGTGGAGTGGAAGGGAGAAACCTCCGCCTTCATTCTGGGTCAAGAAGATGCCAATTCAGCCGGACAGTTTGCTGACCCCTCAGACCAGACGGATTGAAGAAGGCGTACGTGCGCTTGACAGCCGACCACGATGCTTTGGAGGTTGCCAACAAGGTAAGCAATCATCTTTAGGATACATGTGTCGCGTCTGACGGATCAGATCGGCTTCATCTGATTCATTCCCTTCACGCACTCATGTACATGGCGCTGTATGCATGGATAGCACCGCGATCACCCTAAACCTCGCACGTACTCACTAACCTGGCTCGCCATTCAGAGTATTGCTTCGGTCCATCCAGCTCAACGCTTGTTTGGTCATCTCGGGCAAGGTCATACATGCATACAACTGAGTCGAGATTGACATTCATCTACTCTGACAACGATCTCGGAATCCCCTCCCTTTCAGATTCGTCGAGCAATTTCACGAAGTTGCTTCTGAATGCGCTACAAACTCGAACCTTCTCTCTCCTTTCCCCTTGATAGCTTCCCTTCCATCCTCACTCAACATACTAACATCCCTCTCGACAAAGACGACCGTGGCGTCGTCTCGTACGAGGATGACAGTGCTGAGTCGAGTACCGTACCACCTTCCTTCTCCCTGTTTGGGCGGTAGCAACGGATTTGGTCCGAGTTTAAGAGCTGGGATGGTGGTACTGCTCTTTGCGTCGACGAGGGTGTTGATGGGTTTCGAGTCGCTGTGGGTTCAGTAGTCGTTCTTTGTTATTCCCCTCGATTCAATAGCATCCCAAGGCGCGAAGCTCTCTCTATCTCTGTTACGTCGATCATGCCGCGATCGCGCGCAAGTACAATGAAAGACATAGCCTCTTGATCATCTGACTCTGGATCGCAATGACGAGAAAGCGGTGTGCTGACAGAAAAAATGGGAGCTAAGTTGGTCTCGGCGCAGATGACATGAGATGGTAGGTCCAAATGACAAAGTTGAAAGAGGAAAAGAGTCATATACTCACCTGAGGATATCAAACATACGTTCTATCAACTTATCTTCATCTTCCTCATTTTCTTCCCATTGTGTGAGACTTTGAGCCATCCGTTCTTCCCCAAAAATGACTTTTGGCCATGGTTCTTTCAAAGGACTATTGGAAAGACCATGACAAATGGTTTTTATCTCAATCTTTTTATCTGTGTTTTCGATGATTGGGGAAGAAGGTAAAGATAGATCGACGTATATTGGTTTAGGTCTATTAGATAGATAACCTATTTCTGGTGTTTCCCATCTATCCTCTAAAGATATTCTTTCTTTTTCTTTCTCACCCTCAGAAGAGTGGGAGATGTCGACATCGAGCTGTAAGCTTGCCACGGATGGGATAGCGGGAGAAGAAGGGATGTTTGAAAGAATAGGTGTATTTGAAGCAAATTGTAAGGTTTGAGTAGGATTTGAGGTTTGAGGTGGATGTAACCGGAAAAGAAGTAAATTGAAACCTTCGTATTCCCCCACTGTGTCCACATGACTTTTCAGATAATCATGTACTTTTTCAGCTGAATGAGGAGAAGGTGATAAGAAATCTTTAAGGAGTGTACCTCTTGATGGTGGTGATGGGTTAAGACCAGGTTGACGGACGTTTGTTCTGTGTCGTTAGACCTCAAGTCTTAATTTCTTCTTTTCTTCGACATCTCCAGTCTGATAGTTATGTAGTACGAGTCACTTTTATTCTTTCGTTTTATCCTGATCACATGATTCATCCACGCGATCAACATCATTGGCCACCGTAGGACCAACGTAAGCTAGTTCCGAAGAGTGGGTTACAGGCAAAAAGGTGAAAAGGTGAAAAGGTGAAAAGGTGAAAGCTATGAGATTTTTCAATACATTTCTTCCAAAGTGATTTCGGATATGAAGATATGAGAGCTCAAAAACGACGTGAATGTGAAGTAGAAGGAGGTAAGAAAGACCCACATAACACCTATCCGAAGATCTTTTGTCATTCCTAACCAAGTCCCACCGACCGTGTTACCTAAATCTAATCCACTCAAAACCCAAGCTTCATCTTCATCCTCCTCTTCATGTCTTGTAGAATCAGCTAAACCATTTAAATGATTGTACGTATCATTCGAGTCGGGATCGATATCAGGTGGGACATCCTTTGATCTCCCATTGGTGGATATGGGCAACGAAGGGAAATTATGCCAATGAGCCGGGAGAGCAGGTCGGGAAAGGTATTCATCTCGGTTCGAAGCTAGTATTCTGCCCATGAGTCAGGAATCTTTATAAAAACCACATGATATCCCTCTGAATCGACTTCATGTCTATCGATGAACTGAGCAGATGTTCAGAAGGTGTAAGAGAAACTTGAGGAGGGGGGAGGGGGAGGTGTTATCAGGAACATACTGTACTCACAATTTGTAACCTGGCTGTGAGAGGGTGTAGAAGACTATGCACATTGTCGATGGTAGATTGCAGACTAATCTTTTATGAATACTGAGCTCTGACCTGCTCTATCCAAGTATCCTTCAAGTCATCATTGCAGACCGAAGTAAGAAGTCGAAACGGAAGGAGTGAACGGAACGGAATGGTAAAGTGGAGGTCGTTCGCCCGAGCTCGCTTACACCTGACATTCCACCACTTACCTTCCTTCCTTTGCATTCCACTCGATCTTGAAGGCCAGAGAAAACCCAAGATGACTTCTCTCGCTTCGTATGTCACTTTTCTGGTATGATACGATAGCATAAAAACTCACAGACAGTTGCATATTCTGTAAAATTATCAAAGGTACGATCCCCTTCCATCAATCCTACTTGAAACTATGAAACTGACATTTAGGAGAAATACCTTCGTCCGTCATTCTCCAAAGCATACTAGCCATGACTTATTGACTAGGATGAAACTGTTGGAAACAGAGACCGTTTACGCTTTCATGGATATCGGTCCCATTGCAAGAGGACATTGTCTTGTCATACCCAAATGTGAGTTCACATTTCCCTGCGTTCCCCCACCGGCCACCGGGTCCTATGGGATAGTCGAGAATCTCCTCTCAACCTCGCAAATATCCTCAATTTGTTTACCGGCATGGGATACAGTCATAAAAAGTGAAGTAAATCTGAACTTATAGACCACGCTGAAAAACTCACCGATCTTCCAGATGACCAAATGGTCGATATTCTTCCCACATGCAAGAAACTTGCCAAAGCGACGGTACGTTCGAATGAACTACTCCTCATGCGTTATCTTATTATCATGCGAAAAGAATGATTGGTGATATAGCAGGGTTCGACAGACTACAATATCCTTCAAGTAAGTTGCCATGTCTACGTCTGTGATCGAAGCTTATCAATAGAACAACGGTAGACCAGCTCACCAAGTAAGCTTTTTTCCCTCATTTCGATGAACAAAGCTGACCAGATAGGTCGTAGATCATGTTCATTTCCATGTGATTCCCAAACCTCAAGGATCAAGTTCGGAAGCTGGTTTAGTGATTGGTTGGCCGAGTGAGTACTTTTGTATTGCTGATGGGTGTTTAGACTGACATTTGCCAGCTCAGAAGGAGGTAGGTTAACACCCGGCCTTGTGAAGATCAGCTGATGTGTAGCTCTCCCAAGACGATATCAAAGCTTCTTACGAGGAGATCAAGTCGAAGCTGTGAAGTGATCATCGAATGGGATAAACTCAGTTCAGTTTAGTTCAGTTCAGTTCAGTACAGTACAGTTGCGAGATGCATCATACACTCAGTCGGGCTGAGTCGATCTGCTTGTTACTTGAACGGCTCAACAATTAGCAGCTTTCTACTCGTAGCTGTTCTGCCTCTATCGCAGCATGCAGTCGTAGAGAGGACTTGTCAAGGCAATTGCGGGGCCCGTTGCAACTTGATCTCTTGGACCCTGAACCTCGAGCGACTAGTGACGGTGCTTGCACTTTGGTCGAGGAAAGGTCTTAATTACGCTTTTCGGAACGTTTTTGGACTTAAATACGCCTTTTCCGAGATCTGGGTCTTAACTACGTCTTTTGGCTGGAGGAAGGGTCCTTTTTACTGCCCCCCAGTTAGGGTGGACTATGGGCACCAAGTTAGGGGGGGTATTGACCATACATAACGACGTTAGGGGGTTAGGGGAAGTTAGGGGGTTAGGGGGTTAGGTGGTTAGGGGTGGAGGAGAGTGTTTTTAATGCATGCAAAGCATGCATTGGGGGTCCAGGGAGGGTGGTGTAATTAAGTCCTTTTTTTTGAGATGGGTGTAATTAAGTCCAAAAACGTTTGAAAAGGCGTAATTAAGACCTTTCCTGCACTTTGGTCGTCAACGAGTAGAGATCTCTGCTTCTCTACTTACCGCCTGAGACATCTTCTTCACATTGCCTCACTGCATGGTCAACTGTGCCCTCTCTATGGTCCAACTCATTACTGCTGAAAAGGAAAAGACGATGGTCAGTTTCGAGGAGTGCAAGGATGAGGTGACGTTTGCAGAGGGAGGTCCGAGCGTCGAGGTTGTACATACTGTACTCACTCATGATCACTCACTTCGCTTTGATCATCACTCCATCGTCTTGCCACTCATCGTCCATGTTCTTGCCCTGCCACTACTAATGCTCCCTTCTCTTTCTCTATCATCATGTCAGGGGCTTTGCTCCGTTCGAGACTGGGTCAAGAGCAGATGAAATTACAGGTGACACTCCCCACTTCACCATCTCATGTCATTTCACTGGATATTGCCCGAGGAACGACCTCAGCCGAGGCGATCGATCAATGTCGGAACCTTGCCTCTCATCAGCTCGGAAGGACATGGAAAGATGAGAATAGCACGTCAGAGGACTGGGATGGGGAGGCGACAGATGACTGGGCATTGAGAGAAGTCCGGGATATGAAAGATGTCAAGTGGTGGACTGAAAGAGAAATAAATGAATATCGTGATCGTCAGTAGTATTCCCTTCATCAGTCCTATCCCAGTCTACATTCCGACAGTACTGCCAGTGCCTCTGCTCATGTAACAGCTCTTCTCAAAGCACTCGACGTTCTCTCTGACATGATCACATCTTACACACTTCATAGACCTGGCTCACCTCTCATACGCATCTCTGTGACTCCGCCCACGTCCACGACCTCAACACCTATCCTCACCTCTGTCCCTCTCAACCCCTCGGATAGCATGGCCGTTCTACTACAGGGGCTTAGTAATGAGCTTGGACTTCCGAAATCCACCACGGATCTCCTCGCACCGTCAGAGAACAAGAAGAACAACCAGAACAGAGGTCGGTCAGGTTCTCGGTCTATCGGAGCTCTTGGTATGGTCGCAGGGGAGGACATCCGATGGCGTGTCACTGTCATTGTGAACCATAAACTCTTGATACTTGAACACACCACCAACCTAATGCGATATCTGAAGGCACTGAGACAAAAGAGCAGCGTCATCAATATCAAGATGGACGAAGAATGGCTGTTTGAGAAAACTCCATCGAAGCGGATCATCAAGGACTCTACTGAAGATGAAATCGCTGGGGATGAAGAGGAGAAAGATGACACCCTGAAAGCTTCTGCTCTTGCCCCTCTTTCTGTCACTTCACCATCAGGTCAGTTCGTCGAAGAAATGACGACCTCACCTTCCAATTCCCCCTTCATCCCTTCACCCACTTCTCCTTCTCCTGTCAGTCCCTCTTTCCGACCCTTAAGCTTTATCTCTCTCTCCGCAGGTACCTCGGCCGGTCTTTCCAAGCTCTTACCCCAGATCACCGGCAGTGGAGCGACTCCTTCAGGCAGTATCAGCAATCGACCCGCTCATAGTTGGGCGAAGAAATTATCCCTTTCGAGTTTGAGCAGTTGGACCGGTGGATCAACCGACTCGAATTCTGCTGCAAATGCAGAAGGTACAAACCGAGCAGAGAGTATCAAGTCTACAGACCCTCAACCCATCTCTAGACAAATCACAGGGGGGTTGTGGGGATGGTGGACAGGTGGGTCGAAGCCAGAGGAAGGGAGCGCAGCAGCGTTCATTGCAGATCTCAACAACTCAAAGAAGCCTTCAAGTCAACTCAAACATCTTATATCGCTGCGAACAACACTCTCGACAGCTTCAACTGAGTGGATCAGCGAATTTGTAGAGCTACGTGGTCTTGATTCTCTTCATTCCGATATGTCCAAGGTGAGCAAAAAGGCACATGAAGTTGGGGATATGTACGAGCAAGTAGCATGGGAAGTCATCAAGTGTCTACGGATATTGATGAACACCAATGTGAGTCATTTATTGTCCATCACCCATACCCACCTCGCTTACTCTCCTGACTATGAGCTGATGACGCAGTCTGGTTTTTCGGGCGTACTCGACAGACCGATATTGGTCAATGACATCTCTGCGATCCTCCTTGCCCCTTCACTCAAGCTCCGTTGCCAAGCCCTCGACCTACTTGCAGCTCTTTGCGTCCTCTCACCCATTGAAGGCCTCCCTCTTGTTCTCACCTCCATTTCCGACCTGCGCGTCACCATCGGAGAGACTCACCGATTCGACTACCTCATCTCGCAATTCATCGAGCCCCCTGCATCCGGCTCATCGACTCCGAACCCTTCTGAGATCTGGGAATGGCGTAGCAGTGTCCAAGGATTTCTCAATGCCCTCACCAGCTCCTCCGAAGATCTCGAAGAACGATGTGAACTGCGTGGCGAGCTACACCGAAGAGGTTTGGTGCACGCGTTGGAGGTGTTGGAAAGACAGAACCCGCCGGATTCTTTCGACAGGCTAGTCGTGTTGTATTACGAAGACAGAGATGAGGATATGATGGAATTGAAAGCTGTACAACTTTCAGCCGCTGAAGGTTTACCGGAATCCGTCAGCGAAGATTCCATGATCGCTTCTTTTGTTGATGAAGTGGAAATTCTTCAAAGAAGGGTGAATGAACTTCAAACAGAGGTCAGGGATCATCTCTCATTACATATATCCAGCTAATGTGAAGTAGAAAAAGCATTTTCAAGGTATTGTCGAAGAACAAACTGCTGAATTGAACATTTTGCATTCCATTCAAGATGGAAAAGAAGAGACTGGGTTAGTGCAGAGACTTATTCAACAGGAGAAAGAGATAAGCCGACTTCGGTCCTCCGATACGGTCGATCATCCATCAACAGAGGCGGAACAGGCCGTGAGGGAGAGAGAAAAATTACGACTTGCTTCGCTTACCGAAGAAGTCTCCGAACTCAAAAATCAGGTCAGCTGCTCCTAGGGGGTGATCAAGAAGTCTATACTGACAGATAGTTGTCGGACACTACAGACTCCCTCATTCAAGCTAGAAAAGATGTTGATTATCTTGAACGAGCTTTGGAAGCAGTTCACTCTCGATTATCTTCGTCTACCTCTGAAGCAATCACCCAGTCCCCTGGGAAACATCACAAAGGGACATCGGCGGATGCTCAAGTTATCGCTAGTGAAGCAATCGCCAGTTTTGTTCGACAAGAGGAAACTATCACTTCTCTCCGAGCTGAGATACAAGAATTGAGAGCGAGAGAAACTGGACAAAGGCCATTGATGAAGTCGGATGGTCAATATTCCTCAACATCATTGGAGACGCCGGTGATGATTATCACATCTCCCCCGCCGCCCTCGCCATTACCTTCTCTGACGGGATCGTTCCCATCCACTACATCTCCAGGAAGATCTGCTTTCGCACATCCACCACCACCTCCCGCTCCTCCTATGCCGTCAACGTTCGGCCAGATAGGATCATCCTCACGAGACTTCCACCCCCCTCCTCCACCGCCTCCGCCCATGCCAACAAAACTTTCCTCAATGTCCGATACTACTCTGATACCACCACCCCCACCCCCACCTCCACCCATGCCACCACTGCTGTCTATGATGAGCTCGGGTCCTGGCCCCCCTCCTCCGCCGCCACCGCCACCACCTCCCCCACCGTTCACAGCATCTGGCGCTCCACCATCCCATTCATTTGGCATACCGCCGCCACCACCACCACCTCCCCCACCTCCGCCTTCGTTACCATTTTCATCTTCATCGCCACCTGGCGCTCCGCCTCCACCTCCGCCTCCGCCTCCTCCTCCTCCTCCACCTCCTGGTCCCGGCTCAGCCCCTCCACCACCTCCACCTCCCCCAGGTATACCACCAGTCCCTCAAATTCCTGCCAAATTCGCATACAAAACTCCCAAACCGACTGGACCCAAATTGAAGGTGTGTATCTTCTCTCGCATAGCCCAAGAACAGAGTATTGACCTGTAGCCTTTCTTTTGGTCGAAAATGCCCCAATACTTGGTGAAAGACACCATCTTCAATTCTCTTGGTAATGCTCCCGATCTCGATCTGTCGGATCTCCAAGAAGTCTTCGCTGTCGAGACTTCAGTACAGAAGGTTAAAGGCGCGACAAATCAAAAAGCACCCACGTCGATTAGTCTTCTGGACATCAGTAAGTCGCACTATACTGTACGTCTGTGATTTGTAGCTGAATGTTCAAGCAAGGTCTAATAATGTTGGTATAATGCTTGCTCGACTGAAGCTGTCGCCAACGAGGATCCGCCGAGCTATCCTGGAAATGGACGATGAGGTTTTGGAAGTGGACGATTTAGCAAGTATCAGTAGAATGTTACCTACTGCCGAAGAAGTACGTTTTTCACATGCTCTGCTATCTTATTCCTGTTCATCTTCCCACTTCCTCATCAGTCAAACCTCTTTTTGCTTTGAGAGGTCCTTTCATTCCATAATCTCTTCTCTTAGTCCAAATTCCATCCGTCAGCTTTCACTTATGAGGACAGACAGCTGACATCCAGACGGAGAGACTACGGACGTTCGAAGGGGACACGACCAAACTTGCCAAGCCCGAGCTTTTCTTTCGCGAGGTAAGCTCTGGCTTGTCGATCTGTGCCAAGCTGACAGTCAGATCATGTCCATCCCTCGGCTCAAGAGCCGTCTAGAAACCATGGTATTCCGTCGTCGGTTCGAGATTCTCAATGCGGAGGTTCTTCCCGATCTTGGGCTGATGCGCTCTGCCGCTATAGAGCTCAGGTCGAGTGGGAGGTTTAAAGAGGTATTGAGAGCTGTTTTGACACTTGGGAACGCCTTGAATGGTTCTAGCTTTCGAGGGAACGCGGCGGGTTTTCAACTGGATGCTTTACTGAAGGTGAGTGTTGACGTTTCAATCACATAACTGGCACTGCTTTGGCTCATCGTTCACATCTTCTGATTTTCTCTCTTAACGCGGCATTCTTAAGATGCTCGTTTAGAGTTGTGATTGTATGGGACATAAGCGATGCGAAAGATGGTTCATGAGAATGTCTTGTAGTTATGAGACTGAAGAAGACGAGAGTGCTGATGTGGTAGTTGAAAGAGATGCGGACATCAAAAGGTGCAGGATATCCAACTTTGTTACATTACCTGTCGAGGGTCCTGTTGCAGTCAGACCCTAAATTGGTGTTGTTCAATGAGGAAATGCCTTCAGTCGAGGCTGCCTCACGATGTGAGTTGCGCCCCATTTTCCTCCCTTTTCATCCTCTTCCTGACTCTCTAAGATCCTATCCGAGCTGTCCCTTCATGGTAGTAACGCTTACCAGCTCTTCTCAGAGGGATGGTATCCACTGACACGCAGTATCTCTGGGTGATATCTCCACGGCGATCACCACCCTCCGCACCTCCCTCGAATCTGCCAAGAAAGAAGTGATCACTTCATCATCTCTCAAAGATCTACCACCCGAAGATGAGTTCCTGATAATCATAAAACCATTTCTCGCCCTCGCTTCTCCCGAAGTTACTCGGATAACTCGTCTACAAGCCGATCTGTCAAACGAACTTAAATCCCTCGCTTCATTTTTCGGAGAGAAGGATGATGGGGCGGAGACAATCTTCAGTATAGTTTCTGCCTTTTCCACTTCCCTTCAAAAAGCAACAACCGAGATAACTCGACATTTAGTCAGAGTTACCGACGTTTCCATCAATTCGATAGTTTCCTCTTTAGAGAACCCTCTCATCATTCCTGCCACGGCGACCAATACGGCAAAGAGTGACGTCACGGTGAGACCAGTACCAGATGGAATGGCCGGACTGTTCGTTCCACCCACGGAAAACGTTCCGGCCATTTGGGCGAGTATCTCAAGAGCAGGACCGAGAGGTACGGTGAGAGGTACGATGTCTCGAGGAGAATTTGATGAGGCGATACGGAGTATACATGGTGGAGTTAGGAGAAGAGAGAGGAGAGAGGTTAGTACTATGGGGACTGTAGGGAGAGATGGGATGAGATTGAGTAGGATGTTTTTAGATGGAGCGGGGAGTGTTAGAGGGAAGGGTGGATGAAGAAGGGAGTGTGAGAGGTAGATGATGCATATCTAACTTGGTATCCAACGTCCCTCAAGGGTCCTTGGGTTCATGGTTCAGTTTGGAGTTCCTTACTCAGCATAAAAGGCTTCAGGAAAGCCTCCTCTTAGTCGGAGAGTGAGTTTTTGCACTCGGTGTGATTGAGGAGAGTCGGATTAACATGCACTCGAAGATGTCATCACTAACTTTCTCGATCACTTCTTTCCACTTGTTCCTCGTCATATGCGAAAGAGTACTCATGTTCACATTTTCACTTACTGGCAAGGGGTATTTCAGTGGTGTACAAAGCGGTCGACGAGTGAGCAGAAGGTTGTTTAACACTACTTCATCCAGTATGTCAGGTAAATCCATACAGGTCAGTCTCGCCAATGATGTTACTCCTTCCCCCACACTACTCCCTCTCTGTCCCATGTGTTCCCCCGCCTCTAATACTGCACTTTCAGAACCCATCTTTTCTACCATCTCCACTCTTGCTCCCCTCATGCCAATTCAATCCCACTTAGCCCGTAATCGCATCTCACCTCGATAAACGTCTACCAATTTTGTCTCTATATATCAATATCACCCCCTCACTTCCCTTCCTTTCACTTTTCACTCTTTGCGTCTTCACGTCGATGATGGGTGCTATCCGGATTAATGATTGATGCCATTTAGGAACTCCTAGAAAAGTTCAAAGACCCAACCTCTCATTTTCACATTCCACCAGGTAGCACAGGCCCAGCAACCGAAGACGATCATTCGACTTCATTTCTTCCACCTGGTCTTGTCTCGCACATTCCCCAGAATCACTCACCCTATCTCACTTCCTCACTTGATGAATCTGTTTCTTTCATCCGACCTAAAAAACCCTCGCGGTCTGATGTCGCCCACCATGCAACAAGATTCGGGGTATATGACATGGACAAGTCGGAATCAGACGCTAGGACGTATTTCCTGAAGAATGGATTTGGGGGAGGAGAAGAGGGAAGGCTGAGATGGCCTGTGGCTTGGGGTGATTGTGATATGTTTCAGTATGTCTTCGATTATTTTCCCCATACATGTTGTATACATTCGATTCATTTCATTCTAACATCTTCGAAAATGTTACGGGGCCGTTTAGGTGGGCTGGGATCTAGGAGGTCAAATGCAATGACCATGTAATACTAACGACGAGACACGTCAATAATGTCACTTTTGTCAGATGGTTCGAATCTGCCCGTATACGTTATTCCGAGTCCCTTGCTACTTCTCTTCCGGACGGTATGATGGACAATATGTTGGTAAGTACGGCCGTCTACTTGTCCATGAGAAACCCTCTCCCGTCTCTTGCACCCATTGGACTCAGAGTGCTTATGACACTCGGTCCCCTTTGACTTTCAGATTTATGACTGACAAGCGCGACAGAGTATGCGAAGCTGACTGTGAGCTTGGGAAAGGGATCGGTTTCATCCTACGTGATATCACCGTTCATTATCGTGCCCCAATCACTTACCCCGACACAATCTACATCGCCACACGTCCTCATGAAGTCGACCTAGAGAAATCCAGGTTTAAATTATCACATACCTTATGGAGTCTAAAAAAACAATCGACTATCCGCAACTGCTGAAGGGTCAGTTTCATTCACCTGTTGGTTGCGCCAAACTGACTATGAGTACCATGGTTGCCTACGACTATGACCGTCTCACCAAAGCTCCCATTCCTACAGCTTTGGCCGACATTCTTTCAAACGGATCACAAAAGTCGCTTGTACCATGATAAATGTTCACATCCCACACTACCCATTCGTCGACGACACTCCTCACCTTTGTCGAGGGTATGTCACCGGTTGGGATACACAAAGAATACTCGACACAAGGGAAGATTGTCATCCGCGACACTTTGTCAAGTCAGAAGGAGTACAAACGCCAACTAGTCGGAACCATTATGCGACCATCTCCGGACTTTCCCTTGTGTCTCGCATTCGAGACGCGTAAAATCTCTCACCTAAGCGTTTCACCCTGCCTTTGACGTTTGAAGAGTTCAAAGGATTGGTCTACTTAGTAACTCGGTGTACGATCGCTACCCGACCAACACATTCGGATTTGTCATTTCACTCAAGCTGCAGGCGGCTAAGCAAGAATCTAAGAATAACACTACTCGCCCACGAAGAGTCAAAATCAAGGATCGGAAATCATTACTTGCTGAACAGACTTTTACATATGCCCACCGATCGAGGAGGATGATCAGGCCGGTCCTGCTCCTCTGCCTCTTGGGGGCATTGATGACTGACCCAGTGATCGGTGCCTTCTCTCTCCCACAACGACAGTCATCTTCTCTTCCCTCACCTACTCTTCCCCCTTTTCCGCGAGGTCCACGGGCCACCCCATGGCAGATCCGCAATCACCACCCCTCCGACGTCCACAAAGACGGCGATTTTTCCTCGTCAAAACGTCAGGGGGGGAAACCGGTCGGCAGCCTGGGGAAAAGACAACACGGAGGGATATATGTCGATCAACGATCTACCAGTACGAATGCTTCCTCCCCTTATGGACTTGTCACTGCCCTACTCGCTCAATCGCCGGATGATTGCACTCATACAGGAGGTGGATGTGCCGTGCTCGTCGAAACCCTTACTGCGTGCTCCTCAGGTGATGATACGTGCGCTTGTGCTATCAGCCTCGCAGCCCAAGTTTGTACACAATGCGACAATACCAAAGATGCCATCACCATATACGATAATTATCTTCAAGCATGCGTCGACAGCGGATTAGCAAATCCTTCGGGAACTTTGACCGTCTCACTCCCCGGTGCCAGTTCCAACGCTGGTAATCCGAGTGGTTCGTCGGCTGGGAGTAGTTCCAGTGGAGTTGGAGGTGTTTCGAGCGTTGTCAACAATTCGAGTATGTCGACTAACGCCCCTTCCTCAAGTCTATCAAGTGCGACAGGTCCTCCAATCAATCTGGCGATACCTTCCACTCCCAGCACCAGTCTCATGACCATCACTTCTACCATGTCGGCATCTTCCAGTGCATTCCAGGATCCCTCGATTTTGGCAGCGGGTAACTTGACCGGGAACTCGAGCTCTAGTTCGGTGGCCTTGGATGTGGAAGCAACATTCCAATCTGTCGGACCTTCTACCACTAGCTCCCTCACGTCTTCCAGTTCTTCGAGTTCATCACTTTCCCCTTCCTCGTCTGATACTTCAAGCTTAGTCACTTCGACCAATGTAAATTCTTCGGCTTTGGAAGCTGCCATGTCATTCTTTGACTCTACTATTCCTCCCAACTGTTCGTGTGACCCTTGGCAAAGTCAATCTAAGGTGAGTGTTCACCTCTTCCTCCTCCACCTGTCACTTCTCCATACCGTAACATGCTATGAGAAAATGACTGGTACTGATAAACGTAGTCATGCAGCGACGATTCGTGTATATGTACTTCTTCCATCCTGGCGAGTGCCAGAACGTGTAGTGAATGTGTGCAATCGGCTGGTGCAGCACCAGGACAGATGAGGTTTTATTCTGGTATGTCACTCCATCTTCCTCAACTTGCTCCTCTGTCTGGAAACGTAGAATGAAGCTGATTTGTAGCATTCACCAATAATTGCACAATTGAGTTCCCCAATCTAGTGAGTCTATTTTGCCATTACGCCATTTCTGCCATGACCAGACTGATGAATCAGTCAAATGTACCAGGTCCATCCTCTTCACTATCAGCCGCACTCGGATTCCAAACGTCAAATTCAAATTCCACCAACTCAACCTCCTCACTGTCCAGCTCGATCTCATCTCCGAGTAACGCTTCGTCGACACCTGCAAGAGCAGATGCGGCCATGGCGGCCACTACGAAGAGCTCTAGCTCTGCTCCTCAACTTGTCAGGCGGGAGGGACTGGTGGGAGTTGTGGTCATCCTGGCCAGTATAGCTGGGATGGGAATCATTTTGTAGTTACAAATATTCGTTTACGAGATCATCTGAAACAGAGCTTATGTAGCTTTAGCTTGATGACACCATGTGTATGTATGCAATATTCCAATAAACCCCATGATCTCACCCTTCTCTCTCAAGATATATATTCGGATGTACATGCGATCAACACCTCTCAAACCATGCTTCTGCCTCTTGCTCTACATGATCTAGAACAGCTTGTTTAGGTTTGACAAGAGGACCAGGTCCGGACCATCCACCAAACATACCCATTCCATCTGGTGTAAAGACTGTTTGTCCTTGACCCATGATCAACGTGGCCACCTTCCCCCCCTCTTGCGTCTTACCCCCCAACTTATGCCCGTTATCATCCTCCTCATCTTTCTCCTTTGTCTCTTTTCCCTCTCGTCTGTCCTGATCCTTCGATGACACTGATGACAGTTTGGGATAAGTAGGGACAAGGTCTCGTATCCATACACTGATCCAATCGTACAATGCTCCATCCCGATGCACGAGGACCAAATGAGTCGTTTCGGTCGTGATGAACTTTGCGATGAAAGCGGAAGAATCAATATCCAAGTTTACTTCCTCAGCTACGAAACTTAAGATCTCTTGATTGATCAATTCGTTTCTTTCACTCACAGACCTGAACTTCTTCAACAAAGTCAAGTCGATTGTTCCAAATGCAGGATTCGTATACCTCCCTTCCACTTGAAAATCAACATGATTCACTGGTTTATCCGACCGACGAAAAGTGGGTTTTTCAGGGGTAGGAAGATGAAATGGCGGCTCTGGATATCGTTGTGTCCCAATCAATTGATTCCTCATAATTCTCTCCTCCCAATTGATCGTAGGCAGGTCTAAAAGATCATCCAAGATAGAGAATAATATAACCCACATAGGCCCCACACCTATATCGTCATTGATGAGAATAGAAATACCTAGATTTGGAGGTAATCGGATGATCAAACTTTTACCACCTGCCAATCCACCTGTGTGACCGTATACTTGGTGGGAACGATACGTGAAAGCGAATTGACCCATACCGTATGAAGCTATACCGAGTTCGGGATATCCAGGAATACCGGTAGGTAGACTGATATTTGAGATTGTGTGTTGTATGATTGGGCCCAGGGAGGTAGGGGGGTTGAGAAGAGTACGAAGCCATTTAGCCTGTGTCATCAGTTACCCCCCTCTTTTCTCTTTTTGGACATCGAACACGGATCGGACCTGCAGGGACATGGGAGGGATATTGAGGAGTTATGACAGAATGTAGAAAGAGAAGGAAAGTGAAGACACTTACCATATCATGTGGAGATGAGATAACGTCGATATACCCGTCAAGGTTGATATCATTATGTTCAGCCGACCAACCGATCGATTCAGGTGTCCCTAAGCAAACACGTGGAATAATCTGAAGATTCATCAGCTGTTCCGCACAGCGATGACTTCTTTTATTAATTCTTAAATGCATGTCCGTCAAATCACCAGTTTGGCGAGCTTGAGTGATATTGTAATACGTCTCATTTAGACCGAATGATTTGAAGATCTTTTTCTCAACGAACTCGTGGAAGTCTTGTCCAGTGACGAGATGAATTATATGGGATGCTAGGAGATAAGCGAGGTTTGAATATTGCGATGCTTGACGAAATGGGGCAGAAGGACGTATGTATCGTAATCTGTTGACGATATCTTCAGACGATGAAAAACTATCAATCAGTTAGTTCTTTTTTCTTTTCTACATATACTCGTGGCCGTTAAAGACGCTCACTCTATAACATAGTCATTGGTGCCTAGACCAGAACGCATGCTCATGAAGTCTTCCAGGGTAGCATAACGTGATGCGATCGGATCTTGAAGCTTGAAATGTGGAAGGATGTCAGTAATTTTGGTATCCCATCTTAAGGGAATTCCAGATGGCAGAGTTGTGTTTTCTTGAATTAACATCCCTATCGCTATTGCGGTGAAGAGTTTGGAGTTGGAAGCTATTCCGAAAAGAGACTGGGAATGTCAGCGTATGCTCACCATGGGGAAGTTTGACATGATTTTATAACACACCCAAGTGATAGAAGAAGTGACGATAAGAGGCGAGGTAAGGAAAGGTAAAATGACCAAAACTCACATGTTGGGTCACAGGGTCTCGTTGGACGTTGGCAACTCCATACGTCATTTGTTCTTCTGACCACTCTTCGGAATGTTGAGAATCTCGAGCTACGAGAGTCACTGCCATACCTGCTATTCCATATCGCTCAACTATATTCGTTACATAGTCGTGAGTACTGGCACTGAGAAGGGAAGGCTTGGGTCGGCCAGATGACCAATGGTTCGGGAACAAGGAAGAGAGAAGCAATAAGATCTGTGTCAGCCAGAGATACATGAGTGATGAGTGTCTTGAAAATGAGTACAAGTCAGTAGTAAAGAGAGGGAAGAGCTAGTCGTCATGATGAGTGACATTGATGGGACGGCGTTGTTGATGAAAGGATGGAGATAGAGTAGATGTAAAGGAAGAGAAGTAAATCACATCTTCACATCGTCATTTACGAATTTGTATTTAAAAGTCAGCCACGTTCTTTTCATAGGTACATATACTACTTACACATCTAACACATGTCAGAGGGATGCCTATACATACCATATCCGCAGCCCTCGACAATGCCTCTTCCTCCACCCTCACTACGGCCGCCATCACAGCTGTCGGTCTTACCATCCTTCGGACTTATCTCGGTGGACGGACTTCAACATGGGAGCGAGAATCGGCGGGCAAGATGATCCTCATTGCGGTCAGTCAATCTCTTTCCTCACACTTCCATACTTGATTATCTTTATCACTCTTATCGCTCTGGATATCGGCTGATACCTCAGGGACCTCTCTCACCTATCATTTTAGCTCTCATACATCACCTCCTCCATCTTCCCTCCCCTCCACAAATACTCTGTCTCGTCCCCTTCCCCTCCCCTCTTCCCGAAGAAATATTGACCATCCTCCATACTCTTCGGATCGGAATCACTAATCCCCTAGCTCAACTTCACTGTGAACCTCTTCCTCGTACACCTGCCGGGGTTCGGGAGTTTGTTCGAAAATGGAGTTCGGTCGAACAGGGTCTCGCGGGCGAAGGAGGTCGACGGATAGATGCTGTATTGCTTTCTTCTGGATGGGAACTACAACCTGAACCTATAAACTCAGGCGAAGAATGGACGACGGAACAATTTCATTTTCATCTCATTACAGCTTTACTACCACACCTCCTGCGTCAGCCGGCTGAACGAAATATTCGTATCATCTCCCTTCTTTCACCAACTTGGGCAGCGGCGATCCCTTCCCTTCATGGTGTCCGACGTTCCGATTCCTTGGTCCAACAAGTCGGAGAGAGAAGTTTGAGAACTTTGCTTGTTATGAAACACTTTCAACTCATCCTTGACACGTTGGCCAGTGCGACTTACGGCAAAATACTCGATGTACCTATACCGGATGGGAGTGTCAAGAGAAGAGACAAATCGATACAAAGTAATATCATGGCATTGGGTGTAGTGATGCCTTGGGCAAGAACGGAGGTGGTGCGTGGGCTGTTAAAAGTTGACAGTTCATGGTTGAGATGGTTCCTGTGGGTCACCTATCATGAGTGCAATTATTGGGTTGATGCTGATCAACAGATATATATTGTTCTACCCCATAATCATGTTCCTCACGCCATCTCCAAGAAAATCTATGCAATCTATCCTATTCGCCTTGTCTGCTCCTGTACGATACTCGTCCGGTCCCGCTGATGGCAGCGTGATCACTGGCAGTTCGGACACTACGACCGACGGGACAGACATGGAAGAAAATCGGAGAGGCGTGCAAGGAGGAGATGTCGTACGTGATTGCGCCGTCATACAGTGGGTGCCATCGTTTCTGCACATGACTTCACTGACATGTAGGGTCCCTCCAGTCCTGTCAGATTCAACACGAGCCAAAGAAGCGTATGACGGGTTGGAAAAGGAGGTTGAGGGCCGTATCAAAGCCAAACAGGATTCACCTTCAAATAAGTCCAAATCCGAATGAACCCTACCCTAAGTAGTTGTTCCTCCTTCTCGTCATGCACCCCTGCCACTGCACGCCTGCTGGGAGCATACATTAGATGTTCTGGGTAATGCGGTATCACCTTGTGCAGCTTACCAGATGAGGTCCAAAGCCGACCACCACAAACTCAGCCGATACCTGACCCTATCAATCCTTATGGGCTTAGCGAGGTCATATAAAGAGTACTGGACCGGTTCAGACAGCCGCCCAGGCTGACGACCACAGAAACCATCACAAACGCACAAACGGGGAATTTACCACCATCAACTAACGCGGTAACTCGGTCTTCTGGGCCGAGCCAACGTCCGCTCTGCTATGATAGGCTGCCACCCTCCCATAGGGCTTCCAAGCGTGAGAGTCATATGCATGAATGCTACAGATTCCCCGTCCGTCGGGTCAAAATCTGGGCTTCGTAGGGTGTTTGATGCTACAGCCAATTCTTGCCACTTGATCATTGCATGTAATTGATTGAATCACGGCAGAATCTACGAATGTGGTGACAAAACTGAGTAAACCCCAGACGTCTTTCCGTTTACCTACCTAGAATCTTGAACCGCCCGAGGCCTGCTTCCCGAAGAGGCGACAAAACATTAGGTGCGAGTGAGATTCGAACTCACGCCCCTTACGGGAGATGATTTCTAATCAGCCAGATGCATGGAGGTCATTCACACGGCTAAAAAACCTATCTACAGGGAGACGTGAAGACGGTCCCAAGAGTGGCTTGATAGCCCTCTCGGTGTTCAAACGAAGGTCTTTGTCTGAAAGGCCTGAATTCTGAGAGGGTTCTCCTCTAAATACTGTCACTTTGTCCGAGTGGTTAAGGAGAGAGTTTAGAACACTCTTGCGGTAACGCGCACAGGTTCGAGTCCTGTAGGTGACTGTATGATGCGCAATGTTGTCATTGTCTCATTTCCTTTTGGCTCATTATCTGTCACAGATTGTCCACGGTATTGCACCGAGTCCGCTGAAAATCCGTTCATATCCCATCATCATCCTCCAAGCGATCGTAATCACTCCATATTCTTGCGGCTATCTTGATGGCATGTCCGGCGACCTTATCATACAGTGAATTCAGACCCGAATTGTATCCAAACTTCTTGGGCAATAAACCCTTCCAGTACAATGTCTTTCCCGTTTCCCAGGAGTCGTGATCGCGGAAAACAATTGCGACAAGATCCATCTGACGAGTCCACTCTGATCGGGGCATATCCACGTTTTTGAGGAGTTTGGCTATGAGGCTGTGTAGTTCTTGCTCGGCATGAGAGAGAAAGTCGCGAGTGGTCTCGCAGGTGACAAAAATATGCCGTTCGTCGACCTCAGCTGCTGGTACGAGGCAGTTCTTGCAGTGGGGAAGCAAGTCTGGAATCTCCTTTCCTCTGGCATATTGTATTTTTCTCTTTGGTGTTGGTAATTGCGAGGATCGTATTTGTAATTGTGTCAGGGTCGATTTAGTCGTAAGGGCTTTGTGGAAAAGATGTTGATCGTAAAAACGGGATATGTCTGCGGATCCCTTGAAGATATCAGTCACCTTCTTCCGATCATAAAGTTTAGAGAGTAAGGTGAATACATGAGAATGTGAGATCCCCACTAAGTCGCTATGAATGACGAAGTCGTCCATGAATTGGGGGGGAGGAGCTATCAGGATATCACTTGTCCTTGCTTTCTTAGCTTTCTCGTCTGCTTCCCGGTTTAAAAGCGACGGCGCTGAGACGTCATCTGTATGCGCTTTTACGTGCTCCACACTTATCAGGGGTGAGCGCTTGAAACGTCTACGAAGCCATCTGAGACTTAATCTTGAGGAGCTGTCACGGCCCTCGGACAACTATTTCTTAATAGACCGACGGTCGACGAACCTCGGCTAACTTCACGCTCTGAGTCGATGTCTCACCCAACCAGGAGGGCGCAGACGTCGAAAAGGGTGTAACTACGGCGTACTTCGGCGTAGTTACTCTAACTAGGGTTTTGTTCTACTGATGGCGATGTATCTTGATTTATAGCTATCTCTATCTGTCTTTCACTACTGACAACAATCAAGGATCGCTGAAGAACTTCAGCGATCTTCTCAGCTAATATTATCTACTCCTCCTAGACGTTCATCCAACCCTCTCGCGCTTTGACGTACTTCAACGCACTTCGTCCAACTTCCCCGAGCCCTCGGCCATCCTCTTCCTCCTTCGACTAACTCCGCCTAACATCGCCGCACTTCTGCTCCCATTGTCCCTACTTAGCCTAACTCCGTCTAACTTCGCCGTACTTCTGCTCCCATTGTCCCTACTTAGACTAACTCCGCCTAACATCGCCGCACTTCTGCTCCCATTGTTCCTACTTAGCCTAACTCCGTCTAACTTCGCCGTACTTGGTGTCAGAAGTCCTGAGTTACGTGTAGAGTAAAGAGGTTAAGGCGTGATGGGGTTTTGATGGCCAAAGGAGGGTCATTGTTGGTGGAGTAATCGAGGTGTCGCGACGTAGTTCGTGACAATAAACCATTTTAAACCTGAAGTTAGCTAGCTCCTCTACCCACCTACCTTGCCGAGGACTGAGTTGTTTCGGTTCCATCCAGTAGGTAAGGTTTAGATGGTCGGTAAGTACTGTGGTTTCTACCTGCAATAATAAGTGTCTCCTTCTTCTGAAACCCTCCACTACAGCGAGGAACTCCTTTTCTCCTACCGTATAATTCAGTTGAGCTGTGTTGAAAGCACCAGACTCAATAGCTACCGGGTGTTCTTGACCAGCCGTGTTGATCTGCGAAATTATGAACCCCCAGCCGAAGAACGACGCATCTGTCTGTAATATCGTCTTCAATGTAGGGTCAAAATGGGCTAACACCGGCGCAGTACACATCCTAGCCTTCAACTCTTTGAAGGCTGACTCCTGTTCGACTCCCCATACAAATGGTACCTCCTTCCTTGTCAAGTCATTGATAGGTCTAGCAATCTTCGAGAAGTTGGGGACAAAGCGCCTGTAGTAGCTTACAACTCCAATGAATCCCCTTGACTCTCGTAGATTCTTAGGACGTGGGAAGGAAGTGATGGCATCAATGTATTCTGGGTTCACCGATACACCTTTAGAGGATACCACGAAACCCAGAAACACCACCGAATCTCTTTCGAACTCGCACTTACTAGCTTTCACGTACAGGCTCGCCTTCCGCAGTACCTCAAAGACCTTCGCCGTACTTCCTCGTAATTCCTCCAACGTATTCCCATAAATGAGGATATCGTCAATGTAGACCACGACTCCATTCCCTAGTAGCTCTCTAAACACCTCATTTAGGAAGTGTTGGAAGACCGCGGGGGCGTTTCGCAGCCCATCACGAACAACCAGAGATTCAAACATACCATACTGTGTCCTGAACGCCGTCAGGTGTTCATGTCCCTCTGTCACCCTCAACAATTGGTATGCTCCAATTAGATCTAGTTTGCTGAAATACCTTGCTTTTCCAAGTTCCTCAGTAATTTGACCTATTAGAGGGAGAGGGTAGGCATCTGGTATGGTCGCTTCGTTCAGTTTTCGATAATCGATGACCATTCGCCATTGTCCTTCGGCTTTCTTCGGTATCATAAACATTGGTGAGCCGTATGGCGAGTTACTTGCCCGAATTCGGCCAGCGGCGATTTCGCGATCTAGTATGTCTCTCAGCGCGCGTCTCTGATCTTCTCCTTGAGCATAGAGGGAGGCGACCTTAAGGTTCGCCCCCTCCTTAAGCTCAAACTTCAAATCGTAGGACCTTGAAGGGGGAAGGGTCTCTCCTCCCTTCTTCGGATTAAAAACGTCAATGTACTGGTGGTATTGTTCAGGAACTACCTGGAACAACTCGTCTTGTTCCTCCGGGCTCAGCTCTTCAAGCTCATCTTCGCCGCGGAGGTCTATCGCGTCCGTCAGAGTCGGCAGCCCTATGGCCGCTAACTTCGCCGCACTTGGTGGGGTTGGGATGGGAAATTTCACCGAGTTGTCTCTTCCATCAAGGACAACCCCTTCCTTCCTCATCCAATCCCACCCTATCACAACATCTGCGTCGCAGAGCGTTGTTACATCGAGACAAACAGATCGCACTTCGGCGTCCTTCGTCAAACTAAATCCGACTTCGACAAACTCGGTGATGGGTCCAGCGACACTCACCGAGCCGTCGAACATGTGAACGGGTACGCTCACCTGATATCGCCTCTTTTCTACACCTATCTTCGCTGCTGCCTTAGGGCTTATATATGAACAAGTAGCTCCAGTGTCCCAGAGCGTAGTTAGCTTTATTCCATTAATGAAAATGTCCGATTTAGGTTGATCTCTGGAAACGGAAGGGATGAGGAGATGATTATCGACATTGCATGAACAAGGGGTACTGAGTGGTGTATTTTTGTATTCACAATCCTCTGGCTCCATCAGCTGTGTTTCTTTTATGGGTTTGGGAATGGTGGCCGAGAGAATATGGCGGACCCGCCGAGCCTCGCCTACTGCGACAGGTCCTCTTCTTTTCCCTGGTCCTCTTCCAAATCTACTTCTCCTCCAACCGCATTCAAGTTCCTCCTCTGTCCGAGAGGTACTGCGTTCCCTCCCGATCCTCCACCACGTTCTCCGAACTTCCCCCCCCATGGAGGCAACAGTCCAACCTTAACCTTAGCCTCCCTTACAGGGCATTCCTTCAGCCAATGTCCTGCTTCACCACACTCGGTACACTTCCCCTCTTTCCTCCTTGTCTCCCTCAGATCGGAGCTCGGCCTAGGCCATCTTCGGCGAACTTCGTCGATGTTTGGCGGTGTACTCTTTACCACCGTCGACATCATAGCCGCCTGGACACCACCCTGCGCCGAAGGTTGCCCCTTTTCCCATTTCTTCTCTTCTTTCTTCTCCGTCCTCTGACTTTCCACCACTGTCGTTGTCCTTATCCCTCCTTCCCTTTTCCTCTCTGCCTCCTTCTCCACTTGTCTCCTCCACAGGCGGTTGTCCAAGGGAATCACAAACTCCAATAACTCTTTCACAGTCCCAAACGATCTTCCGTGTCTTGCAATTTCATCTAGAAGGTGCGATTTTAGCCCTTTCTTGGCTCGGTCAACTAGGTTTCCATCATCAGACCACTTAAGAATCGCAACATGTCGCTGGAAGGCGGAGAAGTAGTCCGAAGCAGACCCGGTTTGCTTGAGGTCGTTAAGTTGTCGGGCCGCAGTTCCTTCTTCGTCTGGATCACCAAAGTTAGTCTTGAGGTACTTAATGAACTGATCGTGTGTCGTGAGGTACTCAGGAAGAGGTCTTTTGGATAGATCGGGCTGCACTGCAAGAAGAGGTGTTTCGCGTAGATGAGAGATCATGAAAAAGACTTTCTTAGTGTCGTCGGGGAAAAGATGAGAGTTCAATTCGAAATGTACGTCGCACTCAGACAGAAAGGCGGTTAACTTGTTCCGATCTCCTCTCCAGAGGTCTGGGTTAGGTAGCTTTATCCCCTTCCGTTGTTCGCCCACTACGCTTGGGGTCGCCGAAGTTTGCCGTCCCATGGCGTACCTCACTCCTTCTGATATCCCTTCTGCAATCCCGCCCACTGTATCCCTTTCTCTTCTCTGTTCCCATTCCTCCCTACGCCTTCTCTCCTCCATCATGTCTTTGTTCATATTCGCCACCATCTGCATCAAGGCCAACACCACCCCTTGTGTTCCTTCTTCTCCCAAGTTCGCCGTACTTCCAGTGTTTTCTCTTGGGCGTGGGGTTTGGTCTGATCCAAGTGGGGATCCCGCAGGTGGGAGAGCATTAGACGGAGGAGAGGGAGGGTTAGAAGGCACCGGTGGAACGAACTCATCTCCTTGAATTGACCCCCCCACACTATCCTCCACTCCAAGGTCCTGCCCCATTGCTCTGCTAAGCTCCTCCAATGCTCTCCTCTCGTTCTCCTCCATCCTGTCTCCATCCCTACTCATCCCTCGTGTAATTCTTCTTTCTGGTTCCATATTATCTTTGTACTTCTCCGAGGTTCGCACGGGTCGTCGGTAAGAGCGATCCTTGATACTGTCACGGCCCTCGGACAACTATTTCTTAATAGACCGACGGTCGACGAACCTCGGCTAACTTCACGCTCTGAGTCGATGTCTCACCCAACCAGGAGGGCGCAGACGTCGAAAGGGGTGTAACTACGGCGTACTTCGGCGTAGTTACTCTAACTAGGGTTTTGTTCTACTGATGGCGATGTATCTTGATTTATAGCTATCTCTATCTGTCTTTCACTACTGACAACAATCAAGGATCGCTGAAGAACTTCAGCGATCTTCTCAGCTAATATTATCTACTCCTCCTAGACGTTCATCCAACCCTCTCGCGCTTTGACGTACTTCAACGCACTTCGTCCAACTTCCCCGAGCCCTCGGCCATCCTCTTCCTCCTTCGACTAACTCCGCCTAACATCGCCGCACTTCTGCTCCCATTGTCCCTACTTAGCCTAACTCCGCCTAACATCGCCGCACTTCTGCTCCCATTGTCCCTACTTAGCCTAACCCCGCCTAACATCGCCGCACTTCTGCTCCCATTGTCCCTACTTAGCCTAACCCCGTCTAACTTCGCCGTACTTCTGCTCCCATTGTCCCTACTTAGCCTAACTCCGTCTAACTTCGCCGTACTTGGTGTCAGAAGTCCTGAGTTACGTGTAGAGTAAAGAGGTTAAGGCGTGATGGGGTTTTGATGGCCAAAGGAGGGTCATTGTTGGTGGAGTAATCGAGGTGTCACGACGTAGTTCGTGACATTGGTATACCCTGTGGGAGATGCGGCCACACCACACGGTCAGGTGTTTGGGCTGTGAGCCCAGGCCAAAGCAAGAAAGCCTGGATACATCCTGAACACATAGTAGTGAAAGGCCATGAGGGCAAGACTACCTATTTCCTGTCTAGTGAAGGATGGATGCCTCCGTCCTGCTAGCGGATGCACCTGACAGCTGCTTAGAGAAAGTGGTGTCGGAATGTCAGGTTCACGGATACCTACAGTATGTAGTAGATGTACTACAGTACCAATTCATCACATTCCCCATTCTTGTGTTGGCTATACTCCGCTCTCATACTACGCCTAATTGCCAGCTGTATACCTCTATGCACTTTTGCACATCTTGTGTGTGCTTATCTGCCATTGTCTTACTTTGCTTTTTCACCTCTGTTCATTTTCTGACTACGTATTGTCTTGACCGGGTAGCAAGCCGGTGATCATTGATCGTCCCAAAGGGCTAAACATCAACTCCATCTAGAGGAGGCAATCTTGCTATAAGTACCGTTAGTACTGGTTGTGGCACATATAATCACATTGATATTGCTCCGCTCTCTTTCTACTATATAGGCATAGCCTTTTCTCAAAGATGTCTTGTCAAAAGTGTCACATGTGCTCTTATATATATCTTTGACATGTATCTCATCAATGAATGCAGGTTTTTTCATGACACTACATCACTATGTCTGATTCTAACAAGGGCTTCTTGCCATAGCTCATCAACACAGACCCTGTTGCCGTCTGGTCCTGATATCAAGGCAGCATATGTTGCAGAGGCAATGAGGGGAAGGAAGAACTGCACCGAACCAAAGACATAATTCACTTCCTCTGGTCATGCTCACTTCTCCGCTCCCTGGTGCTGTAAGCCTGAAACTCAGGCTCCACAAATATCTGTAGGACAGACGGTAAATCGGGGCTGTGTCAAATGAGGAAAATCTGCGTGCACATCGCTCACGATTCGAACTCCGCTAAAAGACTATCGGCGCAGTTTGAACCGGGATGATAGGAGGTATGAGAACCTGATATACCACTCTGGTGGCCAAAATCTAATCTAATTTCCCCTTCTTTCCTCATCTTCCTCATCATGTCTCAGGGAACTGGTGGAATTGATAGCACTGAATTGTCAAGAACTCAAGGAATAGATTGGAGGTTCCTCCAAAGTCCGGAGGGCAAATCATCATATTCGGGTGGAAGTAATCGAGAGCCAACTGCTGTTATCTCTGACACAACTTTCTGGCGCCCAGCTTCCGAAGTAGATCTGCCCCATCAACCACAGTCTCCGGCTGCTGAACACTTTGCCTCTCAACATCGACCATCGGACGGACAAGAGAATGATGCCATTTGCTCCGCAGCCCAAATTGATATTGAGAGAGTCATTCTTTCAGATGGACTTCCCAGTTTGGGCGCCAAAGCTTATCCCTCATCAAACCTAAAGAGTTGGAGAGGATTATCACCTGCTACCAATCAAGTTCTAAATATCCATTCGGTAATAGCTCATTGCACCTCGTCCAGCTGGATAGAAATGCATAAGGGAAGCTTACTGCCATTGGGAACACAGATATCTCTCACCTTCCTCAATACAACTGGAAAGTTCTTGCCTTGTGCACTTTGTGGGCATCACACAGAGATGGGAGTCTTCTGTGTGCCGCCCGCTCAGGATCTGGCCTCCACGGTTCATCCTGGGTGCATCAGTACGGTCCAATTTGGAGAGAATCTCTATCTGAGAGCGTAAACAGTACTCCTCCCAATCTCATTCAAGTGACCTCTTTGATCACCATCTAGACGAGTATAGGAATGCATGATGATGAGGAAACGGCACTCGCACTTTGTACGTGATGCAGGAACGGTACCATGTTCCGTGTCCGAAATGCTTCGAAGTGTCCCGTTTCGCCACATTGAGAATCCGCCACATTCGTCGTGGGGGCCGCGCGTCTCGCGAGTGGAATGCACTCTAGCAATCTCAACGATACAACACTGTCTGTCCTTCATCATCACACTTCACTCGGTCTCTTTCAATATATCGCTAAAAGTGCTAGGTAGTCAGACCTGACAGAGATACAATGTCATCCATCGGTACAGGCTACGACCTTGACGTTTCTACGTATTCTCCTGATGGAAGATTGTTCCAGGTGAGTCCTCCTCCGCCCCTTCTCCCTTGATAGTTATGTCAACGACGATGGCTAATGGCAAGATTGAATATGCCAACAAAGCTGTTGAAGCTGCTGGGTGAGTAGAATGGTTATTTCCATCTGTCGGAATTGGCTAATATGTCCCTCTCTTGATCCATATATACCCTCCCAATTCCTGTCACCCGTGCCGTTCCTGCGTCGTGTCTCTCCAACCTCAAACTGTCTATCGATCCTTCTTCTTACACTTTCAGAGTCGCCATAGGTCTTCGATGCTCCGATGGAGTGGTACTTGCAGTAGAAAGAATGCTTCACTCTCGTCTTCTCGTCAAAGGTGCCAATAGACGAATACAATCTCTTGACGATCATATCGGTATGGCCTCTGCTGGTTTGTTGGCCGATGCGAAGAATCTCGGGAATAGAGGAAGAGATGAGGTGCATAATTATAGGGATTCTTATAATTCTCCTATAACCGTTCAGGTGAGTACGACCTTTTGTTTATTCATCTAATTCCTTGACCTATCATTACTTCAGTGAACCCCATTCCAAGTGATCCAACGACTGACTCCCTTTGGACTTGTAAGCTTACGTTACCCCAACAACGCACCCACTACGGATCCATCTATGCGTGATTTACCATTTCACTTAAGCTACTGTCATACACATCACTCTTTTGTGCAAAATACTGAATCATGTAACGTCCGTATACTCAGGTGTCCGAGCTAACTCATAGATTCTCTCCGACCGGATGTCCGGATACGTCCAAGCTCACACATGTTACGGTTCCTCCAGACCATTCGGGATTTCTACTCTCCTGGCAGGAGTCGATAATACTGGTCCTCGTCTCTTTTGTATCGAGCCCAGTGGGGTTTACTATGGATATCATGGTGCAGCGGTGGGAAAGGGTAAGGCGTTAGCCAAGACGGAATTGGAAAAGGTTTTGGCGAAGGAAGGTGGGGTGACGTGTCGGGAAGGTGTGATGGAGGTTGCAAGAATGTGAGTTTACAGGATTTTTCAAGTTGATGTTCAAACATGAATCATCCCCATCTTTTTCACTTTCGGTTTCGCCTTCGCCCTACATGCTGGAGCGTGTCTTCAGACTACTTCCTACTTCATATAGCTTTGGTTTCATGATTCACATCACGAATCGATGTGGACTTCATGAGATCACGTGGTTACCGGTGTTACGCTGGTGATGGATCAAGGGTATAGTAGACGTTTTACTAATAGGCAGCATACACTTGGTACATGACGACAACAAAGACAAGGAATTCGAACTTGAGATGACCTGGGTATGTGCGGAGAGCGGAGGGAAACATAAGGCTGTACCTGAGGACCTGCTCAAAGAAGCCGAAGCTGCCGCTAGAGCTGCATTAGAGGAAGGTATGGAGGAGGATTGATCAGACTCGTTTAGTATATACCAAGCTATTCCTGACAATGCATATGAATTCTTTCGGCCCAGTGTACCAATCAAGAGTACGAGTACGAGTACAGTCACTCTATAGACGAGGGATTGCACTTTGCGATGAGGTGAATCTAATACATCACTAGAAGGTACAACATTTTTTGTATGTCCATCTAGCAACAAAGTCAAGTCGAGACCTTTTTGTTTCCATTACCCTCATAGGAATGTATACTACTACCCTTCATATCGTGTTTCCACCCCCAACAATACATCTATCCCACCTACAAAATCCTGTCCCATACCTCATACTACTTGGTCACTCATACATCAAACCAAGGCTATTCTACCAGTCATCAGACCCCCTCTGAAATTCCTCAAACCACCGACCCGATTCGCCGCTTGAGTTCTTTGTATTTGAGCAAACGCCTCTAGAACATGAGCCGGATGTAACGGTTGTTTGGCACTTGGAGGAGGGGCGAACAAACTTTGTCCTCCTCTTTCCGTTTTGATCCTTCTTGTTTCTTCTGGTGATTGAGCTTCCGTTCGAGGTCGTTTAGTCGGAGAAGTAGCATCGAGGGTTAATCTCCTTTTACCAGGTGTGACGGCAGGGACGGATTTGTGTCTCTGAGAATGAAGTTGATGTATCGGTGCGAGGACAGGATGAGGAGCAGGATATTGTTCTAATCTATCTCTGACGGCGAGTGCGGTGACACATAAAGAACGAACCATTTCGAAGGATAAGAAACCTAGAATGTCGATGATGTCGTCGTTAGGTCGAAGGTCGAGGTATGCTGCGAAATTTACGAAATCACGAAACCGACGTACTACGATGTCAGTGGTAGTCACGGTGGGATAATTGATACACATTCGGAGCTCACGGGTAATCGGTGAGGGGAAAAGGCGACGGAATGATGAGATGAACAGACGAAGCAGAGAGACCAACCTTTGCGATAGGTGAAAGAAGCTTGACGACAATCGGAATAATGAACATATTCGTCTTTAGTCATTCGTTTTGTTATTTCATCGGCGTCCTGAAAAGTCAGCGAGGATCACAAATATCATGCGTTTGTTTGCGGGCGAGGTCAGACAATTGAAATAAGTAGGGGATATGGAATGAATATTGATAGGAGAGGAGGACGAAGACTGACCCTCAATCTTTGCATCGAATCTTGATACGCCTGAACCTCGTCATCATCCTCATCGTCATCATCATCCGCTGGTCTTCCTGGTAAACCCTTCAGAAAGTCTGAAAAAGGGGTAAGGACCTCCCAAGGTAATTTAACCATCGTTTTCCTACCCTTCACTGCTGCCTTTTCCCCACCCGCCGCTCCATCCTCGATCTCCTCCTCCACCTCTCCCGCGCGATCTTCGTCTTCTTTGGCACGTTTGCGGACGTCTTTCCAACTGAGATAAGTGCGGAGACGGTTGACTTTTCCTCTATCGTCCCGGATGAGGAAGATGACATCTTCGGCGGAGAGAAAACGTGAGTGG